AAGAATTCGCATTTTAAAATGTGAATATTTTTTCAAGAATTCTTAGTTAAAATTATATTTTTTTTTTTACAAATCATATTACGTATATGTATCATATTTATTGCAAGTTTTCGAATCCTGAACTATTATAGGTTTTTTCACATTCTGAAGCATGGATGGGTTAAAAATTTGATGTAATATGTTCCCTATCCATCAGAAAATCTAAAATCATTAAATTTTATTAGTAAATAAATTCGGAAATTTTTCAGATTAAATAACTCAATACTTTTTTTAATGCGTTTATTTTTCCAGGCTCATTTGCCGTAGCTTTGCGGAGCCGATATTCATCGTTTGGCTTACAAAATTACTTAAAACTAACGTTAGTAAACCGGGGGCCCATTACTCGCGGCTATCTCGAGTTTAGGGGTAACAAATAGTAACAAACGGATGGCAGGGTAGGGATTCAGAACACAAGGTTTTTTCGAGCAATGTGCTCTTGATCTTGAACTAAGCGACATACTAGAGAAAAAGACAAACATGGGGGTACACCGATGGGGACCTAACAACTTGAGAGAACACAAGATGACACCAACTACTAAATCCTCAGATCGACCCGTTTTCAAAACACATAAATTAAATTAAAATAATCGAGATCTCGGCTCGCCAAGATGTCTCTAGGATGTTTTCCTCGGACCCTGAGGGAAGCGGATAACTCGGATCTAGCAACACAATGTAGGGTGGATGACCAAAGTACGTGGTCGATCTCGTGATAACCATTGCCACAAGCGCACAAATTGCTGCCTGTGAGCCCGATTCGAAAGAAATGCGAGCAGTGATTGGACATGAGCCTCGACATGACACGTATAAAGTCACGGCTCATGTCCAATCCTTTGAACCACGGCTTTTTCGACACCTGTGGGAGAATAGAATGCAACCATCTTCCCATTCCATTTTTGTTGCCAGTTGGTGAGGACTTGCTGACGGGTAATTGAGAAAAAATCCGCAAAGGCGATTTGTTGATCAAAAAAAATTACTTAATACTTATTATAACTACTTTGGCATAAGTGCTCATTTCCACCATAACGAGCAGAAACATCAAATATATCGATGATTTCGGCGTGAACGATTCAATCATACGTTTGGAAGGATAATATAGCGAATTCATTTTTCCTGCCATCATAAATATGCCGAAGTGAATGCAATAATGTTTCAATGTGTTTGGACGGAATTTACAGAATTGGTATCAAGAAGCAGTGTTAGATTTTTACCAATATATCAACAAATTGTGTCTTTTTATCTAATCTAACGGTACGTATATAAGATAAATAAACTTAGAAGTCATCTTTGATAGAAACATTCAATTTTTTGTTCAAATCCGAAAAAGAGAGGTAAAGTGCGGGTTGTTCTAAGTATGACGGAAATAAGATCTCAACCCTATTGGACGAAACCGGTGTAGAGGGTGTACCGTTTTTAAATCCGCACACACTAAATTCATTCTCAAAATTCGAGTTTTTATCCGATTATCCCCAAATTTTTAAGGAGTAAAAAAACAATAAAAGTTAATTTTGGAATCATTCATTTAATTTATTTCGTCATTATATCAGAATGCGCGAACCTTGGCCTTAACCCCAGCCATAAGGTTCTGCACGACCTCAGAATCGACAGTTTTATGCATATTAACACATGCTTTCTTCATTTCTTCTACATACTTCACCATTTTAGCTCGTTTTAGAAGGTGCTCCCTCATAATGGCCCAGTATTTTTCTATTAGGCGCAGTTCAGATCTTTCGGCACGAAATCGACATCATTCGCTTTATACCACTCTAGCACGTCCTTCGTGTAGTGGCATGATGGATACCAAATCCGGCCAGAAGATCGTTGGACCGTCGTGAGCCTTCAGGACAGGGAGAAGCCGCATTTGGAGACACTCTTCAAAATACACCTGTCCATTCATGTTGCTTGCGGTAACGAAATGTGTACTCCACTTTCCGCAAGTACAAATCGCTTGCCAAATTAAGAACTTCGACATCTTTTGTATCTGGAGGGTCTCGGGAACATCACACTTATCCTTGGCAGTCACATACAGGTTTCCTCGAATCTGGAAGAAGTCTTGTCATCCATTACGCAGCAGTGTGGTTTCGTTAACTTCTGGTCGTACAACTTCCGGGAACGGCTTTTTGCGACCGTATTCTGTTTATCGTCACGGTTTGGGGACTTAAACGTACGTAGTCCAGCTCAAGTTTTCGTATTCTGCACGAAAGTCTTGCTCACATGCAACTTTTTAGCCACATCTCGAACTGAGGTGTTCGGTTTCCGTTTATAGGCCCCAACCACGCGTTTGTGATCGTTCTCGTTGACCTGACGGCTTTGCTTTCGATCAACAGTCAGACGTTCTTCGAACCGTTTTAGGATACCAGACACCATGGAATTCGCGATTCCAAACTTTTTTCCGATAGCACGATGTGACAGATCCTTATTCTCAAAGTACTCGTGCAAAACTTTTTCACGCACGCACTGTTCTTTTGTCGCCATTTTGAAAACTTTTGCCCACCTGATGAAATCAACTCACAGAGTGTAAGCAATACACACTATGTCCACGCAAAATTTAAATTAATTTTACCCAACGAATCAAAAGTTAGAGCAGTTTGAGTGTGTGTGGACTTTAAGCGGTAAACCCTTTACATTAAAAGGGTTTACCATATATTGAAAGTAGACATTTTTTTTTTGTTTTTCATGTATTTAACACTTTTTGAATAAAACAAATACCCTGTACATTTTTCCTGAAATACACTCAAACCTCTGTTTAGTCTTTTTAACGCAGTATTAAGCTTACATTCTTGTTTTTACGGAATAAAAGAAATAACGATTTCTTTTCGAAGCAAATTCCAAATTGCAAGTTTTTTTTTTGTGATACTGGGAAACTGGGAAATACTGTGAGATTCCCCACAATATGGGTATTTTTGGAATCGAGGTGAGGTGTAAGAACTGGAATTGGATATCTAACGCCATTTTGAAATCAAAGATGACAGCTTCCGATTACAGAAAAACTTAGAAATACTGTCTTATACCCCACAATATGGGTATCTTTGGAATTAGGGACCGGACCGAAAATCCCTGTCTGACGCCATCTTGGATCTCAAAATAACGTCAGACATGGATTTCCGATCTTATATTATTGTCGAACCTCTCAACGGAATAATTTTATGAAGAGCTTTGATCCTTTTAATTCCGTTATAATTGCTTATCTTTTGACAGATACGTGTATTTCGTCTACTACTTGCAGACTTCATCAGTGCCAGGTGTTATTGAGTACTTGACACTGATGAAGTCTGCAAGTAGTATACAAAATACGCGTATCTGTCAATAGGTAAGCAATTAGAACGGAATTAAAAGGAAATAAATCAACACAGTCAAAGCTCTTCATATATGGATTTCCGATTCTTTCATGTCACCATGATTTCAAAAATACCCATATTGTGGATGTTTTTGATAATATTTTCAAAAAACTGTTTTACGAAGTAAATCCCAAATAACGAGTTTTTTAGGCACTGATTTGATTTACGAACTCCCAGTTTGGTTCGTAAATGGAGATTCCAGTATACATAGTTTCCTACAACTGTGTCCCAGACGTCTTTTCGGTTAAAAGCGATATTTTTGTGCTATGATGTGATATTTTCGTGCTATAATATCAGATACGCCATTCTGGAACATTTTGCAAAATTCAAAATGACCCAATTTTATTAGCTCAAATGGGGATGATTGCCCATAACAAATAGTTATGCAAAGTTTCATGAAAACTGTAGAAAGTCACGTCTGACTGGTTCGTCATTTGTCATGAAAATGGTTTATTGTTATCTGCATTTTATTTTGCACTCAATTTTCAAATTCAGGCTTAGCAAACTTTCCACTCCGATTGCTTTTTTTATAGTCACTTTAACATGAGATTTGAATGATATTTGAACTCGCGACCTTTGACGTGAGAGGCATGGATGCTAACCACTACGTCGGGTCCGGGCCCGTGCACTCTAGTTTTTCCGTAGTTTATCCTACACACTAAGATTATTTTACATGAGTCAGTAATGTTTTACTGGGTTTTCGAATTGCTGAAAAAGTCGAAAAAAAAATTAAATGACCGTCATCCGTAAAGAATCAATGAAATTGGCAAATTCTATTTTTATAAGTAAATAGGGTTATCAGAACAAAGTCTGAGTAAATTCGGCATACATTTTCAAATTTTTGAATTTTCCGTAGATTTTTTACCGAACAGTTCCACAATTCAACCATAACTGGGCAGCTAAAAGCTGGATTAGTGTGCATACACCATTTCCATTTTTTCTTTAAGATTCGTTAATTTTTTTTTATTAACATTGCTTTACCTCCTTAAATTTGATACGTTTAATTAAAATCCAAATTACACATAGCATAAATTGAAGAAAAATAAATAAACATGATATAAATTCGTCACAAATTGTTCAATTCTGCTCTTTTAAGCGACACTATTCCATTGTGATTAATAAAATGACCAGGTTGTAGCTGAGCGTAATTCAATGAGTAAAGTCAAGTTCATATAAATGGATCACAAAAATCTACGATTAACTGATGTTTTTTTCGGAACAAAATAAAATGCATGATAGCGGAAAAAACGAAAAAACCGTAGCGAGCAAAAATCTCGCTCGACTCAATCAACACAACCACCTCCGCCCATTCGCCCACCTAACGCTGCTATCACAACGGCAGCCACACGAGATATACGAGAAGTGTCAAAAGGGAAAAATGATTTCCTTCCATTATGTACGATTCAATTTATTCATTATCGCTACTCTACAGAGCTATGTCGATATAGGTACTTCTTGAGGTGAAATATACCATTGTTTCTGTTCACACACAATCCGGATCTAAAACAATTTGGTATGTCCAAACACTTTGCATGACAGCTCTCTGCTATTGTACGTTTGTTTCGATTTTTCACTGAGCACAACCAGCACCAGCACCAATGGGGAATGCATTCCATATTTTATTACCTTGAGAATCCTCAGGTTGCACTCGAGCTATAAGCTGTCGATTTCTATTAATCGAGGCTGACGAAAGGAGCCATTCCAGTTCCGTTAGACACTATGGACCACAGCAGAATCTAGCTTTCTGGTACAGAGACCGAACTATCATCTGGGCTGCTCGAGAGCTATACATTTGACTTTGTATCGATTTTCGTTTAATTTTTCTGGCCCCACATTTCGTGGCTCCGCTGTCTATCTCTTCTCTGTATTATATAGAGCAGAGGAGACAAGTTCAATCACTGAATCTGCCAAACCCAGAAAATGACGTTGGCGCTAGCTGTGGCGAAAAGGTGAATCTGTTTGGATTAATAATATTCCTAGATGAAATAATTTCATCTTCTGAAAATCTTGTGGATTCAATGGAAGTTGTGAAAAATGTCTGTTGAAAAATGATGAACATATAAAGAGCCGTGTAACGTATGCAATGTTGACAATACGATGTGATTTAAAAATTAAACTGCCCAATTAAGGTGATACTCTAAGGAAGCCTTAGCGGGAAACTTCAAAGGCACAAATGTCAGCTTCCGCAAAACATACAAATTTTAAATTACTACTCTCTGTTTGTAGTAGCACAGCAAACAAGGAGTAGCAATTTCAAATTTGTATGTTTTGTGGAAGCTGACATTTGTGCCTTTAAAGTTTCACGCTAAGGCTTCCTTAGAGTGTCACCTTAAACGAGTTTAGGTGAGATTAATTAGAAGCAGATTTGAATAGGTTTGAAATAAATCTTCATAGCGATCTGTTTTGTGTCAGCTAACAAATTATAGTTAGTGAGTACTAGATATTAATGGATAAAATAAGTTTTGGATACTCATAAATTAACAAACACGTTGCCTACACGGCCGTTAATTCTGACTCATATTTGAGTTCCGTTCACTCAAATTTGTAAAAACTTAGACTGAGTAAATGTTTACTCAAATAAGAGTTGATGTCAATGTGAGGGACATTGACTCATTTATGAGAAAATTTCTATGAGTGACGTACACGTTAAGAACACATAACCCAAATATAAGTTTAGTTTACCCATATTGGGCATAAACCGGACAAACTCTGAATATAGGTAAATTTTTAACCCAAATATGGGTGTATGTTTAAGTCAAATTTGCATAAAAATAACTCATATATGGATAATATTTACCCATGTTTGGGTTAACAATTTTTTTCCTCGATTTGTATTCCGTGCTGAGCACCAATGCTACCGACGCCAGGGAGGCAGCTCCCACACCTGGGCCCTACCTATCGACCCATCAACTCATGAACCGGGAACAAACGGGTTTACTTCCCTTCCGAAGGAAGGCGTGATCAGAGATGTTATGCCTCAGAACATCCCGACGGCGCCGACTGGGATTGAACACAGGTCTGCTAGGGTGATAAGTAATCACGCTTACCACTACACCACCGGCGCAGCTAGGGTTAACAATTTTACCCATATTATGAAGTTGTCCGGTGCAATTTGGGTGATCTCTTTGAGCAATCTAAGTAAACTGATCGTACACGCTAACGTTTTTGCGAATTTGAGTAAAAGGAACTCAAATATGAGTTAGATTCAACGGCCATGTAGTTTTAATATCCATAACAAAATTTAGCGCATTACTGTCCATAAAAGTATATTAGTCCCATCTGAAAGAACAGCAAGCCGAGAAAAACGCATTTGAAACTGTATTCCTCCGTAGGCTCATATATACAGGACAACGTAGTTTTGAAATTTTTTACGATATTTTATGAACATGTAACTTTTAGAGCGCAATGTAAAATTTCGCTAGTTCACAATCTATTATTATGGATAACTCATTTCTGACAAAAATCCATATGGGACTGCTATGCTAGTAGGTCATGACAATATCTACCTTAGACTAGTTTTAAAATATGACCGAAAAAATAATCTTCATGTTGAAAATAGCCAATTTTAACACAGAAGCACAAACTTGACCAAAATGTGGTCCAGATATTTAGAAAGGCTTTAAAAAAAACCCCTTCAAGACAGTACTAATCCTAAGTTACCAGAATAAGACGCATTTTAAATATACATGCCTAAACATTAATTTCAATATCTAAAGGTATTTAGTAGGGCAACGTGGCCCCTAAGGAAATGATCGATTTAACTATATGTTAATCAAAAATAAACATTCTATATCAGCGAATTCATTATTCTTGATGTTTCCGAAAACATCACGTTAAAATATACATTCATCGCCGAAAAAATTTCCAAAAATCTTCTCAAAATAGCGTATATTCATTTTTCGTTGGGTAATATGCGGTACTGGTAGGGGTAATATACGCCGCCTCGTAAGTGTTAAACGCTGTCCAGACTGGAGATTTATAACATGTTATAACGGTTGTCAAATAATTGCAACACAGAAACCACCATCAAGATAGCGCTATAACATGTTATAACTCTGTAGTCTGAACGTACTATTATGCTTGTTGCTACCCTAATAAACAAATACTATAAACGAACTGTATTCTGGATGGGTAAACTATCCCACAATTAGTTCGGATGATACCCCAAACACGTCGTTAAGCTCTCTTTTATGGTTATTTTTATTAGGGTAGATGCTATGATATATTTATGCGCTATCTTATGTTATTATTGTTCGAGGTATAAATTTAGGTTGCATTTAGAACACCCCAACAAATAGTTTTAGCTGCAGGTCAGCTAATACATACATACAGGTAAAATTTAGCTCACAAGCAAAGACATCATATCAAGAAGACTGGCAACTTTGCCAGAATCCAAACGACATATACAGTAGCGCTGCGCTTGAGCGAAGGTGGAAGTACTGCATAGAGAAATGAGCAAATACACAAACCTTTCTTCTGAGGATGTAATCTTTGCTATCAAATTCGTTCGAAGCATTTACCTTTGAGCGGCAGATGACGTGATTGTACCTGTCTCATAGCGGTGTACGATAAAATAAAAGAGTTGCCAGTCTTCTTGATATGTTGTCCTTGTCATAAGGTAAATTTTGCCTGTATAAGCTGGTCTGCAGCTACAATTGTTAGTTGGGACTTTTATAAGGTTTCCACTATCTGTAGCTCCTGTTTTACGTAACTCAATTTAAATGTCCACGACTATTTAGGGGTATTACAAAACCACTCGGTTCATATCACCTCTTCCCTCAACTCAGAACTTTGTACACAACGCTAATTTGTGATCGAAAAACAGTCTGTTTTCACACAGACCACTAACGTTCTCAAAAAAATTGGAAATTGACGAATTTCCATGATTCCACATGATTTTTATGTGACCACTCATAAACATAATCCACTCTGAAGTACACATGACATTTATGTTGCAAATGAATAGTATGTGTGGATACACATGGTTTTTATGTGTACATATATTAAGTATGTGTCTGACACATAAGTATCATTTGTTGGTCATATTGCAAAAAATCATATAAAAACAATCCTTGAAATTTTCTTAGTGTAGTAGTGCTCTTATTTTTGCCTATGAAAACTCTTACAAATCGTTGAACAAATTTTACATCGGAAAACACTCAAATAAACTTAAATTTTTATTATTTTTTAAGCAGATATACTAAAAATTTTTCAAATATAATACCGTGGACCCCCGCTCTGAACGACATTTCATGCATATTAACGGGGCTCATGTTTAATGTGCACTTCTAGTAACCCTATAAGCATTAGAAAAGCATGTTTCTGGTAGCCACACGGCGAATGAGAACAACCCAAATTTGAGTTTAGTTCACTCAAATCGCCAAAAGTGCAGGAACTCAGCGATGAGTAAAACTTGTTTCTCATGGTTTCCTGTGGAAAACCTAAAAAATCTGCCGGAAAATGAGGAAATTGACAAAAAATTTAATCAGTCTCGGAGTAGTACCAATAGACTAAGTGAATTCAATCTTTACTTTTCTCAAATTCGGGAATTTTTCCCAGGAAAATCCTGGAAAACATGAGGCAAATTTACTCATCGCTCAGTTCCTGCACTTTTGGCGATTATGAGTGAACTAAACTCAAATTTGGGTTGTTCTCATTCACCGTGCATATTCGCTGTTTTGTTTTTATTTTGCGTTCCATTCCGCAATGTTCCATTTTGCTTTCCTCGATTCCATATGCTGAAAGACGTTTGAGCAATTTTTAGTTTGCATTAGTTTGCATTAGGTTCAAATTAAAAAGTGTCCAGATTAAAAACGGTCACATTACCGGGGGTCCACGGTAGTATAAACCCCCTAAATACTACCTGTTGATGCAATAAAAAGTTGATCAAAGTGTCTATTAAGCTAAATATCATGGTGGCAAGTATTATCTCGCCGGCGCGTTTTTCACCATTTCCTCCTAATCAAATAACTTTAGGCAACAATTTTATAGCATAATGTGTAAGTTTTCATCGTTAACTCGTAAAGTAGCAAGAAGGATTTTTTTTAAATGCTCGTTCTTAGCAATGTTTCAACCGATTTTCATAAAACATGAACTTTATTTGAAGGGGAATAGGGATCTAACTTTTGACGTATGTAACGGCCCGCTAGACCCCTCCCGCATTTGAGGGATGCAAATATGTCTGTGTTATTTCGATTTTTTCCACAAGTATGATGAAATGCTATTTGTTGTCTGACGAATTGATTATCTGTGGCATTAAATAGTACCAAATAGATCACATATGGGAAGTAGGGATGAATTTAGATGTTTCTACGATGTCTGGTTTATTATCGATTCCGGGAGTTATGGAACCCGGATCTATAAAACATGTAAAATCATGCCCGAATAGGTAGAATCATACCGATGAAGACCATTTAAGAGGAATCAGGTGACGTTTGGACAGTTTAACATCGGTTCTGGTGCAGGGTTGAAAATTCTCTGGGGAGAATCACCCGGGTGCGAGAGATATCATTATCTTGGGTGAATCTCTGCTTGTCTCCTCGGAAATTTATCCTGGCACCACTGGAGAGATTGTTAGACACAGCACGAGAGAGTGAGAGAGTTGACTGTTTTCTGTTTGTCTGTTTATACACTCACTTCCGTGAGAAAGATGGCTGCGCAAAGGCGTTACTGTTTCTCCAAAGATTCCGGCAGAGCTTACGTGAGTGAGTTAAAACATCAATAAAAAAACTGAAAAACGTATACAAGGGGACAAAGTGCGAAGTTTTTCACGAAGAAAAAAGTTCGGTTTGATGACGGTACCGGAAAGGTGGTTGTGAATTTTGTGCTTTGCAAGGCAAATGGAAAAACATTCAAAGTGGACACGGTATTGAACTTGAAGCGATATTCATCGGGTGTTCTGGTGTTGCTAGATCACTGCTCCTCTCTCCATTTTCGCTGCAGCTGCTGACGGCATTCAAAGTGCCTTCCATCGATGACATTCTCCACGTTAAAGACGGGCATCTCCCTTCGCACTGTCTAGCCCCTTTGACAGTTTTCTATTCACCCAGGTCGAAAAAATCTGTATTAGTCTACGTGTCCATCTACCGTTCTCCGCCGTGTTCCACTTCTGTTGCCACTTAGCCAACGATTCCGCTCTCACAACTTTTCTAACTCTTCCGGCATCTCTCCGCCTGTAGTGTAGCACTCGCTCTCCTCCGCCAGGGCGATGCCGACAGGGATCATTCCGGCGAAAACGCATACTGCTTCCGACGAGATGGTTCTGTACGCACTCCCGACTCGCATGGCCATGAACCGGAACGTACTGCTCAGTTTCCTTTGGTTCTGCTTCGTTTCCAGCGCTGGAACCCAGGTTGGACCTTCATACCTCAGTATCGACGACAACATACTGGACAGAAAATGCTTCTTGCTACTGATGGGACCAGCGTTTCTCGGCATGATTATAGCTATCGCGTTGATGGCCTTCGAAGCCTTCATACAGGCATATTCGACGTGGCTGTTGAAGTTTAGCTGGTCATCGATCATCACTCCCAGGTATTTCAACACATGCTTTGAGGTTATGGCGTGCCCCCCACGGTGATATCTGCCCGCTGTACCGTTTTACAGTTACTGGCCAATAGCACTTCCGTTTTGTTGGTGGGCTATCTGCAGCTTCGCTCTTTGCATCCAGTTACCAATCATGTCGATCGCCTCGGTCGCCAACACTTCCACCTCTTCCAGCGTCTCGCCTGTTACCGTGAAGACGACGTAGTCCGCAAATCCAACGATCTCAACTCCTATGGGCAGCTTCAGCTTTAGCACGTAAAATCTCCAAAATAAAGATTAAAAAAAAAGCTTTAGCACGCCATTGTCCATCCCGTTCCAGAGCGTTGGACCAAGGATGGAGCCTTGTGGAACTCCCGCTGTGATCCTAATCGATATTTGTCTCATGTCTGTCTGTCGACTAACAGAAGCAAATTTCAATAACGATGCGCTGATGCACTTCCCGTATTCGCATTTCCAAAATGTGTACATTATGATTTTACAAAAAAAAATGACTACCTACTGTACGTTAATAGAAAAAGTAACCTTCAAAAAATCTTGTATGCAACAAACTAACAACCAAAGTCTTCACCGAGGTGATTCTCCCCGGTGAAGCAAACGAACTCTCTACGGTGCTCCCTAGTGATCACTCATATTCTCCGGTGTGTTAGACTGGTCGAGGTGCGAACGTCAGAAACTGTGTTTGTTTGCGAAGTGGGAGAAGTGGTATACAGTGAAAACAAAATAAGATCTCTGGGGTGAGTTTGCTTTTGTCGTAGTGCGAGGTGTCTTTTCAACTCTTCACCCTGCTTACACTGGGGAGAATGGCATTCCTGTTCTGGTGTACTGGAATTCAGTTCAGTGAATTCCAAGATAGGGTTTGTTATAACATTATTACTTTAAAAGTAGCCATATCATGGGACATGTCAAATCATGTTAAACTGACAATGGGGTCTCTGCAATCAGTTTATGGTATATCCGATGCAGTTTCGGAAAATCATTCTCAAATCTCATTTATTGAGCCCCCTTGCGAGAATAAACTCGCGTGCGAATGCGGCAAACAAAATTCACGCTTGATATTCTCATGCATATTCACGCACTCACACTCACAACGCCGAAAAATTATTCCAGCTTTAAACTTATGCATGTGATGCACCTGATGCACAAACAATAGTAATAACAAGTCATAGCGCCTACATATAAAGAAATTAATTTTTGAACCTAAAAACTCATCGGTGATTTTTGCGACGTTGAATTTTTGAAGGCAAAACTCATAGGCGCATAAACTCAAGATTTATGCTAAGAGATTTGAGTGTTTGAGTTTTTCTGAACACTGTTCCGATGACATCTGGCCACATTTACATCGATTCTGGGATTCCGGAGTCCGGTTCTATAGATCATCGTAATATTCAAGGCAAATGAATCATGCTGCATGTCAAATCATATCAGTATAATAAGTGAGGTAAATGAAGACTATTTGAGGTGATTCAATTAATATTAAATAGTCCACATTGGCATCGGTTTCGGGGCTCCGGAATCCGATTTCGTGAATCCCGGAATACGGTATGGTGCCTTTGACATCGCCTTTGAGTTACAGAATCGAAATAACACTTCAAAAACCATCGACCATAGGAGGCATCGAATAATGGAAATATCAAGCTATGGAAAATATCGATATAGGGGAAATGGATGTAATGTTGGCATAAATGCCCCTAATTTAGGCCCATACATAAATTCAGCAATCGACTAAATTTTCAATAGCGACCAAAAATATCCATTAGTACCGTCCCAATGACGCGTTCATCTAGATAAAATTGATAAATAGCAGATTTTAAGCGATGGGCCCAATCTTAGATCCATAGGCCAACATTAGAGCCATTTCCCCTATTTATTTTATTGAAGTAATGACTGACTACTTCGAAGCAGTAGAAGTTCAAAGAATATTTCTAGACTATTATTTGAAAAGGGCGTAACTCCAAAATGACCTTATCGAGAAAATCGCTTCCGAATTTTGATGACTTTACATTTTCTGGATGATTTTATAAGCTTTACATATAGTTAATAGTGTAATCTATCATCATGCATCACTAAAAACTAAAAATAAAAGTTTTCTTTGTCGTGAAATTGAGAATAAAACATCATACGCCCTGATAATTTCTTACATGTTGTTACCCCCCGGATCTTCCATCCTTTGAACTGCCAACACTGGTGATACGCCGTGGAAATACACCCTCGGGATTTTTTGTTTGTTGTTCCGCCTGCAGAGTTGCGACCTATCACAATCACGATCGCCAAACAGCTGATGGTAGTAACGCTTTGTACATTCCTATCAATGTGCTCGTCGAAGCTCTCTCCATGACATTCCATCATGTTGACGAAAGAAGTAAAAAGCAACTGGTGAATTGTCGCCTTCTGTTGTGATCCATCACCGATCTGGTCATTCCCGACAATCACGACACTCATCTGTGCTCGTTTTGAAGCAGTTACTGCTTTGCTTGATTATGTGAGTGTGTTGGTGAGTGAGCCCAACAGCTTCCGTTTCATGTTGCCTGCTGTGTTTGTAACTTACACAGTCGCGCCTGCCAAAACGCGTTGGCATTGTTTTCATTTTCTTCTGTCGTTTCGCTTTTTCTCATGATCGTACTGCAGATGTCTTCACTGTTTTCGTTCTGCTTTTTATCATCAGCAGCAAGTGTAACGTTTTGCTTGTGAGCAGCGACCATTACTGGTGATTGTTGTTTGCCATGGCTCTAACTCTCACTGCGTGACCAAACGATCTGTCAGCGATAGTCGGTTGATGCGAAGACGAGTGTCACGTGAGTGTCATGATATTTTGCATCACTGCGCCTTTTCATCGTTCGCAAATTTTGTGAGAGTGGAATTATGCCCGGAGATTTTTTTTTTTTTGGTCTTCTTTTCGTTTGTTGTTTACACGTGAAATATCAATCAGATGCATTTCAAATTACTCGGACGTGACTAGATACTACAGAATCAGTACGTTTGGCATATTAAAACAATATAATTCGTAGTTCTGGTGCAAGGCGTAACAACCAGATGCATCAGAGAGTTGAAAGTTGGAAATACGCCATGTAAGAAGAAACATTTTTGATGATTCGAAGCGATATTTTCTTCTACTTTTTCGTGTTTATCGAGTAGTTTGTGAACTGTTCTCTCTATATGTGGCAAAATATGGTTTGTTTACATTTTGGAGTTACGCCCCTTTCAAATTTTAGTCTAGATTTAATGTAGGAAAAAAATCACTTATAAAAGGGTTGTCCATAAAAAACATCCCACACTCTAAAAAATCTTCACGTCCAATATACGTGAAACACCACGTAACTGATCTGTATTTAGAAAATCTCAAATGTTACGTGACGTTGGTAACATTTACCTGCATTACACGTCATGTCCACTAAAAACGTTGGCTAGTGTGTTTCAGTATTTACGCGAAACGAGATTTACGTGGTTTTCAGATATGCAAAAAAAATGAACATGGCGTCACCGATTGTGGTGGAAGAACTCCTCAATTGGTTATTTTACATTAATTTTAATTTGTGATAGCTAACTGCGCCTTTTCCTATTAAATTTCAGAAATTGGCATCGGCATTTTGAGTCTGCTAACAGTTGTTAATATATTTTTTCAGAAATAAAAGACATTTCTACGCTCACAATAATTAAGCAGCCAATAATTTGAAATTTTATGAGCAGATATAAGTATTAATTAGGGCACGTGGAATTTATATCTGTCCGATACAATTGCATAATATTGACTGCTTCTATATATACGTTCCACTATGCTCATTCAAAATTTACGGACAAATTATTTTAAAAGCATATTAAACAAAACGGAATATCACGTAAAAATTACCAGTTTCCAGTAGTTTACACCCCAATTTTACGTAAGAAGTACGTGGAAATCAGGTCTTAAATACTTGAAAAATCACGTAGATAATCGATGCTGAATTTTGCTCGGCTACGTGCAATTCCGGTAAAAGTTACGTGAAAAAATATGTTTTCACGTAAATCGGACGTGAAGATTTTTCAGAATGCATATCATGCAGTATTTCACATCTACTTCATGTTTCTGCAAGAAATGTTGTATTTTTTGAGGAAAACACACCCACACAGTTCTATTCATATTTCTTTTGTCGTGGGATGTGGTGGGAAATGGTAATAAATAGAAATTAAGTGTTAAAAACATACATTTACGATTTAGTGTGTCAAATTTATGTGTATTGATATTTTGAACAACTTTGTAGAAGATTTCAAACCAGCCGAAGTTGATAAAAAATAATTATAAAGTAAAATAAAAATTCAAGAGGTTTTCCACGAAAAACGTTTCATATTTTAATGAGATGAAGGAATAGACACCTAATGTCTTCAGAAAAGTTTCTTGTATTCTTGTATTCTTTTCACAGTTCTGGACCACTGTGAGGCGACTGGGTTCGATTCCCGGTGGCATCCCTGCAGCTGAATTTCTTCGAAGAGAAAAAAATTCTCTATATGAGCTATATGTAGAAATTTCTTTCTCTACGATGAAATAGGCATTTTTCTTGTTGAAAAATGCCTCCATTTCCCTAAGCATAGAGTATATGATTGTTCTTATCACACAACTAAAGGCTGACTAAAAGAAAATTGGTACGCACAAAAAGGCCTGTAATTCGTGATTCAATAAGTTTAAAAAGTGCATTAATGGTTGCTTTACAGTACTTTTATTAAAACTTCAAAGTTACAACATCCGAAATCTCGAACCTTCCTCGCCCGCACAGTGGAAACGGACACGGAATCAGCGCATTTCTTCCATTTTGCACGCATTTACTGGATGTCTTTGACTGCCCCGCCGCTTCGTCGAAGTCGCTTCTTTGAAATTGCCCAGTATTTGTCGATTGGTCGAAATTCTGGGCAATTTGGAGGATTCATTAGCTTTGGGACAAAATCGATCTTGTTGGCAGCATACCACTCCAGAACCACCTTGGAGTAGTGGCAGGTGGTCAAATCGGGCTAGCAGATGACTTTGCCCCTATGCTTGCGGATGTACGGCAATACACGCTTTTTCATGCATCAACTTGGGATGTCATCGTCGAGGATGTGACGATTGGTTCCGTTTACAGGCCACAACTGCAAATCGCTTGCTAAATCATGGTCTTCTTCGCGAATTTGTCGGCAAACACGAACTTGAATCTTCCCGGCACATCCCTACGTCCAGTCGGGATGTAGAACTTTTGACCGGGAAGCTGCTTAAAATCGAGTTTGTGCCCTTGTGTTTCGTCAAAACACGGTCGTACAAGAGCCTTGCACGCTTTTTGGTCACGGAATTCTGCTTCATGTGCCGGTTCGGATGTTTACTGGCTTTGTACGACTTTTATCCTTCCCTGGCAGGGATGTTCTGCACCGTTCGAAAGTTGGCGTTGTACCTTCTGGCCATATCTCGGATCAAAAGACCGGGGTTGGCTTTAACGCACCTCAACAACTTGCTGCGCAGCTGACGATCCTTGGTTCCAGTTTTTTCGTAGGTCCGCTGATTCCGTTCCACACTCAGGGTTTCCTTGTAGGTTATGAGCACTCGACAAACTATTGTTTTCGGCATCTTCAGCACTTTAGCCAGCTTGGAACCGGACCACTCTGGATTTTCCAGGTATTTGCGCACAAAATGTTTCTTCTTTCGAGCTCCATTTGACGTTATTTCTCAACTTGATCGACTACTTTGATCAAACTAGCACCAGTTGTTCTCTATCCAGCTTTCCATGCTCGGTAATGGCGGCCTGTTTGTATGAATAAATGTATCCTTCACTGTGGTATCTGGAGGTTTGGATTTTGACCCCTCCCTTTCCCTCTCCCAGGAACAGAAGAAAATGAAACAACGTACGCCCTCCAGTTAGTGTCAACAGGCCGGATATAAGTGTAAACATACCACTGTTAAAGATTTTCGAGTCCCAACACTAAAGGCGTGCTAGCGGTGTGCGAAGGGTGTACCAATTTACTTTTAGGCAATTAATACAAAAATGGTACAGAAAGCCCTCAATTAACAACTGTTGAAGTTCGCAAAGAGCACTATGTTGAGGACCGGTGTAACATCATTAGGGACGTAATAAAGCCAAAGAAGGTGTCTATATGGTCCATACAGTTTTCCAAACACTTGTATGGATGATTGTCTACACGGTGGGGGGGGGGGAGTAAAAAACCTCTCAAAACGGTGTACGTAGTGAATATGTGAATAGACTCTAGTGAAAACATAAAAAGGGTGTATTCGCGAACAATAAAAAAAACACAGACTTGAATCAATTACACGGATCAAATGACATTTGATTTATTACATCGTTTTTCATAAACGGCTAGTACAAAGCGTTGTCTTCGAATAATACAGGCGATAATTATTATGACTACATTTTTTAAAACAACCTAACACATTATTCTGATTAGAACAAGAACCTAGGCTTGAAGTTAACCTAATGTGGCACTGGACGTAGTAGAGAAGAGCTAAAATGAGAATATTGAAATGTATTTTACGGTTGTACAATTTTATTAAACTATATTTTTAATTAAAAGTCTTGTAAAATGTCACAAGCTGCCTTTAAGCGGAACTTAATTAATACAACACAGAGTATACGAGTACAAGCGTCTACTTATAATTTTTCGATTAAAAACTGCCATTTAAAAACTTTCTATTTCCTGCGATTTGGTTTAAGTGGAGTTCTGTCCGTGCATAGCTCTAAGATTTGTTTTTGGTATGATGTAAACGCGTGCATGTTATTAAGGAGATAGTGTATCTCCACCCTCCGAATGGCCGCTTGGTTTGTGATGGTGTATTTAAAAGAGCGGGATAATAGTTTGTCCTTATCTTAGATAAATTTAAAACATTTCTGCTTGTCGTGGGGTATTCGCGTCTTAAACAGGATGGAGTCGGCTCTGTACTGGGTGTTGAGTAGCGGCGTGTAGCCAAATACCTGTCGGAAGAGATTAATGTGATTAAAATTGGAACGTGTAAGCTAAATTTAAACCATTAGAAAAAATTTAGAAACTGATAAATTATTATTATTATTATTATTTAACTTTATTAAGGAGGCTTTCAGGAAAACTGATAAATGTCTCTAATTAGGATATACATGCATGCAAAGGCTCCTACGGTTGAGTGCACTATTTACCGTTTTAAATACATTAACAACCTTGCCATTCAAAACGGCAAAGGTTCCAAAAAGCAAACGTCTTCTTCTTCGCATTTTTAGCTTATTGCGTGCTCTCAAGATGCACTTCCACAGTTATTATTTAAATGCTTTCGTTGCTTGTACAATTTTTTTATGGCAAGCAAGTACAATCATACTTTATGTCCAGGTGATTTTTAAGAATAATTCCAACAGAATATGGACGAGAATTCCAAGATATTTATAAAAAGACTCAGGAAAATTTCTGAGGAAAGTTTTCAATTCTGGTCTTCAGATACCACGATTCCTGAGGAGAAATTTCATTAAAATTTTGAGAATATTTTCAAGGAATTGCATTTTCAGGATAGTATTAAAGAATTTCTATGGGGGCTTCCAAGTGAAATTAAAAGGGAATTACGAAGATAAGTTCGGTACGAGAAGATTGCCAAGGGTATTTTCTAGTGAGATTAAGGAAAATCCCATGATTATACCAACAAAAATTCCATGGTATTTATGGACAAACAAAAAGGGCTTTTAATTTTTGAATAGATTAATATTAAACCATTTCTAAAAGTGGACACATAAGTGGAAATCTTCATGCCTCAGAGATATAAGTTGGTGCCAAACAATAGGTACATCATCAGTTTTTTTTACACCCTAATTGATTCTTCCCAGATTTACCGTCGGATTCCCGGGTTTTTGCCGGTGAGTTTTCAAATTTCCGGTTATTTTCCGGTTTTCCCGGTTCGCTGGCCACCCTATAGGCATAAATAAGTTTTAATGAGAAAAATGAGGTAAGCACTAACATTGTAAATAACCAAGCGTCTCCACAATATGTAACACAAACAAGGAGGCACAAGACTAAAAGCTTCCATCCAGTCACCAGCAAGCAGCTACAACTTACCTTCGTAAAGAAGTTGATACATTTGTGCCGCTCCTGGAAGTGAGTATCGTCCTCACTGAGTGAAACCGGACATCCAGGGCAGCGGAATGTCCATCGCGATGTCACCTTTACTGGTGGTTTCCGCGTCACATGCGATACCAGGAAGTTCATCGCGATATCTTCGCAGTTCATGTACTCGTCAACTTTGTCCCGTATTGCTTGCGGCAGTGTGTACGTATACAGATATGTGTAGTATTTGTGAATGAACGCTGCTCCAGTTAGCACCATGCTTAGCTCGCAACTGTAGTTGGAATTATAGTTCCACGCATTTGGCGTGTTGGTATCCCACGCGTGGAAACGCCCAGGAAATCCTACGACACGATCTCTGTGCTCACGCCAAACGCGAAAACCGAACAATATCTCATCGTGCCTCAAATGGGCGTCATCATCAACTGAAAGAACCGCTTCCGTTTCAATTGCATCGTAAGGAAGGAACCGGTTATTCAATGAGTTACGTGGTGCCCGCACTACGTGAACCGGTACGCCGATATCCGGCCACCGAAGGTCTTCCAAGGGTGGTTTTGGGGAGTTCCATACGACGATGACTTTGTGTAAGTAGGGTAAACCGTATAGCCGGCTGAGAGAATCCATCAACACTTGTTCACGCTCGTATGTGAGTATTACAATGGTAAACTGTTCCCGAGGATGATTTCCGCCAAGTGCTTCACCGAATTCCTTTCCAGCGCCTCCTGCTCCTTTTCCAATTGGACGGAAACCCATATGAGATCCGATAAATTTCGCATCGGATGGTAGTACAGGATCGAATGGAAGCTGCGGATACAACGCGAACGGATCTGCCCAATCATTCCAGGCTTCACGAGATTGTATCAGAAGAGCGGTGTAATTTCGTCGGAAAGCAGGACTTGGATAAGGTGGTTCAATCGGTCCAAGAGATTCTTCCGCTTCCGTGTCCAGCACTGGGTCGGATTTGAGAGGAATGAAAGTTGAATTGAACACACTGTGAGCAACCACCGGCGGAACTGACTTTGGTGGAATACCAAGACGGTCCCTCAAGCTAGCTATGATGGTATCGACTGTAGCCTGTACTGAACTCAAATATCTTTCCCAAATTAGTCGCCCTTGTCGACGCATGCTGAGCAGGTCTGCATCAGAAATAGCTCGAAGCAAAAAGTGTAGTTCAGTTATTCTAGCCTTCGGGAGCGATACTGTTGCCCTTCGCCATTCAATAGTTTCAGCATAAGGCAGTTCCATTTGATCCCCACCAAGAATTACTGGGATCGCTCCGGCCCGTAGAGCTTCATACAACCGTGCCAGGAATAGCGTTGAACTAATACTGTTTCCTCCGGGAGCCAATAGCAGAGTGAATGTCGCATCTTTCAATACGGACTTTCGTGAATTGTCTGTTCCACAAAGAGACCAATCCCTAACACTAGAAGGATTACGTTGTTCCGTTGCAGGAATACATTCAAATTGCAATAAAAACCTATCTTGGGTATGCCCGGAGGACATCTCTTTCAAATGTTCTAAAATAAAATCATCAACAGTTTCGGCTTCGTCATCCACATGATTCAAGTTCGATTGATTTTGTACGTTCATTTCTCCTTGGAAGCTCAACAGATATTTTCTCCTGGCAGGTAACATGGCGCTACATTCTTGCCACACATCTCCACCCGGTGGACCTAGAATAGGTGGCACTATCAGGTCAAAACCTTTCCGGAACTGCCCTTCTTCGAAACTGGACTGTACCAACATCGCTCGTCCCGTATCAGAATTCCGGAAGACATTTCCGGTCCCGATACTCAAATCACGACGAGCAAAGTTCAGCAACACATGATTCCGACCATCTCCTCCCCAATAAGCTAATTGTTTCAATTTCGTCGCGTTCAAGCTAGACTCTGCAACATGCTTTCCATTTTCCAGATTAGTTACTCCGTAACGATTATTACGGATCATTTCCTGCTCTGGAAGAGCCTCACCTACTAGTACAAGGAAAACACACGCTTTCTTTGGATCATCCGTCAGATGTGCATTGTACCCCAGCGTCTGTTTAATAGTCGTTCTCAAAAACCCATCAATATCAAACCCTGGACTAACGACAGTATTCACGTCCGGGTCGTATAAATAGACAGGAAACCCGGAGGTCAGACTGCACCGTGAATGGTCAAAGCACGTACTCATCTTGCATTCTCGCACCAGCACTTGCGGAATGGGTCGATTAAGTTCTGGCACAGAAAGTGAGAACAAGGCCTTCGGCAAGGCTAACTCAGGCGTGTTGCGAAGTACTGCTTCACGCTGTGCGACTTGAGCCTGTTCTACCGAGATCTTTAACCTTTCGAGCTCGGTTTGCTGCCGGGCTAGCTCTTGCTTCAATTCATCGATTTTCTGATTATAGAGTCCAATATCGGACTGAAGTTTTTGTCGTCGAGCTTCTAGATCCCGTAGCTCCAAAGATACTGTTCCTTTTATCCGCAGCATCTCGTCTATTCTTAGCTTCAGATCAGCAGCCTTGAGCGGACTAACCTCTTCGAATGCCTCCAGTTGCGATCGTGATCGATGAATGTCATTACTCGGAACGTTAGATTCATCCTGGAAGAGATCAACACCCTATACTTTTAACGAACACTACAGTCTATCAAAATGACTTACATTCAACAACAGATAGTAGAACACAAACGTCGCCGATAGGAGAAACGCTGCAATGATGATTCCAATACGATAAAGCTTCATGTGTTTCAACCAATGGCATGGGCCACCGGAAGTGGTGCTAGTTCCAACCAGCGATTCGTAACTCGTCATAACTGAGATCCTTCACAGATTCATATTACCTATTAGGTATATAGCTTGTTTGAAGCACACGCAAAAAATCAATTATTCTTACACGACGAAGCCCCGTGGGGTACACCGATTCAAGTGGGTAAAATACACTATCAGATGGTCTTATTCCCATCAAAAACTTTCCACAAACAATATTATAACCCACATTTACACATTTGTGACAATTTCGGCGGAAAATCACACTCAATTTTGTAAAAACATTAAAAATTAATATGAATATTATACAAATAATCAGTGCTGCGTATTGTTTACATTACATTTGACAATAAACATCGATCATTTTTTTCATTTCGATTTTTTGACGTTCAACCAGTGCTACAGATTTATTTTCGATTCTATGATAATTCTAGCGTTATTTTTCAAAAGGACCAATGTATTGCTGATTGCATCTGAAACTGGACTGCCCCATAAATGCAAAAAAGTGTGATAAAAGTGTACCTTTGCGTCAAATCGTTTTGGTGTCTTCGGAACACGTATTGCTTGCATCATAAGAAATAAGTGCACCGAAGACACCAAGACGATTAGACGGAAGCTCGCACTTTAATCACACTTTTTAATAAGTGGAAACGCGCTTATTAGTCCAGTATGGTGTGAAATGCGCAATAACATGTCAACCATTTTGAGGAAATCGAAGTTAAAGTTCGACAGATTATCATTTTAACTGTTTGAAACAATACAATTTACAATACTATTTTTACCGTAGTCAAGGTAGTCAGTGAATAATAACCAGGCCAGTGACAAGGCCTATACCAACAGCAGCTTTTGACAGTATCACGGTGTTTCGCGAAAACCCATTAATGGGTTAAAAATACCCATTTCCGCTAAAAGTGCCCCTCCTCATTTAATGGGTAAACTATGGTTTACTCATAAATGGGTAAATGGGTGGTCTGTCAATAAATGGGTGTTTTTTCACCCATTTTCTTATATTGTGTTTACCTTAAAATGGGTGAAAAATACCCATTTTTACAAATGGAGGATGCAAGCACTCGTTGATGTAAAAATGTTTTTAAAACATTGAAAATAAATGCAGGTGTTCCGCTCAAATTTTTCACAAAACATTATAATACAAATTATCCATTGTATTGACTTATCCGTAAGCCTCTCCAACGTTTTGGATTCTAAAATTTTCCGGAGATCGTTGCTGCGGACAGTAACTGTTTGCATCGAGGTTTGCATTCCCAATGAGCCGGTGACGGAAATGAGACGATAAAATTTCGAAGTAGAAAATATACCCATTATTCAACCGTGAACTGATTCTTTAAATGGGTATTTTTTCACCCATTTTATGATTTCAAAATTCCCCCATTTTTTGACAGCTGCATACATGGTTTGAAAATGGGTATTTTTTACCCATTAATGGGTTTTCACGAAACACCGTGTAGGCAGCATGTCCCGGGCTCAAATAATTTATTTTGCTGTGCTGGGCCCGCTGTCACGGTATAACACGTTGCCTACACGCTAACTTCTGCTTACTCACCAGATGAGTCGATCGTACTCACTTTCATCCGATGTATCGAGTTGTCAAAAATTGAGTAAACGAGATATGTCAAACTGAGTAAAAGCCACTCGAGTCAGCAAAATCCTGGACTTGGAAAAAATGCCAGTCATATCGGAGGAAACCTCATAGAAAATGTTACTCAAAACCGGCTGAAATGCCTTCAGGTAAGTACGAATTGCTTAGGGAAACGGTGTTGAACCGTTTTTTGCTCCGGTAGAATGAATTCGGAGCAAGTAATTTCCATTTCCTTGAATAAAAATCAAAACAAAAACCCTCCCCGCAACTGAAAATACCGGCGAGTGGATTTGACTCAGTCTACGTGAGAACGTAGTTTACTCAAAAGTGAGTCAACATAAGGCTACTCAATTTTGAGTAGCCATGCTTGCCGCTGAGAGGAGTAAATTCGACTCAATTTTGAGTTGACCAGAATAAGCGTGTACGCGCCTGCCACTGGGCTGATAATACACGGAAAGAAATAATACAGTAGAAACTACTATATTGGGGGCTCGATTGGGGGTATAAAATAAATGCAACGCACGTACGTTTTTTGCGGACTACATTGTGTTTTGACAAAAAGCACAAATGTAGTCAAAGGTACTATGCAGTCGCATTTCACATTGCATGGTATTTTTAACTAAACATGCTTTCAATTTTACTAGGGGTTTGTGAATTTGAATTTGTAAATTTTTACTATGGAAGAGTCGTTTATACTATGCTGTTTTACCAGCTCTGATTATCAGCAAAAAACTGTCGGTGCGGTGCATTCGATTTAACTACAAGTTTGGTTTTATGCAATCGAACGAAATGGTTTGTGTCATCAGTTGCATTCCGCAACCATTATAACAGTTACTATCAGCCGATAATATCAACTACAGTTAATGGTCAAAAATACTATTTAATTTCTGGCTAGTCAATTAGAATACAATAGAATGAAGATTTATGAAGATTCTGAAGAATTACAGCAAAAATATTAAGCGCGATGCAAGTAGATATGAGAAATGAAAGAAGATTTATCGAAGATGTATTCGCTAGTGTGAGATTTTTTGAGCATCTAGAATTGAGATTTAGATTTGTCACTGCCTCCGGTAGCCCGACTGTGCAGCTCCCTACACTGAAACAAAGACCATAGTTAGGAGTACTATTTTGCAGAAAACACTTATTTTCAGTATAACTACACTCATAAAATTCGACACATTTTTATTGGCCAATTTCCATGTTAAATTCTACATGATTATCATGTGTCCACACATAAACAGAATCCACTCAGAAGTACACATGAAATTTATGAGTCAAATGAATAGTATGTGTGGTTACACATGAATTTTATGTCTACGCATAAGAACTATGTGTCCGACACATATATATCATTTGTTTATCACACTGCAAAAATTCATGTGAGGGACACATAAAAATAATCAATGAATTTTTATTAGTGTACGCTTAATACCGTTCAAAATACCGTGATTGCAGTAAATTTGACTATAAATATAAACAAATTTACTACCATTCTGTCAAAACTACTATGCTTACTCAAACGGCATAGTAGTATTGATAGAAAAAATAGTAAAATGTAATGAACTTCATTTCTGCAAAGGGCCTGTTTAATTTAAACAATCAATATAGTTTTTTTGTAAATGGATTTTGTTTCTGTGTATATTATACAAAAAATTTTTACTGTGCGTAGTTATACCCTTCACGGAACCGTAAAACTACCAAAAATTAAGTTCTTTTCACTCATCTCCCATGTTACGTTCAATAAGCTAATTTTCAGTAAACCGCTTATAGTAGTTTACATATGACTACGGCAAAAATAATTACTTACTCGTGAGTATTTTCTAACCAAAATTAAGTTCAATTGACTCAAATTTGAGAATATCTCATATACTCACTAGTAGCTTTTTGAACGATAGTCATGAGAAAGTCGAATCTCTCTTTCCGTTTTTGACAACAACAAAAAGTGAGAGTAGGATGCAAAACTCTACCCAAAATTAAGTAAAAAGTTAAATTTAGGGTATTTTTTTTCTCTGTGTTGAAAGTTTTCTATTTTTCGGTGGGTGTGAAAAAACCTTTTCGGTTTGAAATTGACATTTTGAAGTGCCAAAAATGTTGTCGAAGTTTTTGTTTTCTCCGGGTGCATTGTGTGAACTGTAAATAAATAATATTCAACGAACATATTTTTTAGTTAACAGCGTAATGGAAAATCCTCTGTTTGGAACTGCACATCTCCTAGATGAAGTAGACAGTGAGTACCGTTGTTGTTCTTCTTTTATAATATTTAGTTGAATTACCCCGCATACTTTCCGTCAGAGAAATTGATGGTCCTGCTTCGTGATGGTCGCACCTTGATCGGGTACCTAAGAAGCGTTGACCAGTTTGCCAATCTCGTACTGCACCGTACCATAGAGCGGATACATGTTGGCAATGAGTATGGAGACATTCAGCGAGGCGTATTTATCATCCGAGGGGAGAACGTCGTCCTTTTGGGAGAAATTGTATGTCGATTTAAAACTTAGCTCCGAAATGGTTTCAATCGTTGCTAATTTGGATCTTTTTTTTCAGGATCGGGAGAAGGAAAACAACCTTCCGCTGAAGGAGATATCGGTTGATGATATTTTGGATGCCCAACGACGGGAGCAGGAAGCCAAACAGGAGAAACATCGATTGATATCGAAAGCCCTGAAAGAACGAGGTTTGAATATGAACTCGGAGCTGACACAAGATGAGTTTTAGAATAAGCGAAATGTTGGGATCCGTTTTATTGCATACCATATAACGTAAGCTGAATTGCAAAAGCTTTACAAGTTTATGGCTTTTCGTATCTTTTTTTTTTAATTTTGAATATAATCTAAACAATTTGAATAACAATCGAGTCAGCTTTATGCAATCGAAAGAACACTACACCAACTCAGTCAAATTCAAACTTTATGCTGTTGACAATAATCAGAAATTTTAACTGGCATATTCCGGAATTGCTTTCTATTAAAAGAAAACTCAGCAGCTGATCGATATAATAAAACGATATTATATTTATAAATTTGATTAACTGCTAAAAAATAAGCAAAAATAGTGTTAAGCATTCTCCATCAAGCAACCGACGGCTCATCAGAGGGAAGTTTCGTCAAGTTGTTCCCGTTCTTCTGGTAAAGTGCTGCCTTCTTTACCAATGCTCTCGTTACCACCAGTTTGTGCATTGGCGAGCGTCTCCTCGAAATCGTCATCCGTAGGTCTATTTCCATTCATACAAAATAAAAGCGAATCGCTCATTTTTGATTCACTCAATTCCTCCAGATCGGCGTTGGAATCAAAATCGTCTGGTTGACTGAAAAACGATAAATCAGCTGGACTATCCGTCATCACACTACGGCTCAACAGGTAGTTTCTAAAATAAGATAAAGAAACACTTTAACTGTGATGCAAACCTACTTTAAAAATGACCCGTACCTGAATGTACTAGTCAGAGAACTTCCTTCTTCATTCGTACCTACTGGTCCAGTCACACAGCCAGCAATCGAAGATTCACCAATACCAGAATTTTGATCCAAACCGCTATCCGTGCCGATTGGAATATCGGTCAACTGAGGTATGATTTTAAGATTATCTTCGACTTTAAAATATGAATCCAATTGTGCTTCTGCAGTATCCTCTTCATCTTCCTCTCGTAAACTAGAGAAACTCGTTTGGCTGATGAAGGTTGCATGTTGGTGATCTGTGGCATTCATTCCGGCCATTAGCATTACCGGCTTGCGAGAGCGTGGTGTCATGATCGATTCCTATGGATGGGCATAAATGGTTGTTGTAAGCGATATAATTAAGGATTCGGAAGCAACATCAGTAGTTTGATTTAGTTTGAAGAAGAAGCCATGCGATGTTGAGCAGTCATGATAAATATTTGATGAGGAATATTTACAATATCTTAGTGTAATATTGCGGTAAATCTATCTACTTAAAATTTTGGAATTGTAGCCCTTATTGAAAATATGGGCAAAATTTATCACTTCACCACCTGTTGGAAAATGTGATCTTATAAAATCTACAATTTGTTCAAAAATTCTGCACCTCCCGAAATGCATTCTTACCTTACATGACCTTAAACACAACACTTTAGTACATAATACGAACCTGCATCGATTTCGGCATCCGTTGGGTCGACTTTGTGATCGGTGACATGGAGTTCCTGCCGCTAAGCGCTGGTACGCTCGTCAGATATCCCACATTCCAAGCGTTGGCCTCCAAATTCGCATTGTTCTCGTTCATCATATTCGTCTGCTCGTATCCTTCGTTGATGAACGTCTTGGCTTTGCAAAGAAGCGGCGATATACCCATGAGTCGATAGTCGGGAGATGCCATCGACCCTGTCGAACAGCCATCTAACGATTTCTTCGCACTCCTCAGATTGTCTTCAAAACAACACTTTAACAGGGAAGTCGAAGACGACTTTTTACCAGATCGATAATCCTGCCCGAACGGTAATCTTAGGCTACCCATTGAGACGCCCTTGATCAGCTTACTTTTCAGAAAAGACAGTTTCTTCTCCTTGTTCGTTTGATGATCGCGGTGATGTTCTTCGTGCACAATTGTACTCAAATTTGGCTCCGATTTAAATTTTGATCGGCTATCACTCAGGCCTCCAGCTGCTCTAGGCGAACAGTATCGATCTTCATCATTATCGCTAAACGTTCTTCCTTCATCTCGTAACTCGTGACTGTCTTCTTCTTCTTCACCTATGTCATCGTCTTCCTGTTCCACAAAATCCTCATCGTCTTCCGGTGGTGGAGGTTCGTCGTCTGAATTCAATCGAAATCTTTTAACCCCTGAATCGTCATAATCTTCACTTTCGGCTATCGCAACAAATTCTACCGTTCGTTTGGTTTCGCTCCGATAAGATTCGGTGGAAGTGCTAGAACTGTTGCTCCTTTTGAGCATAGACGATAATGCAGGTGACAGTGAACATGAGCTTGACGCTGCACCTTCCGAAGACGACGAAGATGAAGTTGATGTGGTGGAGGAACGTTTTCCTAACAAGCCGGGAGAATCAGTTGCCGTCGACAATGGACTCTGAAACAACACTCGTTGCTTGGGAATGTGAGGAATTGTTCCATTTGGAGTCTGAATGTTTATCATGTTCAATCGAGACATATGAAAGCATGATTTTCAGATGGCGATGCGTTAGTGATAATGATTATGGATGCCATGCATGCAAATAAAAGAATAATGTTAATGGGTATGCACGTCAAAAATGAAATGAACCAACCTGTAAACTCACTGGAGTGTGACTATTTCGTTTCGGTGTTTTGGATATCAGATTTTTGTGGAAAATGTGTCGTTTGATTGAATCGCCAATCGACTTGGCTACCTTTGCGCTTGAACCAACAGAATTTTTCTCTCTTAGCATTAGCACTTGCAGCGGAGTTCCGTGACCGTTTTCCCGGTTAAACTGTTTGATAAGTTTCTTCTTTTTAGAAGATTCCGGAAGACTTTGGATGTGCGCATACAGCTGAGCCAATGCTGTGTCGGTTGAATTCATTACGTGAGCTTCTGCCGTTTTCTCACGGTCAACAAAAGTGTAAACTGTGTTAGCTACTGAGTCCGATGTTACCGATTCGTTAAGTATGTGTTCCGGCGACATGGTCTTTCGTCGTTTTCGCTCGACAAAATACGCTCGAATGTCGGTTGCTAGTTTTGGCGGAATATGAAACAATCGGGGTCCAGTCTTGATCATGAAACTGATAATACTACACATTTGCTGCGCGGTGACATGTAAAGCCTCCGGAGACAGTTTCCGCGGGCAGATCAAGTGAGGCGTGAATAAAGTAGCTAGGTTATCCGCAGACATCTTATTCGTCGGTTCGTGTTGAACGGTTCTATACAACATGTCTATTATAGATTCCAATAGCCGATTATTCTCCCTCGGGAGTAGGAGTACTAGCATTTGAATGGTATGCAGTAAACGTTCCTCACGGAAGACTGCTGAATCCTTGGAATGACAAAAATCTGCCACTTGGCAGTAAGCTGGATAGTAGTGCTCTGTAAGAAGAGGTTCCGAGAGATCTGCCAAAAAACTTTTTAGAAGGCTAGCGCAGTCATGTGCCGTATAGTCGCCTTTCTCTAGATTTATTGGAATTCCATGGATAAGAGCATTTTTCAATTCATTCTGCCGCTGCAAAGAACCTGTTTTCCGAAAAATGCCTTCCTGCGATATATCTGCAATGAAACAAACCTTATCATCAATATGTTAACATTTAACAAATCAATCCTTTACTTTTCTCCTGTACAAGAAAATCAATCAGCTGCATAACATCCCGTATATTTTGTTTAGTGAGAACGGTCTTGGCTGTATCCGGCGAGTTCGATTTCGTTGACGTGCATCCCCTGGCCTTTTTATGAAAACCTTTCCATTTCTTTACCTTCACCTTTTCGACACTAGTGGGGTCATTCCTTGAAAACAAGTATCACAATCAATCTATATTATATAAAAAAAAAACAAATTCAATTTACTACTTACTCTGTATCCGTGTTCAAATCCAGCTCGAACGATAAGTGCATCCTGACTAGCGTAATAAACTGCTCTGGGTGTTCATTTTGCAATCGATTAGATATCTCCTGATCCAATCGGATTGACTCCGTTGAGTCACACATCTCAATTGCAGATGGCTTTCTTTTGCACAATATGAGAGAACCGTATTATTCACTATAACTAGGATGGATTATCATGAAAGCCAAACCCTCATTCTGGGAAAAATTCTAAACATCATCAAAATTCACCGATAGCAATGTTTTGTGATGGGCGTACAATGTTTAAATAAATAACTTTATACTTATAACACTCTGAATCAATTTAAATCTTTACAATTTCGCTTCAACATTTTTTAAACGGTTTAACGACAAAACGGAAGACCTGTATTGTTTATAATCACTGAATCAGGGATACATTTTTCAAGCATCGGTAATTAACAATAGCTTATGCTTCAATTCTATATTAGAACAACATTAGAAATGTTAATATTATCAAAATAAAAGCAGTTTAGAAAATTAGTAACGAACGAAACGAATCCGAAAAGTGCGGTTTATTTGTACCTGCCACAAACCTAAACCGACATTTTTTGTGCAGCGCTGCACTTGAACTGTCACTTGAATAGGCCTTTTAGGTTTTGAAAACAAAACTGCTTTAGCATCACTTTTATTTTTGCGGGGATTCCGATTATAGATACTATCACGGAGAAAACATACTAACCAAAATTTGAGTTCTTTTTACTTAATTTTGAGTTGAGCCTCTCACTTGCACTCATTATTGTTGTCAAAAGAGGAATAAGAGATTCGACCCAACGATATAGTTCAGCCCAAAAAGTTACTTTTGAGTAAATTGCATATTCTAAAATTTACGTGAATTAAACTTAATTTTGGGTGAATATACTAAGAGTAAGTATTTTTTGCTGGTGTAGAATGAAACCTACGATATGCGATTTATTCAAATTTGGGTTATTGGGCTGAACCCGGGAATTCATGGAAAAGTATCTAATTTTGGGTAGTTTTTCATCTCCGTGTAGATTTCATAGATAAGCGGTGGCACAAAAAGTTGTTTTGGCAACCATGAAAAATAAAGGATCTAACTGCCCGAAAAAAAAATAACAACAAAAATACATTAAAAAACAATGTAACAATAAGACGAAAATTATTGTCTAAACAATTATTTATATTGTTACGTCTACAATAAATTTACCTTGATTTATGTTGTACAAAACAGTAAATTTCATGGTAAATGGAAAATTTACAATAAAAAAGGGGGGTTGTTAAGTATCTTAACAATGAAATTTTCGTGATTTCCCCATATAATTTTTTTTCAATAACATTATATATTATTGTTATTTTAATGTTGGTTGGTGAATTTATTGATTAAAAAAAATAACAAATAACAGTGTACTTTAGAGTGTATGTGTTAGCTTGACAGATCTACTTTATCGACTTTAAAAATAAATCGAAAAAATAAAACATCACCCCGGGAAGGGAAGGGGGTGGTATGTCTGTTACGGGTGAGTCCTTTTTTTACTGGTTATGGATTGAGATTCGATCCGGAACTTGTGAGAAATGGAGGCCAACTCCCCTGCACTCGATCACTCTAGGTCACGTCTCCTTGGTGGTTGAGCGTCGTTGATAAGTTAATGCATGCATTCTACTGGAGAGAATAGCCCATGAAATATGCTTCCACCTGAGAGTTCCTTCCTGACATCTTCAAGTGGTGGAATTTTTTATTATTATATTGTATGATTATTGACTGCACGGAAAAGGTCTGCATTAAGCGGGATTTAGATGAGGCAGGTGAGTTGAATTCAACTCAAACCGATCTGGTCGCAGGCGTTCAATTGACTTGGCAACGAATAGAGCAAGTCCGATATCGGTCAGATTTCTGGACGTTCATTTCGCAGTTCAATTGAGTTGAACGCTGAATTCCCAACAAACATTGGAAGCAGCATAAGAGCTTATTCAACCAAAAATATGCGTCTTCAGCTAAAAAATGGCTTATTCAGCCTTTAATCAGTACAAATTGTTTGTTGGGTTGAACCATCTTAACCCAGCTTTAAAGAGGGTCTAGGATAAGAGATGAGCGGACGCGGACTGGCTGGTTTTGAGCCAAACGAACTCTCAAAGCCAGAGCCATACGAGCAGCGCCCATCTTGATTATATTGGCAGTGTTGCTGACCCTCTCATAGTCTGCATGCTTCAATTAGATTTATTTTTATTGTTCATGAAGTAACCCACAACAATATTTAATGTAACAACAATTTTTTTGACGTAGAACTACGCCTTTGTCGACTATACTGGGGTGCAATTCAAAAAATATGTGTGGTGAAGGCAAGGGGTAAGTCACTCAGCACATTGTGCCGGAATTATATTCTACACAGCTTGGGCACATCCATCGGCACATTTTCGGCATACATCCGGCACAATCTCGTAGGCATTAGATTGTTGTAAATAAAATGGGAGCACTTCTGGACAACTGTCATTGAAGTTGTTCAGAACATGTTGTGCTGTTTGACAGTATGTTCAGTAGAGTGATGCAAAATTTGAAATTTTCGCTCCACAATACTTAAACGATTCCAAACCGGATCCTGACTAACTTCTCAAAATTTGAACCCATTTGGTGAGAAACTGAGATGGCACAAACCATTTGAAGTTTGTATGGGAATTACTATGGTAAAATCAAGATTTTTGTTCATGTCTATCTAACAATTCACCATATCGGTCTGCTTCAAAAACTTTCAACTGTACTTGTAGGAAATTTTCCCAGCTACAAGACTATTTTTTGATTAAATGCAAGGATAGAAAGTTATCAATGGTTCAATGCGCTGATGTCTTATGATCATGCTCAATCAACTGCTCAGCAGGCAACATTGGTGTTTCTGGGGCGTTGAATAGGACACAAAAATCAAGGCTACTATGTCACACTGCAAAATACAGTGTTACCTACAGAGCAGCTGCTTGATCATGTCATAAGTTTACCAATCTCTTAAATAATTAATAACTTTTTCCTGTCTCGTTTTACATAGAAATAATCTTGAGCAAAGTTGTAGCTGAGACAATTTTCTATAAGAATGACTATCGAACTGGTTCGCAGGTCAATATGGAAAAAGACTAGAAGGAAATGAACAAAAAGTTGAGATTTCCCATAGTAATTTACATGAAAACTTCAAATTGCTTGTGCGAAGTCTGTTTCTAACCAAATGAGTTGTAACTTTGGGAGGCTAATCAGGATCCGATTTGAAACCATTTAAGCACTGTGGAGCAAAAAAGTCAAATTTTGCATCAGTCTAATGTTCAGGAACATCTTCTAATTGAATATACCAGAGGAACTCAGACCAGCAGTTCACTTATAAATCTAAATACGAAATGTAAGTTCTAGAGTGGACTCAAGAGGAAGAGGCAGTTAATCAGACCTCATTAGTACTCTTAATTCAAATAATGCTGCAAATCACACAAAACAAACTAAAGAAGTCTATTCATCACCCTCTATTGTCTGTCTCTAACAATGCTCCCCACCGGTTCCAACTCCTTCCGGCCGAAAGGCTACATTTCTGGTCTGCCTTTGAGGGCATTATAAAACACTAAAATACAGGACTTTTATTTCCCTATGGATCACAAAACACCGAAAGTTCATACACCCGCCACTTCCCGCGTCATCCTCAATCCGATGTATCCTTACGATTTCAAACCAAAACATTCAAGGTGTCAGAAATACCGGGTTGCCGGGATGGGTATTTTACAAACAATCGCAGCTTGCTCTATGACCGGCACAATCGACATACTTGCGGCACACTGACAAGAAAGATGACCCAAATTTGGTGTGCGGAGTGACCTACCCCTTGGGTGAAGGAGTGTTAGGTTTTGAACGCTTGTTACTTTGTCATTTATAGATGAAATTAAAATCCAAATACGCCAATCGATAGGATATTACATTACAAATCTGTTAAAATGTAATTTTCCAATTTTTTTGTAATTAAACTTTTGAAACTGTACAAATGATAATTTTATCACTGATTTCATGAAATAAGCCTTTTTCCCAAACCCAGTCATCATAAACGAATACCACTTGGTTGCACATCATTCTGCTTGAACCTGAAAAGATATAAATCAGCGCTGCTCTCATGCCTCTGCTCATTACCGCTTCGGACGGCGTGGCACTAGGTCCTGCATCAAGCAGGACTAGGTCAGGGGCTAAAGGTGGATCATGGCGTGTCCACCACAATGAGGAATGAGACTTGAAAAAACGTGCATGTAAAACCCCCTCCCGCTTAACAACCCCTCCCCCTCCCCCTTAACAATAACCCGAAAAAGACATGGACTTTGACGATCATTTTTTTTTTCGGGAAATAAATTTTAAGCAAACCCTAATGATGTATGAACAATTAATTTTTTACATGCAGAGCCAACATTTTCACAAAAAAAAAATTGCTTAATAGGAGACATACACTGGATGAATTACCAACATCCAAAGTCCATCCTTTTTTACATATTCTGCGCAAAAGAAACTTTTTGCTCCGCCCCATTCATAAAAAACGGCGGGAAATCCTGAACCTGAAAAAATATAAAACAGCGCTGCTGTCATGCGTTTGCTCATTGTCGCTTCGGACGGCGTGGCACTTGGTCCTGCAGTAAGCAGGACCACATCAGCGGCTAAAGGTGGATCACGGCGAGACCACAATGAGGAAAAGTAATGATGTAAACCCCCTCCCCCTTTCACAACAACCTCTCCCCCTCCCCCCTTCACATCAATCTCTCCCCCCTCCTCAACAACCTCTCCTAAACCTTCCCCCACTCATCAACAACCTTTCCTAACCCCCCCCCCCCCCCTCCCACTCATCAACAACCTCTCCTAACCATCCACCGTATTTTTTTTTTTTCGGGTGGTATTCATGAAAAAAGTTCATGCGATCATAGAGCTCTTCGTTGTGCAGTTTTGTTTTGTTTTGCGCAAAAGTTCAAAATGAAGTGCAAAGCAAATCTTTGCAACAATAAATCGAGAAATGGTTTGCTTTATATTGTCGCGCTTATGTTATAGTCTCATTTGGTGACGGTCGAAGCGCACCGCTCATAAGCGCGATGCAACCCCGCCCATAAGGATTATACACAGGTGTGTAACTTTGATAGTATTTTATGGCAGCGGCTTGAGGAGTGAATCCTGGATAAAGAGCCGCCGTGTGTTAAATCAATGGGCGCAGTCGTACGGCCATAAACAGAAAACAGGTGGTATAATTCCTTTTTGAGAAATTATCCTGCCACACACAATATTTCCTTCTTCGGTTGTCCGCGAAATAAATCGGAACGAGCATGACACCATGATGTTGTCATGCTCATTTGGCTACACTAACTGACAGTTCGTTTGGCTACATTATTGATGAATCTACGTTACGGTCGACCAGCAGATGGAAATAATGTGAAAATGATAATGACGTTTTGCTACCTGTCAAATCGTATGGAATGTTTTTAGTACATCATCAGTTTTGTAATTGCAAATCTGAAAACTAGGTGTCGCATGGCCAGTTTTACTTTTGCGTAAATTCATCAATTGATGAATCTACGCAAAACTGCACCAGTGCATGCGACACCTAGGTTTGAAATCTAAAACCCCAAAAGTGATTTTTTTTTTTTTTCCTTTGGTTTGTTTTTTCCGTCGATCTTGTTTTCCGTGCTGAGCACCAATGCTACCGACGTGCCAGGAAGGCAGCTCCCACACCTGGACCCTACCTATCGACCCATCAACTCATGAACCGGGGACCAACGGCTTTACTTCCCATCCGAAGGAAGGCGTGATCAGAGATGTTGTGCCTCAGAACATCCCGGCGGCGCCGACTGGGATTGAACCCAGGCCTGCTGGGGTGAGAGGTAATCACGCTTACCACTACACCACCGGCGCCGTTAACCCCCCCAAAAGTGATGATGTACTAAAAATATTCCATACGATTTGACAGCTAGCCAAACGTCATTATCATTTTCACATCATTTCCATCTGCTGGCCGACCGTAACGTAGATTCATCAATAGTATCTCTAATTCCGTTTAGCTTGAATCGCAATCACCATTTCAAAAGCACGAAACGAAATAAAGCACGAAAAGAAAAAGCGAGTTTTGATGATATTTTCAAGAATATCTCGCACAACACGAGAAAAGGGCCTATCATTGTTGATCAATTCTCTTCATCAATTTTATCTTTCGTGAATAACTCGACTGCAAATGAGTTTCCCATTGAGCGTGTTGTTTCAGGCGCAAGCTAACATCATCTTCTGTCGAACTGTGCTGCGAACTTAGCGAGATATTCGTTTATGTTCCCGTGGTAAACCAAAGAGAAAGTCGATGAAGAGAATCGATCAACGAGGATAGGCCCTTTTCAAATGTTTTGCGAGATTTCATGTTTAAGCTCCTTCTTTATAATGTTGAATACGAATAATTTAACCAAAATCAGTTAATTTTCAGAATAATTGTGTTCTTTATGGGTATTGATGTAAATGCATATTCGTAATCTGCATCAAAAATGCAATCGAAATCCAAAATTTTATCAATTTTGGAACTATTTTAAATAAGTCCAATTACATTCGTAAAAATTAACATATTAGCATCCCTCATGTTATGGTAACCAGTAAGGTCCATGAATGGTTTTGTAACATCGATCAACTTTATGTGGAATATATCGCGAATTGGTTGCCTGTAAATTACTGATTACCAATTCACGATATATTTCACGTAAAGTTGAGTGATAATACAAAACCATTAATGGACCTTACTGACTACCATAACCATAACCATTAATGTTCTCAAACCATAAATAAAAACGTTCTAATATAGTTCTCTTTCCGAAAATGTATGGAGAAAACAAGAATTTGGAATGGTAATGGTTCTTAACAACCCATTATTTGTAAGGTCCGCTTCAAAAAAACCATAACACATAAGGTTAAAACTTTATCACACAAACGTTCATGTAAGGTTCCAAAACCATTTCAGTTAAAGTTAAGGAGGGATTATAAACAATTTATAACCATTATCGGTAAGGTCATGTGATGGTTCGCGTTTATGCGGGCATTTATTCATACAAACAGGCCACCATTACAGGCCATTCGCCTTGACACCAGTCCTCAAGTGACGTTTCTTTACACACATTTTGACAGTTCCTTATGGGGTTTTGCGTTGGAGTGAGAGAATAAGAAAAAGTCTGCCATGTTTCACACATAGACTGACAGTTACATATCAGTGCCAACATTTCAAAGGGGCGTAATTGCTTTTGTAAACAATGGCTTTAGACGTCGATTTCTCGCAAACGAAAACCCACCCCTCTAAATTACAAATGCTAGCTGATACAGTAAACATTCCTCTGCGTTCTGGTGTCATTTATGTTCATAAGTGAGCTTTCATTCGCGAGAAATCGACGACTAAAGCCATTGTTTACAAATGCAATTACGCCCCTTTGAAATGTTGGCACTGATATGAGATTTCTCCATATGAGTAAAGAGTTACAGAGCTCTCGTCAACGCCAATTACCAAGCATGATGGAAAGCTGGATAGATCTAACGCATTTTTGTCAGTGCGTTGCTGGCCGCATTATTTTTTCTACGGGCCTGTTGTCATCTGTCATCGCCTTGTCTGTGTCTCTTTTGGATTCCGTTTCGCATCGAATGATTTTTCTCGAGTCGCAGTCAAAAATACATCAAACAGTGTAGCGCATAATAATTTACTTCTTTCGGCAATCGTGGTGCGTATCGGTTAACTCGAAGAGTTTATGGAAATGTAATATTTTCCTTGTATTTGAAAAAATCATACCGTAAAACAGATAGTCGAAAATAACGAAAACTAAGCGCTAACTAATTGTACAAAGAAAAAACCAAAGCAAATCGTCGGTTTCGTAGTGGCATTTATCTCTGAGCGCTGAAAGTCCTCTAATATATTTACCGTGAAGTCGGAGTGCGGTGCGGACGTGGAGCTAGCCAAGTGCAAGTGCCAGGAAAAAGTATTCGATTTTCATCAACATCCACAGCCCAGAGCACAAAGGTCACCGTAGTGCTGTGATTGAATGAAAATAGGGCGGTGGGAAATCCCGAAACTGCTGCAGATCCGAGATGAGTGCATTTCTTCGAGTTCCGAAGGTGGTGCTTGGTTTGGGCCAGCACTATCGATGTGTTGATTGTAAGTGTTAGTTTGAATATTGTTTTATTTAGATAGTGTTTAAGAGTTAAACAGATCATTAGAAAAGGGTGCCTTCCTATAATATCAGTCTCATTTACGTAATATTAACTACATAGGAAGGATTTAAATTAGTATATGATATCACCAGAAGACAGTTTCTTTTGGCCGTCTGGTTAAACTCTGTTAGTGTAAAGCTGCACCGGGGTTAGATTTTTGCAATGCTGATGTAATTTAGCGTGTGTATTGAAATTGAAAGCCAAGGTTTGCATGTATATTGGTTCGTGGTTCGCGTTGTTTGTTGCTGTATTTGCTGTAGGTTTTTTCCTTCTTTTCTTCGTTATACATACGCTCCTACCTAGAAAGACGATAAATAATGAGCGAAAGATGAGTAAGAGCAAAAGGTAGAAGCCAGTTTTTTAAAACGAAATACGCGTGACTTTGGAAATCATACGATTGGTGGGTGTTTATCTTTTTTGCCAGACAGAATAATGTACAGTGTTCAATTTCTCAAATTTTAACCAAGATAAATAGTTTTAATATATCGCGGAACTCATGATTATTAAGTTACGATATAGTAACCATTTTTCAGAGATCCTAATGCGTTTTAAGTTTGATTTTTTATGTCACTCTTATCTCCGGCTACTGATAGTATAAGATCAATTCGTTCAAGGTCATGAAAAACTGATTTTGTTTATGGTTTTTAGCGGACACGCGACACTCACGTGTAGCAACAATAAACCAGTTGGCTGCTATTGATGACCCTTTGAACATTGTATGTGGATTCATCAAATTGGTACTAAATTGGGATTTGGATTTTGGGATTTTCCTCTCTCCCAGTTCTCATTGGCCGATATTCCTTTCGGTAGTGAAGAAAATCGAGAGGACAAGTTGTGACACAGTTGTTGTGTGAATGGTCGTTAGCGGAAAAGCGCTAAATTTAAAACGTGATCCGCGTCAGCAGCCTCGGCATATGGTTGGCCTGAAACTAGGTCTTAACTGTTAGTGGTGGTATTTGTGATGCCGCGCTGATCTTGCAGTATGGTGATGACGATGAGTGATCTTCTTGGTTGTTTCCTTTCCTCGAAAGTGAAACAGCTGATTGTTGTGTTGCGCTATACGTTGTGATGGTAGTGGCGGCTGGTGGATGAAATGATCACCTATGCATTTTATTATGAAAAAATGTCTTTCAATAAATAATAAAATAAAATAAATTAACAATTTTAGTGTTGGAAATAATAAGTAGCTTTGAATGTGCAATAAAGATAAATAGCATGTAGGTGCATATCATATTTCAGAGCACCGTATTAAGAAAAAAAAATTAACACTGCACATTTACCCATTGCCGAAGCCGTCATTTCCCCTATTTTAAAGATTCCCAAGATTTAAAATTGAGCTGAAAGCCTGAAATTTATTGCTATATCCACACAATTACTAGACTGGTAACTTTTTTCAAGTCAGTCACTAAAAGCCTCCTTTTTTAAGGCCAAGTGACTAAAGTCACGTTTTCTTGTTATCAGTCCCTATGTTCTTGAATTTAGTTACTATGCTTGAATTTATCTCAGTGAAGTTTCATGAACTAACTGCGGGAACATAAGGTATGTTAACATATTAAAAATATGAGAAACTTACGACACGTTGACGTAAATTTCCCAAGTAACCATAAGCACGTTATTTCGCCTTTTTGACCTTTTGGAAAAACTAGATATATTTATTTATTTATTTATTCGTCAATATCAACTGATTCCATGTAGCCCCAATGATGGATTATTTTAAAATTAAAAGTGAGAGTCACAAGAGATACAGATATTTGTGTAATTTCAGAGATTAAGGGCAGTTCCCGTACATTTATTTCAAACTATTGGAGCAGTTTAAAGATCTATAAGCGTGAGTTTAGAAAAATATAGTTCCATGATGTGCTGAAAAAAATAATCCAGAACCCTTAAGATGTTTGGAGAATTTCAGGAAGGTACAGATAACTTGAGAGAATTTATTAACACTTCACAAATATGTTAGGAAATTCCAGAGCATTTCAGAGAAGTTTACATGTGTTTATGAGAAGTCCATTTATTTTAGAGCAGAACAGAGATACTCAATATAATTGAGGGCTTCAGAGTTAGGTCTGGCGAAGACACATTGTATTCATCCCTCGATGTCAAGTTGGTAAACACAGCAAATCAGCGCATGACACCTTGTAACGACAGTACCTAGTTGTTCGGTTTTTCGGTTTTTTGTAAACAGTTGAAATGCAATGCTACGCGAAGTTTTGAAGCTACACTGCAAGCGCACCGGTAAAAGGAAGCTTATTCAAAGACTGGTTTCGCCTCGGGTTTCGCTAAGTTCGCATTACTCAGCATTTCAAGGCAACAGGAAAGTGCTTTTATAAGCCTCCAACTGTATCAATATATCCTTGCGCTGAACAAAAATTGCTCAGCTTATATCTAACTTGTGAAAGATGATAATGTTAATGTCCAGGATACTTTTCAAATTCGATTTGCGATGATATTCAATTTAAGCTGATCAATTAATTCATTTCATATCGTTTGAAAAATATGCAGAAGAAGAAAATAAAAAAAAATACTGTTCAATAGCAAATCTATGATGATTTAAGATTTTTCCAGTTGATAATTTAGTTTCTTTTGATTAGATAATTGATATGAACTAAATAATAGCAAAAAACTCTGAAAATGCGTATTTGTCGTATCATCATAAAGTTATTTCAGGAAAAAAAACATAACAATGTTCTTTTCACTCAGATTTAAATACCTCCTATCTGTTTCCTTCTTAAAATAACAGTAAAAACTGGTTCGATTTTGACAGATCAAATTGGTTCGAAAATCATTACGTCTTCGCCAGACCTAGCTTCAGAGAAGCTCAGAGCCGGCGCCGGTGATGTAGTGGTAACCGTGACTGGGTTAAATCCGAGGTCGGTGGGATGATTTTTCTGAGGCATAAAAATCTCTGGTCACGTCTTCCTTCGGAAAGCGATGTAAATTCGTTGGTACCGGCCCAGTGTGTTGAATGAGTGCGATATCCTACGCAGGTGTGGAAGCTGCCTTCCTTGCACATTCGATTGCCGTCAATGGATGGCAATCGATGTCCGTCGGTGATTGGCTTTAGATTGCGGAACAGAGACCAACGTTAAATAAAGGAAAGAAGAAGTAGAGAAGCTCAGAGAATATCAAGACAGATCAGTGAATCAAAGGGCAGTTCAAATATAATTTCAATTATTTATTTCAAGGAAATTGCAGAAGCCTGAAGAAGTTTTGAGAAACTCAGGAAACAAATTCTGGAACAGAATAAAAATTATATGAACATCCGGAAAATGTGAGAGTATTTTAAGGATATTCCTATATCATGGAAATTCCATGAACTTAAACGATATCTCCAAGAAGTCTCAGAAAACTTAAGAAATTTAGATATTTTTAGATAGTTTCATGATATTTCAGCGATTTTACGAGTACTCCGAAGACATTCGGATAACTCCAGAACAATTCCACTAACTTAAGGAAATTTGCAGCGACTTACAAGGAGTTCCATGGAATTATGAGATATTCCGAGAATTCCATGATTGATCCGAAAACTTCAGAAGCGTTAGGGAATTATTATATATTTTTTGCAGATCACAGGTTGCAGCCGTTTAGGGGCTCAGTTGTCTGCACCTGCTCTGTCCAATAGATCCGCTACTCGAACGCCAGAAGAGGCAACCAATGGTTTTGATTTGAATAGGTTAAATGAGGTAGCATGTTAGTATAATGATTATGTGAACTTACTTATTAAATTCTAAGGTTACTTGTGTTGCTAAATCATCGGTTAACTTGATTGTGGGTTGTTATTGTCGTTGCTCGAACCGACTTATTCTCCAGAATCGGTTCCTCTCATGATGGGGTCCTCATCACTGAATCCGGAGAAGCCTGAAGGAACTAGTTCTTCTGTTTCACTATCCCAGTCAGAGTCGCTGCTATTCTCAAATTCCGACTCCACCATGCTACTATATAGGTTTTTAGTGGTTTGTTTGCACTTGCTCCTTTCTCGTGCTATATCCTGCCATACTTCAATGGGAATTTTGTTCCTCTCCGCGTTCTGTCGAATACAGGTTTTCCAGGTATATGCCGGTCTTCCAATTTTCTTGGGTTCTGGTATTCTGTACTGGTATACCGTTTTCAAAATTTCGCCTGGATCGCTCCTAAGGATGTGCCCGTAGTAGTTGAGCCTTGATATTCTTATCTTGTTTTCTTATCGTATATCCACCCAGCCATTCGGGGGCAATGTGGCCACATACTACTCTCTTGTGGACGCTCTTCGTGATGATTGTCCCAGAACGTGAGTGGATCATGGTCTTCCAATTTTCTTCTTCTCCGAGTTCCCATATCCCAAAGGGCTTTGCTGATAATCTGGTTCTGTTTTTATGAAAATAAAATGATGTTCTATCCCTCTAGCATGACTATAGGTTGATCCAGCGTTAATGGTTTACATCGTTGTCTTCTTCAAAACTTCATCGTTTTGATCTAAAGAAAAGAAAATCGCCACTCGATCAAGTCAAATTCAAAGGTAATACCCGTGTGATATCGCATTCCAAAAGTTTTGAACCAAATATTTTTTTTTTTTAATATTGGCACCCATTATACTTAATTATTTAGAAAAACAATTCATAGTTAAAATCATAACTCTAAAGTACATAATTATTTATTTTTGGCTATTAGTTAAATTCCAACAAGCTTTTGGTCCGCTACATCATAACTGGCATCACTAGTGTGCAACTTTCAAAATTTAAAGATATAGACAAGCCCTGGGACCTGGTTGCAGTTTAGCAATCCTCAAGGTAGGCTTCAGAAGCGTCAGGGAATTATGAACATAAATATATTTCAGAAAATTTGCCGGATCATTACAAAAATTTAGAGAACTACATGTAAGTATTTTTTTTTGGGATGTCCAGATAAGTTCAAGGAAAATGGGTAATTTAAGGCAAAGTTTCGTGAGCGTTTATAAAGTTTATAAAACTTAAGGAAAAGTGCGAAAAATTCACGACAATTCAATAAGTTTCAGTAAAAGTGCGGGTTCTTATAAAAATACTGAGAAATTCAAAAATATTTTGGGTTGCTTTAATAATATCAGGATTCGGTTAATACAAAGTAACATATTTTCGAATCAACAAACCGGTTGTAGAGTCAATAATCTGTTTGTTGATTCTAAAAACCATTTTGTTGATTTAAAAATATGTTTTGTTGAAATAGTGATACAATATACTTAAATCAATAACAAAATACATTAGGCCCTGAAACAAAAATCCATTTTCTGCGTGTATACTATTGAAGAAGTTATGGTGGTTGATAATTTAAGGGCAGTTCTATTAACTTCAGAAAAATCTTGGGAACTTCAGTGAAAATCATAGAATTATATTAATTTTTTCGTTTCGATTCCAAGTAAATTGCGGGAGCTTCGAAAATTTCACAGAACTGCAGAAACATTTCGAAAACTTCATAGTAGTCTATGGAACTTAAGGGAAGATCCGATAACTTCAGTAGCTTTCATGAACATTAGCAAAATGCGGGAGCATTTCAAAGAAGTTTAGTAAGCTGCAAAAAAAAGGGGGAATTTCAGTAGAAGTTCATTTTTATTATTCGGGAAATTTTACGAAGTTTCCAGATTTTCAGTAAAATTCTAAGATGGTAAGAAACTTATAGAGACCTTCACATAAAGTCAGAATTTCACGGAAGCTTGAACATTTTTAGGACAGTTTAATTAAATTCAGGACAGTACAAGCTTCATGAGAACTGCAAAAACATTAGAGAAGTTTCGAGAACTTCAAGAAAGAACAGAGAACCTCAGAGCAGTTTCGTTAATATTAGATAAATTATATAAATTTTAAAGAAGTTTCGAGAACTTCAGCGAATTGTTAAAATTTAGAGAAGACCCATGATCGTTAGGAAAATTAAGGAAACTTTAGGAAGTACAAAAAAGTTCAAGGAATTTTAAACATTTGACGAGAGGTATTGTTAGCATCAAGTTAATTTCTCAATCTACAAAAGAACTTCAAGGCAGTTCTGAAGACCTCAGAATAGTCCATTCCATATTCAACGGAGATATCTCATGAAAATTCACTTGGAGTTCTCCTCAGCATTCGCTTTGTATTCTCCCGAAACTCTCATGAAATTATTCTAGAAATTCACTATGCATACGCTTCTATGAATTCTTTAAAAAATATTCGCAGAATACACTTAGAATACTTCTCGCAATTCTATTGAAATATTCCACAACATTTCGTTGGAACTATCCTTCGAATTAAATTTTCTTTGAATTTTCCTGGGAATTACCTTGAAATTATCCTCAGTAAGGAAGGAAAAATTCTCAGAATTTTAATTGAATTTAATTCAGATTCGCTTTTGAATCTCACTTCTTCCTTTGGAATTCTACTGACTTTGAAAGTCTTCTAAGAATTCATTTGCATTTATCCTCACAAATTTCTCATAATTTGCTTGGCAAACTTTCGTGGAATTCTTTTTTCGAATTCCTTTGACGATCTCCTGGAGTTATTCTCAGATTTAATTGTAATCCTTATTTTAGAATCTCTCTTACCCCCCAAAGTATTCGCAAAAAAAATATTCAAGGACTGAAATGAAATTATCCTCAGAATACCCTTGAAATTTTCCTGTGAAATTCACAGGAGTTCTGCTCCTCAGAAATTCCTATGAGTTTTCATTAAAATTTACTTTGAATGCAATTCAAAGTTTTCTTAAAATTTTACTCAAAACTATGTCAGACTTTACATGAAATCTAAACTTCCTCAGAACTATTTTGCAAGCAGATTGCACTTGAGATTTGTTTCCCAGATTGAATCGACAAATATAATATATGGATATTTGAACATTTTTCCAAACCTTGGAAGCGCAAACAGAAACATAGGGGAATTAACGTATTCTCGGCAACCTAAGCAGCGACCTTCTTTCTATAGCCTTTTTCTCTATGGAACGCACACATATGCAGTATTGGTTTGTTTACAATCTTTTGCTGCCAGCTGCTCTAACAATTTCAGTCGAAAGAATTGTCAAAAACTGTTTTGAAACGCTTTTACAAAGCTCCAATCTTCTTTAGTGAGAGCGAGTATTGTCGGCAACCAGTTTTTCTTCGGCAACCGTTCCATTTGAACTGCATGTAAATCTGCTGTTCTATTATCGGCAACTCGAAATCAGCTACAATTTGTAGTGCGTGTGTTTCATTTCAAGAAAACCCTGCTAGATTGCTTTTTCTCAGTGGTAAAAATATAGTCAAATTGAAGCTGAAAGCATAAAGAATCGTTTGCATGCATTCAGCGAAGTGTTTTCGTAAGCAAATCCAGTGAAAATAGTGTTTCAATTTGGGTTGCCGAAAATAGTCTGTCATGCCGAAGCCGTCATTTCCCCTATTTATTACCCTCGGCACCAATTATTTTTTTTTTCAAATTTCCAATGGTTTGATGTTCTATAACTAGATGCTCTTCTTTCCAATATCGATCTGTGCAGAGTTACCTGTAGTTTTTGTATACTCTAACCGAAAGAGGTATATTTATCTGACTATACATAATATGACAATCAATCAAATTATTTTTTTTTTAAATAGATTGAACCATGTACAGAAATGGCTTAAAAAACGTACTACGCAAATGATTATGGAAAGCAGATATTTTTTCTTGCAAAAACAACTTCTATGATTGTATTACTGCTACATGTAGGAACACAACCAGCTGACAGTTCTCATAGTATTGCTGATTTCCTTTAGCGTCGCTGTGTGTGTCCTATCATCACTTTAACCATCAGTGTTGTTATTGATGATTATTTTTTTCTTTCCCTTTTCCCACTGGGAGAATCTTTCGCGAGTCTTTGTTCAGTATCGTCGGGAAATCTCACCTGTATGGTTAGCTCTTTATCATTTCGAAGCAGGAACTCTCACTGCACAACTTTTAATCATCTACTGGATAACCAATGTGCAAAGCAAAAATTCCGGTTTGATTTTGGTTTCGACTTTGCCAGCACTGAGGTGAAGCTTTTGGCGCCGGAGAGTCTGGTCCCGTTGCAGCTTACCTTACGTAAAGCAATTTTGAGCTCGCACACATGCTCTTGTTGTTCGCCTTCTAGACCAACGAACTGATTCGAACTCTCGGGGGTGGCACGTTGCGAGCTGTGAATCCGAAGATGAAGGTTTTGATTGTTTTGGGTCACTTTGCAGCCCCGGGAAGTCTTGGTAAAATTTGAAAATAATTTCTCAGTTACATGCACTGAGGAGAAAAGCCAAATGACGCATCTCAATAATAAATCTATTTTTTATTTTCAGCGAATGTGCGACATCGTTTCGTGAGCTACCGTACAAATCGAACAGGATTGTATCAGCAATGCTATGGTACGATTCCAACGAGCAGTAGTAGGAGTGTTGCTGTGTTAGCGGTTTCGCCGACAAACACCACCTTACTGGATGCACTAGGCTATAGTTTTAGTAATAATGGTGCTATTAGATGTATATCGACGAGTGTGGTGTACTATGACCAGCCGTCGTCCAAAGTTGAAGTCACAGTACAAAAAATCAAGCAGAATCAAAAGGAACAAGAACAGCTAAGCGAAACCGTCGCAGCTAGTTCTTCACAAACAGCAGCAGCAGCTAGTGCTACTCCTGCGACGCCATCTGCACAAAACCAAGTTGTATCCACTGCACCCATCAAAAAGACTCTCAAACAGCGGATATGGGCAGAAGTTTTACACTACTACCATGGTTTTCGGTTATTATTCATCGATATAAACGTGTGTCGTAGGCTCTTATGGCGTGTACTTAACGGAACTACACTGACCCGACGAGAACATCGGCTGTTAGTGCGGACAACTTCGGATTTGTTCCGGTTATTGCCATTTTCCGTATTTATTATCGTGCCCTTTATGGAGCTGTTACTCCCAGTGGCTATTAAGCTTTTCCCAGGAATGCTTCCATCAACGTTTCAGACGGCCACCGAACGGGAAGATAAAATCAAACAAAACCTTAAGGTCAAACTGGAAATGGCAAAATTCTTGCAAAAGACTTTGGACGACATGGCTGTGCAGAGCACTGAGCATCGGTCACAAGCGGCAAAAGATTTTAGCGAGTTTTTCGGCAAGGTTCGGGATTCCGCTGACTTTACGGTAACCAACGAGGACATCATCAAATATTCCAAACTGTTTGAGGATGAAATCACGCTTGACTCTTTGTCGAGACCGCAACTGCAGGCACTCTGTCGGGTGCTGGAAATGTCTCCAATTGGTACCTCGAATTTGCTTCGCTTCCAGTTACGAATGAAATTGCGTAGTTTAGCTGCCGATGATCGAACCATTCAAAAAGAAGGCATAGAAACATTGAACCTGTCGGAGCTGCAAGCAGCTTGTCGTGCTCGTGGTATGCGAGCCTACGGTACAACAGAAGAACGACTTCAAACACAGCTTCGCGAGTGGATCAATCTTAGTTTGAACGAAAAAGTTCCACCCTCCCTGTTACTACTGTCGCGTGCGCTGATGTTGCCGGAAAATGTCACCACCAGCGACAAACTGAAAGCAACCATTTCAGTTCTTCCCCATTCCGTTGCTACCGTAACGAAAGCTGCCATTGGCGAACGGGAAGGCAAGATTGACAATAAGACTAAAATCGAAGTCATCAAAGAAGAGCAACGGAAGATCAAAGAAGAACGTGAAGAAGAGAAAGAAAAGCAGAAGGAAATTGCTGAAACATTGGTTGACAAGGCACCGACTGTTACTGATGAAGATGTTATTCATCTCGCGGAGCCTGCAGTACGAGCCAAACCTGTCGTGGATACTCCAGTGATTCTGGCTTCGGAAGAGATCTCCAGCAAAGATCTAGAGGCACTGGGTGATGCACTGGGTACGCTCAGTAAGGACAAGAAGACGCTACTGGTTGAGAAGGAAGAAATCAAGGATTTGAAGGAAGAAATTGCCGATTACCAAGAGGATGTCCAGGAACTTCGGGAGGTAAGTACATAGGGTAAGGTGGGGCAAGATGGGTCATCTATTTGATTTATTTTTTATTGTTCTTAGTCAACATCAACACATTTCGGGTTCGGGTCGGGTACGGGTTCTTGAAAATTTTAATAATCGGATACAGGTGTCGGATTCGGGTATTTACAATTACATACCCAACCATCTCTACAAAATCAAACCATCATTGGGGTTGCATTGAACCTGTTGATATTGACAAACACATAATTTTATAAATGTAGGCCAGCTGATCTATCTTGTCCCGTGACCCGTCTTGTCCCACATTTACCCTATTATTATTTTTCATTGGCTATTAAATCTCAACTGGAGCCGTGGATTTGTTAGCAGTTCACTAGTTAGTCATTTAAAGATCTCTAAGTTGTCATCATTTACATAGACATATGGTGACAATACCTAGACTGGGCCGGGAATAGAATCAGGCGTCTGATTAGAGTATGGGGAGGTGCACATTTACCTACATGCTAAAATTAGCAATGTTTCTATTGCTACCAGAAAATGACATTGCAACAAAGTTGAACACTTTAGGACAGGGGTTTTCAATTTCGCGTTTAGTGTTCCGTCAAGCCTCTAAAGCGTGAGACCAATTTTCGCTCATTGATCATCATTCGTTAGGATAACCTATACGCTATGCGACAAAAATAGAAAAGAAATGTGGATGGCAAATAAACATAAAAAATTTAATTCAGTCACATGTACCCAATTACCGCTCACGTTTTGATGAGGTGTTGCTCATTTTTGATCCAATTTTCCGCTAATTTTTATTTGATTCTAATTGTATTTACTGCCATTTATTGCTAAGTCATTTATGCATCTTCCCTTAGTTAAGCTTTGTTTCACCAAATGCACTGCGGCTGTTATATTGTATTTTTATATACGCAAATATTAATTCTGGAAAAACTTGCTTGTACGATACTGTACATTAAATTATAAAATAGTAACTGTTATTACATTTGTTGTATGAAACGTATACAGAGGATGTAGGAAATCCGCTCTTACATTTGATGTTCATGCCATTTGATTTGCGTGTAGAGATTAAACAAAAATATGATAGGGGAAATGGCTCTAATGTTGGCCTATGGATCTAAGATTTGGCTCATCGCTAAAAATCTGCTATTTCCGGAGAGCTTCGAGATTTGGGCGTAAATGCTTTTGTAAACAAACACGTCGGTGTATCATAAACAAGGAATTAATCTTTATTACATACAGTGATTCCACACAATCGAATATAACCAAAACATTACTACATGATACTGGATGATTTTCCAAGTAGGGAATGGAAGAAGTTATGGCCAGCCCCTCATCATATTTTAAAACCCTTAGATTTAGAAAACTTATAGTTTACCTTGAAGTTCTTCAAGTTTACCAAATTTTCGAATTTTTAACATTTCTCAGTAGGATGTATCAACCTTGAACATTACCATCCTTCTCTTTAACATAGTTATTCACATGGTTATGGACAGTTCCAAAGTTACAGAATAAAAATTTCCCGTATATCACCTACCAAAACAATCGAACTGAATGGTTCATAAGATTAACATGTGGAAAGTGAGAGATTGAATATTGTAATTGAAATACGGAATATTTAAGTTTAAAAGATTAGAAGATATTAGAAAATTTTCAAGATACTGAGGATTGGAAAGACCTACTGAATATTGGCAATATTCTGAAGAAAATTTTGATTGTGACTAGAATTGCAAGCAAATCCTAAGGAGAATATATATCCAATTCTGAGAATACAGGAATTTGTTTAAGAGGGTTTCAAGGAGTTTCAGGAGACAATTCTGAGAAGCATTCTAAGAAATAATTCTAAGGATAAGTCAAAAGAAATTCTTTAGCAATTCTTAGAAGAGTTTCAAGGGGAAATCCGAGAAGATTTCCAAAAGAAATTGGAAGAGAATTCCGATAAAATCCTAAAGATAATTTCATGGATTTTTTCCCATATTTTCAGAAATTATGTTGGGCGGAACTTCTGGAAGACCTGTCTAACTCTGAGTATGGTTTCAGGGCCATTCTGACTCATGTCAATCCAGGACCATTCTAACCCATGTCAACTCAACTCAACAACTTGTAGATTTCAATCGAATATATTTAAGCGGCTTCTTGTCAGAATGATGGACAGTTTAAAGATAATTGATACGAAGAATTGGAAGAGAATCCTTACGGTCCAACAATTTACTCTCCTCTGTGTAGAAAGCTGAGCTGGAAACTGTCCTAATTTAATTTAATTTTCCGAAACTTGGTTTATAAATCGAGCTATCAATATATTGGAGATATGTGCTTCACGAAGGACTTCAAGAATGTTCTTTATAGGAACTTACGTGAAATCAGGCATAACATTTGATAACGGCACAAAAGCATTTGTAAACAAACTTTCTAAGGCCCTTTACACGTGAACCAAAGTACGCCCACGCGAACCAATAACACTTTCGGAAAGGTGATAGTTGCCCCTATCTGATGATGTTGTTTGATTCGCGTGTAAAGGACCTTACAAAGTTTATCTATAAATGCTTTTGAGTTCGCATCCAAATGAGCTCAAATTTTGGGATAATTATCTGATCTGATTTGAAATCGATTGAGCTTGGTAGAGCAAAAACGATATTTTGAACCACCCTAGCCAGTATTCTTTCAGTAGTGCTATTTAAAATTCGACTAACTGTATTCCACTAGATATTTTTATTAGCTTTCAGGGAAAAATATGCTAGGAGAAATGATCGAGCTCCAGCCGCAAAAAAATATTAGGGAAAGGAGCTGGTGATATTGAACCTACTACCAATTATTTTATTTTTTTCGAACAATTAGAGGTTTGGGACTAGAGAGCATCCCGCTCATTATGACCCACCTGTTCACTATGCCCCTGTTACCCCTACCAGTAGCGAAAAGTAATGCAAAGTTTCATGGAAATAGTAAAAGATCGCATCTGATTGATTCGTCAGTTGCCGTGGACATGCTCCAAGCTAATATACTGCTAATCAATATTTTTTTTTCTTTCTCCAATAGGTAGTCACGACGGCGCCTGAAGAAAGCAAAGTAAAAGAGTCGCGAGCGGCCAAATTACTATTCAAGAAGGTCAACTCTATGATCAACAAGATGGATACAGTTCTAACGGATTTGGAACAGAAAGAAAAACAGTTGAAGGAACAAGTCAATGCCGTTGAGAAAAGTATACCTGATGTCGAAATTCCAGTGTGTGTTGCTACTGAGGAACTGGTTCGAATCGATGAGCTGATGTCGGCCATCAAAAAGGCAAGATTACCGTCGATGAATTTTCTGATCCATTTCACAACACTAACAAAACATGTCCCTCTTTTAGATCCAACAAGTTCCCGATGATTCTAGGCTGGATCAAATAGCGAAGATTCTCGGCAAAATCGATGATGATCATGATGGTCAGATCAAGGTGGAAGACGTTCTAAAGGTAATCATTATACATTTAATTAATTTCGTCGATCATCCTGTGCTAACTGCATGATTCTTCTTCATACATAGGTGATCGAAACAATTGGCCAAGAGAATGTTCAATTAAATTCGAAGCAACTGGATGAGCTGATTGATCTTCTAGACAAAGAAGAAATTCTGGAAGCCGAAGACAAAATCGAAAAAGCGCTCAGTAAGAGCTTGGAAGCGAAGGAGAAACAGAAGGAACAGGAAAGCAAGGAAAAGGAAAAGCTGTTAGAAATTCAGGACAAAGCCACTGATTTGTCCTTGGCAGATAGCCAGTTGAAAACAGAAAGCGAAAAGAAGGTTGGTTCATAAGCAAAGCAAATTGTTAGTTTGAAGATCTAAAATTGTTAAAATACAACATTCCATCAATTGCACTGTAACAACCTGTTCGAGTATATTTGTTTCGATTGTTTCAATATCTAGAACGACACTTACAATCAAACCAATTAAAATCAACAATAAAATTTCTTTTGCTAGCTGGACGAATCAGTTCTCGATGCTTATATTCTTCAAAAGGCGGCTGAAAGGAAAAATGATCAAATGGTCTCTGGTATTACCACACCAAGTGATGCAGACTCAAAGTCGCACATTTCGGGTACTCCCAATATTCCAACCAGCATTGTTCCACCACCTGCATCGTCGGATCTACCGAAGCCTACACAGGATAAGAGAATATGATATTCTCAGGATAATAATAACGGCGTTGATTCTATACCCCCGTCGATACGAAAGTAAAATTCAAAATTTGCCTAAAACGAACGATTTTAGATTAAGGCACCAATTTTGGCACATCATTGGTTGCAGATGTACAGCAGTCAATGCATATTGGCAAACATTATAAGAATCCAAAGTACAGTAACTGAGTAGTATGTGTTCTACTGTGTTACCAGCAATCAAGTGATTGTACAGATAATTTATAAAAATCTAAATAATAATAATAATAATTGCATACAGATGTCGTTTCTATTACACAGTTGAATTGTCCCTTCGGATATAGGGTAAGGTGGGGTAAGATGGGTCACGGGGTAAGATGCGTCATCTAATTTTCTTTTATATACATCAATGTAGTCCTAATGCTAGTTTAAAAAGCAAACCATCATTATGATAGCATTGAACCGGATAATTTTGACGAACTAATAAAGTAATAAATGTACTTGCTGACGCATCTTGTCTCGTGATCCATCTTGTCCCATTTTACATCAAACTCGTTTTCAAAACATTGAGAAACAATAAACAGTCACTGTGAAAAAGCGAAAACACAATTGAATGTTCTATAGAATCCGAATAATCCCAGGTGAATAAAATTAAATAATTATTACAACATAGATATTTGACATCCCATATCGAACATTTTTTTTTATCTCCTCTCTCTCAATCCGTTAGTCTGAGATTACATCGAAAACGCGATGCATTTATGCACTTGGGCAAAGGAGCGCGATTTCAACCTGTGTAAGAGTCAGAGGTGGTCGTACTTCTACAACGTGGTCGCGGCTAAAATAATGGTGTTTCATATCCATATGCTTTCATAGCAATTTTAGTCCGTGGCTGTTTGTTTGTATTTTAACGACGTACTGCATCTACTTGGAGATGGCTGTAGGCTTGCGTATACCGATAATCTAAAGCAGCTGTATTTCGTGGTGCGGATTGCTGAGGATTGCATTCGTCTTCAATCGCTATTGAATTTCATTTTCATTTTCATTTTATGATGTACAAGGGGGTCAGGGGCCATGTCACCGATGTGAATATTCACACCATCCATAATACACCAGGGAAGGGGAGAGGAGTGAGCAACACAGCATCTTTACCCATGGGGGTTAAAAAAGTTCTGCGAGGTACACTTGTGGTGAACCAGCGGCTCAGGGATTGTAGAAAGGAAAAGGGTTGGGTAGGTTTAAAATGCAGAAATAGATGCCGTCACGATTGAATGCGCATGTTTAAACAACGTTGATCCAGGTACCTATCATATAAATTTGCATATAATCTAGCTAATAAAGTTAAATAATAATAATATAATCTAGTTATGATTATTGTCAATAATACTTACATTTCGATAAAGATGGTGCTGCCTACTTTACCTGTTATGTGATACTTATCATCACAGAGTCCAACCTTGAATCGCAGACCAGGTCCACTAACAAAACACTCGTTCCGAGAAGGGTTTATGGTCTTCTTCTTCTTCTTCAGGTTCGCTCACCACCCGGAATGAAGGCTCGGTGCGGTTAGTAATATCAAACAGTGTTACATGCAAACGAAAAAACGAAAAAGAGATACAACCAGGATTAGTTTTTTAAAGTAATAGTTTCATCTGAATACCCAACTAACCATATCTCAGTGACATTGTACCACTCTGAACCCACACCTAAAGCTATTTTGTGATTATATGGTTACTTTGGTATTCACATGAAATGTTGTGCAAGTACCAGAAGTTCAACAACGCCCAACTATGGACAGCTCAATGTTAACCCAACAAACAATCGTCTATTGAAGAAACGACTTCTTGGCCATTTTATTCAATTGCATGCTTAATAGTACTTGTACTATTTTTAATAATAACTTCTGTTCAGGCTTTGTTCACACAAATCTGGAGAATTTATTCAACCAAAACATTGCACTACTGGTGTTGTATAAGGTATGTCGAGAAGCTTTTATTCGACTTATATGAGTTGTAACAGAGTTTATACGATAAAATTTTTGATTATTCAGCGTTTATTAGACATCACTGCTTCCTTAAAACAGTGATGCTCTGTATACGCTTGATTCTCATGTGAAGTAACGTTTAATTAGACATTATTATACATTTATTAAACGATTATTCAACTGTGGGAAAATTAACCCGAAAATAAGAGGACAGGGGACAGGGACAAGGGAAGGGTGTGTGTATGTTTCTTAAGTGTATTGTATTTCAATATTGCTGACCTGGCTCGCACCACACAGATATTAGAAAATTTATTAAATACTTATACATGCCGTTGTATGGGAATCGAACCATGTACCTTCCGATCACCAGCCGCTTGCCTTGTCATCTGAGCTATCCTAGAATTCATCATATGGGCAACTCAATAATGTATAAAAGCTTGCATGAAAGTAAATACCTATCAGCACTCCTGATCGCAACTCTAGCTCCTTCAAGGCCCTGTGGGAATGATTAATTCATTCATCGTTGTTTTAAATGAGACCAATGTTGACTCTTCACATCTCCAAGTCGAAAGAAAGGATGCTCGGTTATATTTTAAACTAGATCAATGCATTCATTATCGTGAGTCATGTGATCGATGATTACTATTTAAATAAATTATGTTCTACACAAATAAAAAAAGGGTTGAGCCTGGGATTGAACTCACGACCTTCTAATTGGAAAGCGGAAACGGTAACCACTACTCTACTGATTTCGCCTTGTTGTAAGACTGAATCAGTATTGTCGAATAATGAATCTAATACGTCGTTTATAAAGCATTTACAAATAATGTGATTACAACATGGAAGCATAGTGGTATAAGAGCTATTATGCTGACTGTATTCACCTTTATTCAGCAATATTGTAAAGTAATGCAATGAAATCTAATAAAGGAGCTGGAGAACATTTATTAGACGTCTAATAAAGCATGTTATTAAATCAATTGAAAATAGTCGAATTAAAGTGTCAATGTATGTACAAATTACACTTATTCAGTTTGTTATTAGATCGAACTTCTGGCGTTGAATTGGGAAGACATTTAACACTTTTACAGCTTTTAATAAGTAAATTAATCGGATCAGAACAAACAGAGGAATAAATGTGTATCTATCGATCTCAATGTGCTTTTTCAGCACATAATTCGACAACTCTTTTTATTTAGCATTGTACACTGTTATACAACATTTATTCAATATATATGCTTATTTGTGACTTTGAATTGTTTGTTGGGTGGTATAAGAGCTATTTTGCTGAGTGTATTCACCTTTATACAGCAATATTGTAAAGCAATGCAATGAAATCTAATAATGGAGCTAGAAAACATTTATAAGACGTTTAATAAAGCATTTTATTCAATCAATTGAAAACAATCGAATAAAAGCGACAATGTATGTGCAAATTACACTTATTCAGTTTGTTATTAGATCAAACTTCTGGTTCTGAATAAGGAAAACAGTCAACGTTTATAAAGCTTTTAATAAGGAAATTAATCATATCAGAGCAAACGGCGGAATAAAGACGCATCTATCGATCTCAATGACCTTTTTTTCAGCACATAATTCGACATCCTGTTTTATTCAGCATTGTACACTGTTATACAGCATTTATTCAATGTGTATGCTTATTTGTGACTTTGAATTGTTTGTTGGGAATACCATTTACTCTTTGAATCAGCTTACACAAACATGATAATGTACTAAGAAACATCTAAGAATGTATAGAGATAAAGTTCAAAAATACAGTTTTAACTGATGGTACTTTATAAACTTCAAACTGTCCAATATTGGACCCTACCAACACACGGCGCCTGCACGGCAATGTGGGCCGTCAGAATGGTTCATCGGTTGCGAAGTGAAGTGCTTCTTAAACTGAAGCGATACATTTCTCAATGTTTCAACGTTATCCTAACGTAAACTTAATATTATCACCCATATGCCCGTCCAAGCCCGAAACCCATCCACCACACAAAATCAAATAAAAATGTTTCTGTATGGCAAACACGTCCAGACATAGACGAGAATATGGGTGTATATCTTCACTGTAACAACTACGGGTAATCATCGAAAATACTTGCATTTTACTCAGGCACTTTTGAGCAAACTGCAATCACTCTCTCATACTCGAAATGTGCCATGACCAAATTGGCACAACGACGCCCTATACGCTCTCTGACCAAAGCGCAGGGGTCTTCAATCGCTATTGAATTTGTTCGTTTATTGGTGTCGTCGGAATAAGCTTACCGTCAGTATTCCTAAATGTATGATAATGTCGTATTACCGTATCAAGGAGCCAATCGTTTTCGAATACACCATCAAAGGTACTGTTCTTCAAAGAACAGACCAGTTCAGCGATCTAGGTGTTCTACTAGACCATAAATTAACGTTTAACCTCCACCGATCTGCCCCGATAACAAAGACTAGTCGTCGGTAAGGTTTTGTGTCAAAAATATCGAGGGCCCACACTGCCTGAAAGCTCTCTATTGCTTACTTGTACGACCAATCCTGGAAAATGCCTCCTTGGTTCTCATCAGTTGACTTGGAACTCGAGGATCGAAAGTGTTCAGTGCAAGTTTATCAGGATGGCATTACGTAATCTGCAAAATTTCTCACCGTATTTTGATCGCTGCAATCTACTGAGTTTGGACACTCTGGAACGCCGACGAAAAAATCAACATGCAGTTTTTGTTGCCAAGCTAGAGGTCGACTGCTCGAAGCTTCTCTCACTGTTGAATATCTGAGTGCCACCGAGAACATTACGAAGTGGTACCCTTCTCCAACCACGATATCATGGGACGGCATTCGGTTACAACGAACCACTTACTTCAATGATGCGTACGTTTACGGCTGTCGATGAATTATTCCAATTTGGGGAATCATCTTCACACTTTTTGGCACGGATTAGAAACGCTTGAATTTTTTAGTTTTAAGCATGTTTTCATGTAGACAATAGTCAGATAAATAAAATTGAATAATAATAATAATAATAATGTTCAAATTAATCGAAACACTAATTTGACCATGGTTATCCTCGTAGATTACAACGTGTTTCCTGAATTTTTTCACTAAAAATACATTGCAGCCAATTCGACCGCCTTTGCTACAGCTGCGCTCATGGCTACGCATTCAGTCTGTAACATAGTACAGCAAAGTGCCATAATTCTGCGCAGCGCGTAATTTTGCCAAAATTTTGCAGTATATTACAATTTAATCTAAATTTATATTTTTCCAATGCACAAGTGTTTAACACCTACCTTCATGTACAATTCAATTAAAATTATATACAATTTATAAATATTTAAGAAATTTACAAAACTGGTACTTATAATCATTCAGAAATCGCAATTAAAATTAACTTTCTTCTACTTGCTAACTTGTTATTTATTCAGACCTATCCGCAGCATTCGACAAGTTGAACCATTCTATTGCGATTGCTAAACTCGGCAGGCTCGGTGTATGCGGTATAATCTTCTGAGTTGGATCGTATCTTACCGGTCGCCAACTAAAGGTTGCCATAGGAGTTAGCAGATTAGCTAGCTTCTTCGTCACATCAGGTATACCTCAGGGAAGTCATCTGGGACCGTTGATTTTTATACTGTACTTCAACGACGTGCATCTGGTCATCGAAGCTCCTCGGTTATCATATGCAGATGACCTCAAAATCTTCCTACGAATCCGCTCCTTTCTGCAACGTCAGCTGAATGTATTCGCTACTTGGTGCAGTTTAAACAGAATGGTAGTGAACCCAGCCAAATGCTCCGCTATTACGTTCTCACGAAAACAACAACCGATAATATTTATCTATGACCTGCTTGGCTCGACAATCGAATGCGTGAATCAGGTGAAAGACTTAGGTGTGATCTTGGATTCTCAGCTATCATTCAAGCAACACATTGCATATGTCGTCGATAAGGCGTCAAGAACTTAAGGATTCATTGTTAGGATAGCTAAAAACTTCACCGATATCTACTATCTAAAACCTCTCTATTGTTCACTTGTTCGATCGACGCTTGAGTATTGTTCAGCGGTTTGGAACCCAACCAAAACAACGAGGCCGAGATAATGAAATCTGTTCAACGGCGCTTTCTTCGTTTTTCGTTACGTAGATTGCCTTGGAATGATCCGTTTCGATTACCCTGTTATGAATGCCGTTGTTAACTTATGGACCTAGAACCAGTGCTGTTGATTTTCATGAACTAATACAACCATTCAATCAATTCTGTGAAAACGAATTCTCACATGACCGTAATTTGAAGGGCCCCTTTCTCATTCAAAGCTCATCGTCACTGTCAATTGAGTCACTCACTATCATTTGATATACGACAGTGGAGTATGGAAGAAACCCAGCAAAATGGTCCCGAACAGACAAGTCGACCCGATGTCGGATCAATGTAAGGCAAATTTAAGGTAGATATCGACCCAAAGTCGTGTTGTTGTCGGGTCAATTGTGGGTTTATGTCGGGTCAACATCGGGTTGGGGTTTGGTAGAAGTCAGGTTGGTGTCGGGTTGGATTAGCTTTTTCGCTGGAATGTCGACCAGAGCTCCGTTTATGTGTAGGTTACACTCAATTGAATGATATCAAGCGTTTCCCAAATGAGAATGATCCATGCCTTCGTCAAATGACTAAGCAACTGATATCACCTATTCGAAGGAGGTCCCCTTTGATAGCGGATAGCTGATTTTCTCATTTTCATCAAAAATGTACAATTGATTTCGAGAATTTACACAAACTTTTTTAGTTTTTTAGTTAGGTAGGTTCCGATTCTACACATCGTAGTTTAATTTTTATACCTGTGATCTTGACCTAGGGGATGAGTACTTAAGGGGGTTAGGTTTTGATAAGTTCTTTAGTGGGAATGACACTGATGAAGACTGCACATTGTAGTATCTGTGTAGTGGAATTAAATGGAAGATAACCTTTACCTTTTATTTAAAGCATTCCGCTAGCAACCCAATTTCATTACTTCATCCACAGAGATGCTGAAGATGTTTTTTTAAAAAAAAATGTAAACAATTCTAAGAGACTTAACTACCAGCGGGTGCATCTAGGTAGTCCTTTGCTGCTGTTTGCATGCGGCTATTGATGACGATGATGATTGTGAGATTGAATGATTTGATAATGACCGATCACCGGGGTAGAGATGTACACTCGAAATAGTGGACTTGGCCAACGAGCTTCTACTATCGAGAGCGATTCACCTCACTTAATACCGGAGTGAAATGTGGGCATCGACAAACTAAAAGCACAATTGCGTATTATCATGAAACTCGGGGTCATGACCGAGTCACTGGTCCACTCGATACGGAATGACATGTGCCATTATCGTCGAAATTCAGAAATTATTGACGATATTTTTTATGGTGGAATTTTAGAATTTCCGTCATTCTCCCGGTTTTCTCTGGTTAAAATAAGATCCCAACGTTTGCCCTGTAATTAGCTGTTTGCAGAACTGTGCCCATATATAAGCATGGTGTGTTATCCATGACATTGAGTGTGAACAAGGCGTTTTCGTGGAAACAACCTGTTGAACATTCAACTATATGCTACATCAAAACAACCCGTGCTGCATTCCTCTTGCATCGTAGTAGCACGTTATCTCCAAGGGTGACTGACGTTGTTACGGGGGTTTGTTACTTTTACAAACGGATTTGCTTTTTCAAGACCGGCATAATGGATAACTGGTCAGATAAAAAAGTTAAATCAAATTTTACAAAACCAAAGGCTACCTTCAAGTCAGTTAAACTTAACGAGTTAGTGAATTACATATTTCAAGTATACTTTGGAGATTTCTATAAGATTTACTTAATTTTAGTGATCGTAAGAAGCGGATAGCCGCTCGAACTCAGAACCTTCCTCGACCGTCACCGATCAATATTGAAGAGCTTATTGAAAAGCGAATTAAAAAGTTTAGGGATAACAGTTTCGTATTCTTAACGTATGCATTTTCGAGAAGTAGTGAACGTTTTGGACCTTATTTATTTCTGTAAGAGAAATACTTAAATGTTTTTGGAATCGTGATTCTTAAGTGACTTTTACTTGCAGTGAAGTTCCGTTCAGCAAAGTTGACAAGCATGAGTACTACACAGTTAGCCGGCATGGAATCACCTATTGGAGCGACACGGAAAACCAATTTAGCCAGTTGAGCGAGTGGTTGGCTGACTACGAAAAATATAAGAAGATCACGAAACTGAATTTCTTTGGAAACTACCGCTGCATAAAGGTTTTTCGTCAATGGCGCCAGAACGTCAAATGGGCTAAATACGAAACTGCTCGACAGACGTTGTCCGGTAGTTTGTTTCTTGTAATGCCGCGATTGGCAAAGGCGCTATTGTACATGAGAGAGCAGTATGAGCAGTTGATACATTTTCGATTTTTCGATGTTTCTGTGTGTGAAAATTGGCACTTGCCGTATTTCGTGGAAACTCAAATGACGACCTTCGAGCAGGTTCGCGATTTGCTGTTCAATTTGAACCAGAAGATGCGTGAGGTGCTGTGTAAGTAATGAACTTTGTACTTTGTGTCGTTTTGTGGTTCATGAGTTATCAGTAGTTAATTAACCCATCGTATTATTAAAAAAGGAACAGGGTACCACATCACACATAGTACGTGATTCATGTTTCTTTTATTCTGCGTATGGTTTTCCTTTTTTAGTAGTGTATAATTTGCCAAAGTTTAAATAGCGTTGAACTCGCTCGCAAAGAGTTTTTAGAACTAGTACAACGTCGAAAGTTAGAACATTTATCCTAGCACTAATTTTAATTTCTGTCACAACAACACGAAGATGGAATAGGACTTATAACTTGAAATAATTGTAGGAACCAATTCTTATACACTGGCCAGACTTATGAGTTATAATATGTAACAAGAAATCTAGTCTGAACTAAACATTAGAAATTTTTTTTAAACTTGTATAATATGCACGTTATGAACTCTAAAAAAGTTAAATAGCTCGTCCTCATTATCTTTAAGAGCTTGAGCATTCCAATTCAAAATATTCAATGATTTAAAATCCATTACTGGATTTCAAAGTCATTACGATATTGTTCGCAAATTTTACTCCAGTTTCAATAGCATCAAACATGGAGTTAGTTTTTAGCTTATCAGTAATCATGTCAATTAATGATTTCTGTAAAAAAAAAAATCATTTTAGAAGCAATAATGCTTTCCAAGTCAAAATTATCAAAATTTCCGTTAGAACTATATTGGCTTGTATTATGATTTCTACCATCTGCAATAGCAGCATAGGTAGTTCCCTTTACTCGCTGAACATTGTTAATCGCGAGGGGAGCAGGTATAGATGAAAAATTTGAAGCAGGGGTGATATCCTATGGGTACGAATGTAGAATTTGTTCCTAGCTGACCGTTGTTAACAGCAGAGGAATTTTTACCTGGTCGGGGACGTGGAGCGTTTCCTACCTGTTGCTTAGAACGAGATTGTAGAATCGCTTTGCAAGTCTTACATTCCCAAAAATTGGATTTGTAGTTTTCACCACAAATTGAACATTTGAATTTCTTAGGATCTTCCTTAACAGGACAGTCGTCTTTTGCGTGAGAAGAATCACCACAATTCATGCATTTAGCTGGCATGTAGCAATTTTTTGTTCCGTGACCCCATTCCTGGCACTTACAGCACTGGGTGAAGTTTTGGAAATTTCTTCCAGTCTTCCTGAAGTGTTCCCACTACACTCGGACATGAAGCATAGGGCTAGCTTTTTAAGGCCTTAAGGTTGTTTAGTTTACTAGACTTGAAGTGAACGAAATAAAATCATTAGAAATCCCGTTACGCGAATCGCCAGGACGGGGTTGATTACTTGGACTGGCACAACTCCAAGTAATTTTGCCAGTTCAGCTTTGATCTGATCCAGGGATTCACCACTGGTCAGACCTTTCAAGACAACTTTGAACACACGTTCAGTTTTTGTGTCGTAAGTAAAATATTGGTGCTGCTTCTCAGTAAGATACTTGAGAAGATGTTTGACTCCGTCCAAGGTTTCAGCCAATACACGGCATTCACCCCGACGGCAAATTTGCAGTGAAAACTTGGATTTAACGAAGTTCAAAAGTTCCGTGCAAAGAGCATGGAAATCGGAAGGTGTTATCATGATAGAGGGAATCTTTTCCTTCTTGGCATTAAGCCGGGAAAGTTTACAAGATTTTTTCCTGGATGATGGATCATTCTCATCATCCGTGAGCAAATCAAATGGATTGCTCAAATTAATTTCATCAGAAGGGGAATCAAGATTTTGCCCTTTTTGCGTTTAGGCGCCATGGCGTCAGTAAAACGTTTTTCCAAATCGACTTCCATGCAGATAAATAAGAATCTGAAGGATCTAAGAGGAATTTTCCAAATCAATATCCAAGCAGGATTACCTCGGCGTCGGGTAGGGTCCAAACATGGATCGAAGAATAAGAGTCGACAAAGGTAGAAAATTTACAGGTATAATGAGCACTGAAAAGTGCTGTTTAAATTTGTTTTTGCTTTAGGTAACAGTAACACGTCCTTCAACAAAAAGCAAAGAGATCAGCACGCGGACTGATTACAAAAACAATCATTCTGGCATTAAATGTTGATGTCAGGAAAACGCCATATTGTTAAATGTCCAGAATTTACAAATTTCTGGCAAATAGAATAATTCTTAAGCTTCAAAGAGTAGATTGACCTTTTTGCAATGTTTTCCTAAATGTTTCCAAACACGTAACAAGACTACCTAGAGAATCATAAGTCATATAAAAATGTGTGTGTGAATTACTAAACACTAGTTTTGGCATTAGTGTTACAGCTTTTGTTCTAGAATTGAACGAAATAAATTTGGAAAGGAATGAAAAATGTGAAATTTGATATAAGTCGTATATCCACTAGGGCAATACACTGGCACACTTACCCTATTAAGTTTAAAACGCCATCATCATCGCGAAGGATATTTCATTATCTTAGTTACAGATCAAATCTGACCTGCAAATAGTTGGAGTTCAGATCAGCTGGCTTCTCCCTGTCTGTCTCAAGGATCCAGTATTGTTTGGACCCATTCGATAAAAAGTTCCGGATCCTAAGAATATGTCTCGACAGGTGGTCCATATATGTACATCGATGACTTCAGAGAGATAAAAGAGGAATAATGTAGGACGCATCACAATCCACCCAGCATACTCTACAAAAGGAACCTCAACAGTAACCAGGTGACCCAACTACAAGTAGCCAAAGCGATAATGAGTAGCAAGATTTACTAAGAAGCAGAATTCTTCTGCGTAGGAGACATCCTTTCTACAAGGCTGGCCTCCATGCACAACCAGGCTATAAGGACTGTAGCAGGACTTTTCTCATGCACACCAACGGCATCCGCATGCTAGGATGCTACTTTTCAAGTATCTGGTAGCGAAAATTGTTTGTAAAAGGGCTATCTGCCTTCTAGAAAAAAAAAACGACCAAGAACGACGAAGTCTTCCTCCTCGAGTAGTGGAATAGTTTTTAAGATACCTCACCAACATGGATCACACTCTGAGACCGCAGTTCACTAAAACAAACCCAAGAGCAGAGTTGGTAACTAGATTAAAAAAAAAATAAGCTCGATTGCGTGCAAAATTTTGGGCTCCACGTACACAACGCCAAATTACTTAAAGGTGGTTTTCAGCACCGCTTCGAAGATGGGTGTTCCGAGGACCAGGTTTAGTGATGTTAGACTCATACGAAAGCTTGATATTCTTGACTACCCAACCCATGCTAAGTGTTCTCAACAGCTGCCATATTCCTGACGGCCACCACCCCGGTGCTTAAAGTCATATGTGTACTGACCGACTCCGCTGACGCCCTTGTCAATCTTATGATATCAGATCAAATTGTTCTTAGAATACGACATACTCCTTAGTGACTTTGTATCAGTGGTAGTGAAAACGAAACGTCTGTCCAAATATAGCATTCTGGCCAGATATTTATAAATAGATATTGATATTTCCTTCCCCTACACACTCCCTGCTCATTACTTTTTGGAAAACATTGATTTATCAACAACAAAACAACACATTTCCATACATTTCCTTTGATTTTTACTACCATTCTTCCGTGAGCTCGTGTTTTAAGAAAGTAACCATGAGTGATGTGCATGATTGAGATGAATACAATCAAATGTGTTGCCGTATAGTGATGAATAGTACAAACTCGGTGTTTTGCCACATGGGCAATACTGTGAGCTACTAGCACCTTCTGCACTGTGGATATTCGCTTAACAGTACCATGCAGATAGGAATTTCATATGATATAGGACTGTTATGCTAATAGCGATAGTTCAGAATAATAACATCAGTGAGTAAAGGCGACGTCCTGTATCCGCACATTCTAAGCAACTCGTTTGTCGCATATCACAGAAACAGGCTTGATTACATGCATTTTAGCTGTCTGTGTTGCAAAAGACGTTTCAATTTTCAGCCTGAATACCATTTCAGTCTAACGGCCAACTCGGCTTAATAACCCAGCACCTTGGAATAGCTAACTTTACCCAGAATTACCTTTTAATCCTAACAAAATCTCTATCATTCAATTTTTTTCAAAGATGATGCTTGTACCAACACCCTAACCGACCGAGGTTACTCGCCACACGATGAAGCATTGAATTGTGCAAATAAGAAAAAGCTCAAGGATATTATGAGTTTTACAGAGCGAGCCAACAAACGCAAATTATGTGCACTGTTGGCAAGATTTCTAGAATACGCCGACCACATGATGATCAATTTGCTACACCAAATTCTGAGCGAGTCATTCCGAAACCTTTCGAACGTTTTCCATGGATACGATTCGACGCAGTCTTCGGAAAGAACTCCATTTATGTCAGTTGAGTTGTTACTGAAACCGACAACCATCGCTGTTGATCCTTCGCGGGAAGTTGCTGCCTCTTTTATGGAACAGATTTGTGTCATGGTCAGTCTTGTAAGTGGTCACCGTAGTGGACATATTTTCTGTGATAATCGACTGCCTTTGCTTCCGACACTTGCAAAACAAACTATCAAATTACAGTACCAAACTAAAATGTCATATGACAGGCTCTGTCATACGACACTTTTGCCGAAGACCGTCACGAATGTATGTATTTTAGTTTTTCTCATAATAAGAGCTGCTGATGTTGTGCTTGTGTGAATTCTTAAAATAGCAAACAACGATGTCCTAGTAATAACATTTCTGATCAGAAGTGGTTTAATTTACACCAAATCGAGGAATTAGAACGAAATCACACATGTCATATGATAGTTATTTGAAAATTTTCTTTTTGCCCGAATGTTGTTCTACCGTTTGTGTTGTATAAGAGAGCCGACGGTAGAGCATGAGAGTACGAATAAAAACAGACTGTCGCGCATGACAACGAAGCGAGTGTCGTAAAAAACGTCAACAGTTTCAACCCCTGGTCATGGTGGTGGAGTCGACGCGACGTATTGTGCGCTTTCAAAGTGATGCTTACTTCAATATTTTTACGGAGTATGTTTTGGAAGTTAACTGTAGCGTGGTTATTAAATTTTCTTTTTCTTTACAACAGACCAACGATTATGGGCCGACAGGAAGATCGTCTGTGTGGAAACCCACCAAGCTTCAATTTCATTATTGATAATGATTTCGAGCTTCTTGACAATATGTGAGTTGAAATTATTTGAAAACATGCTTGTAGTAAAGTACAACCCTTTATTTCTAGAAAATCCATTCACACGAATCTCAATGAAGCCTACGACATGGTTGATAAATATATCTTTAGATTCGATAAGATCCGCGATAATTACCAGCAAGCGCTGGCAATGGATAGAGACCTGATTAGAAATGAGACTGAGTTGGAAAAGTTGAGGTTGTTCTGCCAACGGTACAATTCGGAAATGGCAGAACTTGAAAACATTCAAGAAACCCAACGACTCGGTCTGGTGCAGGTTAAGCAGGTTACGTTTCGTGAAGAAATCATTCCCGTTTGCCAAGATCTTTTATCTGTCCTAGATGAGACTTTACCGAGGTAACTGGGTTCAAACTTGTTGTCTACATACAATTATTATCTAATTTGATTTTATTATAGGCTTGCCCTGGAGAAAATCAACTATGTCAATCAGAAGGGCGAAGAAATTTCAACTAAGCTAATGATCGTCCCGGAGGAAACCAGTCAGTACATATATTATTTCAACTTCCTCGAAGTATGCCATGAACAAGTGGAGAACTTAGAGAAAGAGCTGAGCTACGCCTATGAAGCGTTGAAGATAATGAAAACTTTCAGAATACCCTTTAGAGATGAAGACAAGGATAAGTACCTTGGTTAGTGATGATTTTCGTCGAACGTTACGATATTCTTGTTAATGATGTGCGTTTTTTTTTTCTACTAGATATGGAAGAACTAATGGTGCATATTAAGGATATCATGGGTACCAAACGCATCCAGAAACGGGACATGATTAACAAGTTCGATTTGTGCTTACATACAGACATAGCAAAGATCTTCTCCGAAGTGGAAGAGATAAACGAACAGGTACTTCAAGAGTGGCTTTTGGATAATAGCTCCGATCCAGCACAGATTCGTGACTGTCTTATAGACCTTTCGGAACGGCTCAGTTCGTGCCAACGCAAGGCACAAGAATACAGAAAATATCAGAAAGAGTTCCGATTGGACGTTACTCGGTTCGATAAGCTGGACATCGTGATAAACGAAGTGAAGCTTCGACAGACCCTGTGGGACGGCGTTCAGCAGTGGAAGGATAGCTTAGAGCTATGGAGTGAGATCAAATTCTTCGAGCTGAACGTAGAAGAGGTGGAAGCCTTAAACAACAAGATTTTGAAGAATTGCGCCATGCTCGATAAGAATCTACCGAAAAATGACATTATTCCTAAACTAAGACTAGAAGCAGAGGTGTTCAAGGAGAAAATACCTGTGCTATCATATCTTCGCAATCCAGCACTGAAAAATCGCCATTGGATTAAAATAGAGCAAATCCTAAATAGGCATTTGGCTGGCGAAGAGGAAGTTTACTTACATACCTTCGAAGATGCTAATGCTTTCGAGGAAGAGATTGCAAACGAGCTAATGGAGGTAGCTAATATGGCTAGTGCCGAGTCAGGACTTGAAACATTGTTGAATAAAGTGGAGAATGCTTGGAAGGAACTGGAGTTGACTGTAGTCAGCCATAGGGAGGCTAGAGACGTGTTTATTCTAGCTGGAACTGATGAAATTCAGACCGTTTTGGACGAATCTAGTATCAACATCAGTACGATAGCTGCATCGAGGCATGTCGGACCAATCAAACCGAAGGTTGATGATTGGTCCAAACAGTTAGATCTTTTTTCACGGACCTTGGATGAGTGGACGTTCTGTCAGCAATCATGGATTTACTTGGAGGCCATATTTTCTGCACCAGACATTCAAAGACAACTTCCGCACGAAACGCAGATGTTTCTGCAAGTTGACAAAAGCTGGAAAGATCTTATGCGGCGTACACAGAAGTCACCGATGGCTTTGAGTGCCATGACAGCCGAGGGGGTTTTGCAGCAGTTGCAGATTAACAATGCTCTTTTGGAAAAGGTTACCCGTTGTTTGGAAGCCTATCTCGAAGTGAAACGCATGGCATTTCCAAGGTTCTACTTTTTATCTAACGATGAACTGTTGGAAATTTTGGCCCAAACAAAAAATCCACATGCAGTACAACCCCACTTGAGAAAGTGCTTCGATGCTATAGCTAGAATTGAATTTGGCAAAAAAAAGACCGACAGTGGAGAATCAGTAATGACTAATGATATTATTTCTATGGTATCTCCGGAAGGTGAGCGCCTCACCTTTGGAGTTGGATTGAAGGCCCGTGGAGCCGTCGAAGACTGGCTGTCCAAAGTAGAGGAAGCAATGTTTTTGGCAGTTAAAAGGTACATGCGACTAGGATACCGCTGTTATCCAACGAAAGACCGCTCGTTTTGGATGCAGGAACATCCTAATCAAATCGTTTTAACAGTATCGCAACAACAGTGGTGTGCTGATGTTCACGAAATCCTTGACGGAAAGGGAAAAGTCATCAAGAAAATGCTAACGTTCAAAGATAAGTTGGTGAAGAATCTGTCAATTTTAGCATCCATCGCGAGAACGAACATATCGAAGCTGGTGCGCAAGGTACTTTGTGCGCTTATCACTATCGATGTTCATGCTATGGATACGGTTTGTCATATGATGGAGAAGAAGGTTAACAAATCGTAAGAACTGTGACATTAATTTTAAAATAATTAAATTACAAAGGGTTATGTTTTAGGTCCGACTTTGAATGGTTGAAAATGTTACGATACTACTGGAATTCTGAGACAGAGACGGTCGAAACAAAAATGGCATCATCTAACCAACCATATTTCTATGAATATCTTGGAGCGGGCGGAGTTTTGGTTATTACGCCCTTGACGGATAGATGTTACCTTTGTTTGATGGGCGCATTGCAGATGGATTTGGGCGGGGCTCCAGCTGGTCCCGCAGGAACGGGAAAAACCGAAACAACCAAAGATCTTGCCAAAGCTTTAGCAATACAGTGCGTTGTGTTCAACTGTTCGGACGGCCTGGACTACAAAATGATGGGAAGGTTCTTCACCGGTTTGGCCCAATCGGGAGCGTGGTGCTGTTTTGATGAATTCAATCGAATCGATATCGAAGTACTTTCGGTGATTGCACAGCAGCTGATTACAATTAGAAACGCCAAGGCGATGCAAATAAAGCGTTTCATGTTCGAGGGCCGAGAGATCAAGTTGAAACCGTCATGTGCTGCGTTCATTACTATGAACCCCGGTTACGCTGGCCGAACAGAGCTTCCTGACAATCTTAAAGCATTATTTAGACCAATTTCCATGATGGTACCGGACTATGCCTTGATTGCCGAAGTTGTTTTGTATTCCGAGGGATTTGAAGCATCCAAGGTTTTGGCGAAGAAAATGGTTCAGATGTATAAGCTCTGTAGTGAACAGTTAAGCCAGCAGGATCACTATGATTTCGGAATGCGAGCCGTGAAAAGTGTCCTTGTAATGGCAGGGGCACTAAAGCGAGCTTCACCCGATCAACCAGAGGAGATTACATTGATTTGTGCGCTCAGGGATTCAAATCTTCCAAAATTCCTGGCAAATGATGCAGTTTTATTCAATGGAATATTGGGAGATTTATTCCCAGGCATCGAACTACCCGAACCGGAGAGAGGTAGTTTGCAAGGAGCCATAGAGGCCTGCATGGAGCAGAACAATTTACAGACTGTCCCGGAATTGATTCTCAAAACACTTCAGCTGTATGAAACCATGGTTGTTCGTTGGGGCGTTATGCTGGTCGGTCCAACGGGAAGTGGAAAGACAACCGTGTTGCATACGTTGGCATGTGCACTGGAAAAACTGTACAATGATATCGTCGACGGGCATTACTACAGGCCGGTGAACATACAAACACTTAATCCAAAGGCCATCAGCATGGATGAGCTGTATGGTTTTGTGAATTTGGCAACCATGGAATGGAAAGACGGTTTGCTAGGTTTGGCTATTCGAGCTGCAGTTAATGTTCCTGGTAGGTATATACACCCATATTCTTGTTTTCGTTCGAACCGTATTTTCCATACAAAAAAAAATTTTTTGTATGGAAAATACGGTTTGAACGAAAACAAGAATATAGGTGATAGTTTAGAATTTCGGGGTTCTGTGCCGCAGCTATTGAAATCAAGTTTCACTTTTTTTTTGTATAGGAATCGTTTTCGATATGCACTTGATTTAGTAGCCTGATTTTTACAGAAAATAATCCGCTGATGATACTATTCTATCTGATTGTGAAACATTCGATTGTCATTTTGTTTACCAAGTTGAATCCTATATTACCTACTAATTGATTTTACAATACGGTAGACTGTTTAGTTAAATTACATCTACTGAGCTCACATGCTGCACCTAGAGCATGTTTGTTTTTCCTATCCTATTGGGGACTTTTCCATTTTTAGTTACTTTTGGGCGAGAATTTTCTAATACGGAATAGCTATAAAAATCTAGAATTAAAGGTTGTAGGTATTCCCAGAGGAACTCATGTTCGATGTTTTTTTATATTTTTTCTGCAGACGAAGAGCATCAATGGGTTGTCTGTGATGGACCGGTGGATGCAGTTTGGATAGAAAACCTGAACACCGTGCTAGACGACAATAAGATGCTGTGTTTGGCCAACTCCGAACGTATTAAGCTTACAAGTTGGGTACATATGATATTTGAAGTACAGGATCTGTCCCAGGCTTCACCTGCTACGGTTTCGCGCTGTGGCATGGTATATCTGGATCCGTTACATTTAGGATGGACCCCGTTAATAACATCATGGTTGAATACGGTTGAGGAATATCACCTGGATCCGGATTTGAAGGAGCACATCCACTTGCTATTCAATCGTTACTATGACGAAATGGTCAAGTATATCAATAGGAAATGTCGATGGAGCATCCATCAAGTGAACGTTAGCAAGCTATCGATGATGACAACATTGCTGCTCATACTTTTGAAGCAGACTCAAGGAATCAATCTAATGGAGCGAGGAGATGCGAAAAATTATGTATGTAAATTGTTTACATGGTGCGCTCTCTGGTCGTTTGCTGGGAACTTATTGGACGAATCGAAAATAGGATTCGAAAAATTACTTAGATCATTGTTCCAGGAAAGTGATGCAGCACTGTAAGCTACTCGGAAGGTATTAACGACATGTTTTTACATTGCTGTAATTTAATTTTTCAGGTTACCCGAAGGATCATTGTGGGACTATAGGATAAATCCGGTCATAAAGACTTGGGAAAACTGGACGGCTGTTCATCCGCAGTTCGAATATAATCCTAATGTTGCTTATTTTGATCTGCTTGTCCCGACTCTGGATACTACCACATATGGATACGTAGCCGAAATGTTGTTCCGAGAGCAGTATCCAGTCCTGTTTACCGGTGACACTGGCGTTGGCAAATCTGTACTAGCTCGGGACATTTTAAACAAACTGATGAAGGAAAATGTGATTCCCATTTTCGTTAATTTTTCTGCACAGTCAGAAAGCGCGCGAACCCAGGAAATAATTGAATCGAGATTGGAGCGCCGCAAAAAGACTTTGTTGGGAGCACCCATTAACAGAAAGATTATAATATTCATCGATGACGTCAACATGCCAAAATTGGATGTCTATGGTAGTCAACCGCCGATTGAACTACTTCGTCAATTTCTTGATTTCCATGGAGTTTACGATCGAGATAAGATGTACTGGAAGGATATCGTTGATGTTACTTTAGGAGCTGCATGTGCACCTCCCGGAGGTGGCCGTAACATGCTGACACCTCGATTCATCCGACACTTTGCATTGCTGTCCTTACCGACACCTAACAGCGACACCCTGAAAACTATCTTCAAAGCAATTCTTATTGGATTTTTGAGTGATTTTAGCATGGCTATACGACCACTCGCGGAGCCAATAATAGAAGCAGCCGTTGCCGTATACGAAAGAATTTCAGAAGAACTTCTACCAACACCGAAAAAGTCACATTATGTGTTCAACCTACGCGATCTATCCAAGTGCGTTCAGGGCATCCTACAGGCTGACACCTCGGCGTACGTTAATCCGATCCAAATGCTTCGACTGTTTTACCACGAATCAATGAGAATATTCTACGACCGATTAATATGCGAAGAGGATAAATCGTATTTCAAACAATTGCTACAGGATTGTTGTGAAAAATATTTCGAAACGACCGTAGTTCATCAAGAGGAAGCCGTTCTCTTCGGAGATTTTATGGTTTTTGGTCAAGCACCGGAAGACCGCATATACGAGGAAATCAAAGATTCGAAAAAACTTAAGGGTATTTTGTTCGACTATTTAGAGGATTACAATTCAACTGGAGGCAAGGAAATGAATCTTGTATTCTTCGGAGATGCAATCGAACATATTGTCCGGTTGGCTCGATTACTCCGATCAGAGCGCGGAAATGGACTACTAGTTGGTGTATCCGGAATGGGCAAACAAAGCCTCTCGCGATTGGCTGCTCATATCAATGGTTACCAGTGCAATCAAATCGCTCTGCGGCGAGGGTACGATCATGCGTGTTTTCATGAAGACTTGAGAAAGATCTACTGGATCGCCGGCGTTTTGAATAAACCAACCGTATTCCTGATAACAGACACTCAAATTGTGAAGGAGGAGTTCATGGAGGACATCAACAATATACTTAATTCTGGAGAGGTCCCTAGTCTGTTCGAAGGAGATGAATATGAAAAAATAATACTAAACGCCCGACAACCCTGCATTGAAAGTGGGCATTCCAACACGACAAGGGACGGAATTTTCGAATTCTTCATAAAACGTGTTCGTGCAAATTTACACGTGATATTGTGCATGAGTCCCGTTGGTGACACGTTTAGGCGACGGTGCAGAATGTTCCCTTCCTTGGTTAATTGCTGTACGATTGATTGGTTTGTAAAGTGGCCGGCAGAAGCGCTGCTGTCTGTGGCAGTTGGGTCACTGAAAGAAGTTGCTGAGAATGAGGTGCAATGCAAGCATCTATCCCAAATCTGCGTAATGATGCACGAAAGTGTGGAAACCATTTCGGAAAGGTACTACCGCGAAATGCGTCGCCATTACTATACCACTCCTAGCAATTACCTGCAATTGCTAAATCAATACCGCGTGTTAGTGCATAAACGTGTAGATATAATCCTGCAGAAGAAGGACCGGATTGCAAATGGGTTGAGTAAAATTCTGGAAACGAATCTTGTAGTGGCAGAGATGGGAGAAGAATTGAAGCAATTTGTTCCTATCTTGGACGAAAAGTCGAGAAATATGAAGGAACTGTTGGCGAAACTAGACAAGGATAATACAATAGCCGAAGGCGTGAAGAGAAGCGTAGCCAAAGATGAAGCAGAAGCCAAAATCAAAGCAGCTGAAACACAGGAAATAGCTGACGAAGCAGCCAAAGACCTTGAAACTGTCATGCCAACACTGCAAGCTGCACAGGATGCACTCAAAGCGCTGAATAAAAATGACATAAATGAATTGAGGGTATTTCAAAAACCTCCAAAAGTAGTACAATTTGTAATGGAAGCGGTGCTTATTCTACTAGGATCAAAGTAAGTACTTTATGTTAAGCAAGAAGCGAGGATGTTAAATGATAATTTTTCAACAGAACCGATTGGAATTCTGCCAAAGTTGTGATGGCTGACGTTAACTTTCTAAAGAAGCTTGAGGATTACGACAAAGAGCATATATCCGATTCTATACTCAAAAAGCTTAAGACATATATTGAGCATAAAGATTTCCAACCTCCTGTAAGATATTTTATGGCAAGACGAAGTCGAACTATTGTTGAGTAACATTTGTATACTTTTAGATTGTCGAAAAGGTGTCCAAAGTAGCGAAATCAATGTGCCTGTGGGTAATAGCCGTAGAACGTTACGCCAAGGTGTACAGATTGGTTGAGCCCAAAATCAAACGTCAGAAGGATGCAGAGGAAGAGTTGAATCAAGTGATGCAGCTTTTAAAATGCAAGCAGAACGAATTGGCCGAAATCGAAGCTAAAATATTGATGCTAATGTCCAATCTTGATGAGAAGAAACGTGAGATGAAAGTATTGCAGGATCATAATGATCTGACAACTGCACGGTTGAACCGCGCTGGTCGTCTAACATCGGCCTTGGCTGATGAGGAGATTCGTTGGCGAGAGACCGTACAGGAGTTGACTGCGGAACAGTTTGCGGTTCCTGGTGACGTCCTGGTAGCATCGGCGTACGTAGCATACTTGGGAGCATTTCCGATGGATTATCGACGGGAACTCTCGAGAGCATGGGTTGAAGAGTGCCGAAGTTTGAATATTCCAAGCAGTGACAGCTTTAATTTGGTAAAAATTTTGGGTGACTCATTCCAAATAAGACAGTGGAACATGTTTGGATTGCCGAGAGATGAGATTTCCATCGAGAATGCAATTATTTCCACCCAAGGTGGTCGATGGCCTCTGATGATTGACCCGCAAGAGCAAGCCAATCGCTGGGTACGCAATATGGAAGCAGAGAACGAACTCAGGATCATAAAACTAACAGATGCGAATATGATGCGAATTCTGGAGATTTGGTATGTGGCTAGAGGGGTACTCAATTTGGCATAACGCCGTTGGACATCGATCATTTGGCATAATGGTCATTTTGGCATAAATGCGAAAAAACGCGACTTATACCGATAAATACTTCTTTTTTCATGAACTCTTGTACTTCAACGGAATATGCAAAAAACAGCTCATGATTATCATGTAACGGATGTTTTCCCTTCCTTTGAATATGACATGTTCTTTCATATTTCTAGATGGAGCTGGAATTAGGGCGTAACAGCTTTTGTAAACAATGACTTCTCTCGATGATTTCTAGGAATTCAAGGCACTCCCACGCAAACCAACATAAACATCAGATAGGGGAAGGTGATGTTGATTTGCCTGGGCGAGCTTTGACTTTCTAGAAATCATCGAGAGAAGTCATTGTTTACCAAAGCTGTTACGCCCTAATTCCAGCTCTATCTAGATTTGTTGAAGAACCGATCATGATTAAAAAAGCAGTTAAGATCGATATACATTTTTTTTTCTCGTATTTATGCTAAATGGCAATTATGCCAAGCGGCAGTATGCTAAATGGAGTACTCCCGTGCCTAGAAGTTTTGATATTGGGATTCCAAAAAAAAAATACTATTATACCCCTTTATTCCAGTATCAGACAGGGAACGCCCATGTTAATTGAAGATGTGCAGGAAACACTTGATCCCGTTTTAGAATCTGTACTACTGAAACGAGTCTTTGTCCAGAACGGAAGGCCGATGATCAAACTGGGGGATGTCGATGTCGATTATGACCATAATTTTAGACTGTACATAACAACAAAATTGGCGAATCCCCACTTTTTGCCTGAAATTTGCATTCAAGTTAGCCTAGTCACCTTTTTGGTGTCCAGGGGTGGATTAGAGGACCAACTGCTTGCGTGAGTATAATAGCTTAGCTACGTATATAGGGGGCTGTTCATTAACTACGTTGACAGTTGTTTGGGATTCTTGCCCCCCCTCCTCCTCCTGCGTAGACAATTGCCCATACACAATTTTTAAAATTTGTATTAGCCGTTGATTATTTCCCCTCCTCCCTTGTCTTCTAGATGCTTGTTTCAAATCAACTTTACCTTTTCAGTGATATCATCAAGATCGAACTACCGGAGATGGAAAAACAGCGCAGTGATCTTATTGTTAGGATAAATGCCGACAAGCAGCAGCTGTTGATGTTGGAAGACAAAGTCTTGAAGCTTTTGTACAGTTCCCAAGGTAACATATTGGACGATGAAGAACTTATGGATGCATTGAACGAATCGAAGGAAACATCAATTGTCATTGCCGATCGGCTGGTCGAAACGGAGAAAACGGAAATGACTATTGCCGCCACTAGGGAAAAGTATCGGATTCTTGCGTCACGTGGTGCAGTTCTGTACTTTGTCATATCGTCTTTGGCCGAAATCGATCCCATGTACCAATTCAGCCTACGTTACTTCTCGCATGTATACTGTTCGGTGATTGCCAAACCCCATGCAAAAATGAACCTTCCTGAACGGTTGAGCACACTGCTGGATGACATTACTTTCACAGTATTTTCAAACATTTCACGAGGATTACTTGAAAAGCACAAATTGATCTACGGATTTCTTCTGGCTGTGGGAATATGTAAGGAATCCGACGAAATTACAGATGACCAACTACATTTCATTTTAAGAGGTCCCAGTAGCAGAAACTTTTCCGTCGAACAAAAGCCTGGCTATGTTACGGATAATCAATGGTTTAGTTGCAAATACTTGGACGAAGCTTTTACGGCCTTCTCCGGATTGTCGAAGTGCTTGCATGAATCAATAGTGGTGGAAATTGAAGATTACAAGGAGAACCTAACACCTGCGCCGAAGCCAAATGAATCTTCCAAGGAGTGGAACGCTCTATTGACTCCAGCCGAAAAACTCATGGTTGTTGCTGCATTGAAAGATGAGAGTTTGGTCATTGCCATCACCGAATTTATTCGATTCAAATTGGGTAAACAGTACACGGAACCTCCAAATAATACAACCTTACCATCGCTGTACGAAGACATATCGCCGCTAACTCCACTTGTGTTTGTCCTATCGCCTGGTTCTGATCCAATGACGGCACTCATCAAATTTGCCCAGGACAAGGAGTACGCGGAGAAACTATTCTCCATCTCCTTAGGTCAAGGCCAAGGCCCAGCAGCGGAAGCGCTGATTGTAAATGGAACCAAACTGGGTCACTGGGTGTTTTTGCAAAACTGTCATTTGGCCACATCGTGGATGGAATCAATGGAACGAATTATCAATAACATTGCAATGGGTTTGCAACCGGCTCATGATGGTTTTCGACTTTTCTTGTCATCAATGCCCGTTAAAACGTTCCCTATAAGCGTGTTACAGAATTCGGTGAAAGTTACGAATGAACCGCCAAAAGGTTTGCGTGCCAATTTGATTCGATCGCTGAATGATCTTGATATGGGAAGCTTTGAAATGCATGTACTCGGTCAACGTTGGAGAAGCATGGTGTTCGGTCTTTGCATGTTCCACGGCATCATATTGGAGCGACGTAAATTTGGCCCTCTTGGCTGGAACATAACATACGAATTCAATGAAAGCGATAGGGAATGCGCATTAAGAACGCTGGACATATACTGCGAGAGAGAATTAAAAGCGCCCATTCCCTGGGATGCATTGGAGTACATCAACGGAGAGATAACCTACGGAGGCAGGGTAACAGATAATTGGGACCAACGTTGCCTGCGTTCTATTTTGAAAATATTTTCGTCAGATAGAGTGCTTTCGACTGAGTATCGATACAGTGAAAGCGGCCTGTACTATTGTCCCGAAGCACGAAATTTGGACGAATACAAAGCCTTCGCCAATAGTTTGCCCATACACGATCCTCCGGAAGTTTTTGGAATGCATGAGAATGCCAACATTATTTTCAACCGAAATGAAACCAGATTCTTTGTAAATACACTTCTGAATAGTGTAACTGGAGGAGATTCTTTGACCGAAGCCGCTTTAGCAGCAATGGACAAGATATGCTTGGATAAGACTCACACTATCCGTGCAGCAATTGCGAAAAGTATCAACAGCGATAACCCGTATCCGGATTTAATGAAAAGGGATAGTAAAAATCGTATTCCATCACTGACGACAGTCCTGTTGCAGGAGATTGAAAGGTTCGACAGACTGCTGAGTGTGATTCACAGCAACTTAAATGACCTGGAGAAAGCCATACAAGGGTTCGTCGTTATGTCGGAAAGTTTAGAAGCAATATATCGTGCATTCACGAACAACCAAGTTCCACAACTATGGCACAGTAAGGGGTTCCTATCGACAAAATCACTAGGCAGCTGGATATTCGATCTGCAGCAACGCATAGAATACGTACAATCGTGGATCGATGATGGCTTGCCGATATCGTCATGGATTTGTGGATTGTTCTTCCCTCAGTCTTTCCTGACTGGCACTCTGCAGACCTATGCGAGAAAAAACGACATCCCAATAGATACATTGCGTTTCGATTTCGATGTCATGACGTGCACGTTAAATCAGCAGGCAATTTATGAGCGTCGGGCTCGTGGACAGAAGGTAGGTTGTATACCTAGGATAAGTGTGCCAGTTATGGCACTATTGCTTCAGTTTTTTGTCCAAGGGCCAACATCAAATTTGAAACATTATATACCATAGCTACCAAAAAAAATCCATTAGTACCGTACCAATGACGCGTTCATCTAGATAAAATTGATAAATAGTTGATTTTTAGCGATATGCCCAGTCTTAGGTCCATATAGCCATTTTCCCTATTTGTTAAAATTCGGTAAAAAATAAATAAAATAGGGGAAATGGCTCTAATGTTGGCCTATGGATCTAAGATTGGGCCCATCGCTAAAAATCTGCTATTTATCAATTTTATCTAGAAGATGAACGCGTCATTGGGACGGTACTAATTGATATTTTTGGCCGCTATTGAAAATTTAGTCGATTGCTGAATTTATGTATGGGCTCAGATTAGGGGCATTCAGGCCGACATTACATCCATTTCCCCTATGTTAAAAAAGGAAATTTCGTAAAAATCAACATGTTTTTGGTTTTCCGCATGCAAAATAAAATCTCGATCTTTTTTTACTAGCAACATCTGTTGCGAAAATCAACCATGCTATTAACACAGACAAACATACATAACACATTGAATATTTTTCAATATAAAATATCGTCGCTAAAACACTATCGCCATCTATTGAGTATACTGTGATGTGTAGTACGTTGAACAGATGGCAGTATTGTGTAGACGTCAAACGCAAGGGTTAATGACTATGCGCTCCACAGGTAGCGGTACTACCAACTAAAACATTTAAATTGACCGTTAAATTCGTGTTCGATGAACAAAGCGGCCAAAAGGGCCGCCGCAGTAAAACCACCGACAAACCGACATGAGTGATCATACAAAGTATCATCAAATTTCTGATCAAAGCACAAAACTGACATCTGCCACCGTGTTCGCGAAAAATTTGTATCCTAGCCACGAACACACATACATTTAGTATGTGTGTTCGTGGCTAGGATACAAATTTTTCGCGAACACGGCGGCATGAGTTGGTTCGTGTCTAATCTATTCCGGGCAAAATATTTTTATCAAGATAACAAATTTCTATGGTTTTTCCCTCCCCTTGGCTAGTTTTTGCACCTTGATGCTGGTGGGCGGGCTTCATTTCATGCTTTTTAGTGGAGTGTTGGAGACGGTAGGTTTATGGCCGGCGTTGCTGGCTCATGCCGCGATAGAATGGCGCCATGGGCAAGCAATGGGGATTACTAAGCTTCCCCCACAGAACAGAAGGAGAAGTGCAAACAAATCGGTGAATCAAAAAGTGTTCGTTTTTCTGCCCAACAAGCGATGTGTTGTGGTAGCGTTCCACACGGGCTTTCTATGTGCACTCACACTATCATAGCATGCTGCCTATCTTAACTGCAGGCAGAAGATGCCTTCAACCGCTAGGTGCGCTAGTGTTCGCAAATGACAAGTGGAGCCACTTTCTGATCCAAAGTTCCACTCCTGTGCTTCCCCTCTCTGATAAACCACTGCATGAGAGAACCAAAGATCTAGTCTAGCAGTGATAGTATCACACTTGTTACTCCTTCGATTGAGAGCCGCGTCGTAGTACGCTTACGTATAGGCACTGACGTTGGGTGTGATACTGGCGGGTTTTACCGCAAATCACTCTTAATTTATTTAGTTTTACGCAGATAGATTTATTTGGGTTTGCAAGGGAATTATACTATTGAAATATTTCAGAAAGTGCCGAACGGTGCTCCTTCTATTTGCGTGACAAGCTTTCATTGTTGTTTTCATTGAAGTATTACTCAGGAAACAATGTTAAACACCATTTTTGTACATGGTATTGTAACTAATCTTATATGTGCTTCATTTTGATTTGGGATAAGTGTTTGAACTATGACTCGGGATTTCCACTGTGGTGTGCTTCTATTGTGACATACCCATATGTATTTTTGTGGTGCGACATAGTGGAAACGTGAGAGCGTAATTGGAACATTTACACTATACAATATACAATTTAAAATTAGCTTGGAAAGTTACTTCAAAGTGAAGCATTTTAGTCACTTGAAGGTGTCACCTGGGACGAACAAAGGTATAATTAATATATGTCAAAGCCAGAAGTACTTGAAACACGTTAAATTTAAGTTTAAAAGCATGGGTTATGATTGTGTAGGTAGATTAGAGATTTCAGTTGTTTATTAAATAAATTTCAATTAGAGAATTCAGAAAGTTAATTAACATAAGAGATAGGACGCGGGGGGTCCGCTTAGGGAGGCGACTAACCTTTGAAGTTGTATAATAAAATCTTCCTATTTAGTGTATTTGTTAATTACAGGCAATGCTAATAGCGAAAGTCATATCTTCAACCAGACGCTTACGGACTAGTCAAGTTTTAGGAAAGATGTGTTAAATATGTTGATAGGTTTGAAATAAGAATTAGGATTGTTGTGCTTTAGGTAAGGTATGATGTGTCAACAAAACCCTTTTGAGCAAATTTTCAGACATCAAAGCTATTGAGTGATTTATTGAAAGACATTGCGTTGCGAAAATTGACAAGTCATACATCTAACATAGTAGTAGTAGCAGTGCCGCATAATCTTATCATAATTGCTGCAAATAGTGCTGGAGGGGCCGGCAGGGCTGAATACGGATCAAAACTAACATAACTACTAACACTAAAATGATCCCGGAACTAACACTTATCCATTGCACTTTTAGTTATATATTAGTTTTATTTTTCTACTAAGTCCTCTATGCTTCTTTCTATTGTTTGGATCAAGTACAACTAAAATACTAATCTACCTTTATGTATGTATTACTCCCTTTTAACCCATAATGGCTTTATGAATGGCGAATCATATGACGTGAGACACGGGGATTTCAATTGACTAAGGAGAAGGAAAAGAATAACTTCGAACAGGATATCAAACAAATTCAGGACCAATCCAAATGAGACCAGAAATCAACAAGGCATCGGGGCGTTATATACTCGGAGAGGTATTTGATAAATAATCTAAAAGTGGTAAGTTAAAATCATAGTGGAGCCAAGGATCATGAGAGGTAATTGTCTATAATTCATTAATTAGTAGAAATCTCGATAACTTTTTCAAGGGAGCGTATCGGCTTTTGTAGGCGGTGCGTTTGGTCGTCGATTTGGCGTAACTGATGGTTCGCCCACGCATGCTAGCACTATCATCAGATAGGGAGATTTTCCTCTACCTGGTAGTGGTGTTGGTAGGCGTGTGCGAGCTGCCGGTTGCGCCGGATCGACGATCGGATACATTGTTTGCAGGAGCTGGTGCTTCCCTTTGAAGAAGTAATCGAGAAACAACCATATTATCCTGTAATTGATATTACAAGACTGGGACAAAAATCAACCTTTAAAAAAAAAAGAATGCGCAATTATACTATCAAAACTATTTGGATCAGCACAAAAACAACAGTGACCAAACGGGCACCATAGCCTAGGAACGTCTGTGTGTTGATTTAAAATAGAGGCAAAATTTATCAATAAAAGGGGTCCAGTGTAGAGTTTAAGCAAGTGCTGCCACTGGATCACTACAAAAAAAAATAACAAATTTCTATGGTTTTGACAGATGGGATCGCTGCACATTTGAATCCGCCGTTATGGATTCTCGATCAAGAGTTAAGTTTTAGTTTCATGTCGGTTTGTCGGTGGTAAAACTAACGTTAAATTTGATGAATTGAAGTGTATGTTTCAAAAACTTCTAATAAACAAAACATGAATTTGTTTAATATATGTAACGGCCTAACTTTAAGATGTTGCACTAAGTTTGGCAGCAATTTTAGATTAAATGATCAAAAATGCGGACAAAAAATGTATAAACAGAATTGAATGTATTTGGTCAACAAGAGCAACAGCTAACCTACTCCGAACAATGTAAGTTGCTAACAAAAGATTAATCGATAATTGTTGGTAGGCTTTTATGATTCTGCACGCTTGATTTAGTCCATATTTATAATTTGTAGGAGGTCTAAAAGTTTGCTAGCATTAAGGATTTAGATCTCCTTTATAGTTACGCCAATGAATACCCTCCAGATTCTATGCATTCTGATAGTTAGAGATTATTTTATGGCAGTCATCGAATTCGTATCATATTTCAACACGACCATTATTAAACATCTAAATTTATTGATATATTTACAGAGCAATTCATTGTTTGAAGACCTGAAAGTTCCTGATACCGGTATTCTGATTCACGGACTTTTTATTGAGGCGGGCAGGTGGGACGTACGAGAGGGCGGACTGTGTGATGCAAAAGTTGGAGAGCTAATAGCTAGACTGCCAGTGGTTTGGCTGAAACCCTGTGTGGAACTGGAGATAGGCCGTCGCTATGAAGCGCCACTTTACAAGACCAGCATCCGGGCAGGGGTGCTCTCTACCACGGGTCATTCGACGAACTTTGTTGTATCTATTCTACTGGACACGAAAAAATCGTCAGAATATTGGATACTACGAGGCACCGCCCTCGTTACTTTAATAACCGATTAAGGCAAGTGGGTGCTTTTGCTTTACACTAACGACGTAAATGACTTACCTTATTTCAGACTGAGCAGAGTATCGATGTTCGCTTCAACTTCTTTGACAGCTTTCACTGCGTGTGCCGTGCTAGTTATCACTTCGTGAATCATCACTTTTTGTATTGTCCTGAAAATAAAATACTTTTTTATTCCTAAAGTTGTAGTTTATCACAAAAATATCCTTACTCTGCTTTTATGTGCAGTGCCCTACATTCGGCATTCTTGGTTTCAATGTTATTTTTTTGATACGGACCCGTTCTCATTTCAGCGCATAGATTCATGAAGTGCACTTTGCGGTTTTTCAGTTTAATTAAATCTTCTGTCAATTTCCGTTTTTCAGCTTCCAATTCAAGCATTTGCGAGTACTCCTTAAATGGCGGATTAGCTAGATTGTTCAAATTATTATTTGTTAACTTTAACACCTTGTCAATCACCGGTTTGGTCAGTGCCGTTATTCTAGCTTCGAGATGTTCGTTTAATATCATCCGATCGTTATAGTTCAACTCCACATTTCGAATACGGTCCAATCCTGTGAAAAAGTTGTTACTCGATTAAATAATTTACTGTCGAATTGTTCTATTTTTTTTTTTCAAAAAAATTATTCCAACCTAGAGGCAATGGATTGTCGTATTTGTACATGCTCAGTAGCGCTCTATCATCAACGGAAATCGGCGACTGTTGTTGCTTCAGTATTTTGATTATCAACTCGGTTTTGTGCCATTTCTGTAATTCATTACGAAGCTCTTCCGTAAAGGACGAATTTAAATCACTTTGATTGAGCCGTACTTTAGTTTCGTTCATATTTTTACAATATTTTTTTATTAAACTAATTTTGTTTAAACGGTCCGAATCAAAGCTTGACTGAAATAAGTAATCCCCCTCCCCCACCGTGACGTGAAGGGGTGAAAGCGGTTTAAGGATTGGGCGATGTTGTTTCTAAATTCGAATATCATCGACACGGTTCGTCGATATTGGCGTTGACGGCGACTCTGATGCAATGACGTTTATATAAGGTCTGGGCCAAAGGGGTTATTGGTGTTAGTGAAATGTGCAATTCGACAGTGAGCATGCATAAGGGCGAATACGCAATGATCGATTCTCTTCACCGATTTTCTCTTTGCATTACTACAGCTAAGCGAAACAATTTTCTAGAATTTGTTCAATGCAGAGTAGTAACAGGTTGTATTGGCTATCAAAATCAACAGCAAACGCACCGAGAAACGTTAAATCTAGCGAGTTATTAACAAAAGAGAAAATCGACGAAGAGAATCGATCATCGCGTATAGGCCCTTATGCATGCTCACTGTCAAATTGTTTAGTGGTGTTCGTATGTTATTGCAATGTTTATCTTTTTACACGAAACAGCTGTTGGCAGTGACGGCAGATCTTACTTGGTGAATCGCTACGTACATGTCAAGATTGGCGCGTCGGAATCGGATGTTTTCTCAAACAACTCGGGAGTCCCGCAAGGCAGTAACCTAGGACCGCTACTATTTTCGATCTTTTTAAACGATGTCGCCTTGCTGATACCATTTGGATGCCGCGTTTTCTATGCAGACGATACGAAAATCTACAAAATTATTACAAGCCTCTCGGACTGCTGGGATCTCCAGAATATGTTAGGTATTTTTGCTGACTGGTGCTCAAGAAATTTGATGAGTCTAAGCATAGAAAAATGTAACATTATTTCATATCACCGAAAAATTGAACCAATCATGTTTGACTATGTTCTCTACGGACGCTGTCTTGCTCGTGTAGAGCACATAAAGGATCTCGGCGTTACCTTGGACTGCAGACTCACTTTCAGAATCCACTACAATGACATCATCTCCAGAGCTAATCGACAATTGGGCTTTATTTTCAAAATTGCCGACGAGTTTCGTGACCCGCTATGTCTCAGGTCACTTTACTGCTCGCTTGTGCGATCCTTATTGGAGTCAAGTTCAGTTGTTTGGTGCCCTTTCCATGCTAGCTGGATCACTAGAATTGAATCCGTTCAACGCAAGTTTGTGAGATATGCTCTTCGTTTCCTCAACTGGCGTGACCCAACGAACTTGCCACTGTACGAGGAGCGTTGCCGTCTCCTGGGAATCGAGCCATTAGAGGTGAGACGGACGGTCGCTCAAGCTATGTTCGCCGGAAAGCTGCTTACAGGTGACATTGACTGCCCAACACTGCTGTCACAACTAAATATGTATGCCCCTGAGAGGTCTCTTCGTCAACGCGACTTTCTGTTTTTTGAACCACGGAGCCGGAATTATACACAACACGAGCCAATTCGAGCAATCAGCCGGCAATTCAATAACTTTTTTTATATGTTCGACTTCAATGTATCAGCTGACGTGTTTCGTCATCGGCTACTTGGCCTTTTCCGTACCGTTGACCGTAACTATTTAGTTTAAGTTTTATTCATTTAGACAGTATTTGTCAGTTGAATTTTTCAATAAACAATAAACAATAAACAATTTCTATCTGTTCGCAGATGTTCAGCAATGTTTACAACATTTTTGCTCCTACACACAAAGAAAAACCGTTGCTAAAATTAAAAATACCATTGGTAGAATTGAAAGTTTGCATTGGTTCTTTTTGGTAGAAAGCGGTTAGCTTTCAAAACAAAAATCAGTTAACTGTCAATTCAAAAGTTCCTCGCATGCTACTTTTAAAAGTTGAAACTTTCAAAACGAATTGTAGAACTGTCAAATGAAAAACAGGATAGTATTATATAATTAAAAGTGGATTATTTTTGTATCAAATCAAACCTTTGTCATGAAAGTTTGGTAAAGTTGTAATAACATGTGCCGTTTTGGATCTATAATAAAAATATTTTCAATTAAAATACCAGCATTTTCAACATTACAATATTAATTTTCATTTTAAATTATAACAAATATTTATTCAATCGATAGTAACAAATGTTTCATAAATTAAAAAAAGGACTACAACTATATTTATTACTACTATCCACATGAATACAAATATATTAATTATGCTGGGTTTCTGAAGACATCATCCGCAGGTTTTCAGTGAGTAGAAAATCGTTGTCATCGTATTGCGATATCACAAAGTTGTAGGTGGATTTTTTCGGCTGACTGTTGATTCTAGGGTTGATTCGGATCTATTCATTGGTAGATTTCATCGTCTGAAAAAAAATCTAAATAACTTCACACAATAACATTGATAATTAAATACTACAATTTTAAATAATGATGTCACAATGGATTCCGTAACCGACAATCTCGCCGACAATATTGCCTGAAATATCCAGCGGATTTAATGTTGATTTTCAGTTTCATTCCACACAAGGAACATGATTTGCGACTTTTGACGTTAAGGTTAAATTTAGCGGCAAATGTATGTCCAGTGCTGCCAAAAACGTTGCTATGACAAGGTTTTTTTTGACAGTTAAACAATATTCATTTTAAAAATATGCGCTTTTAAAAATACAAGTCAAAAGTGAAAAATACACTTTCAAACCAAACCAAATACTTTTGTTTTAAAAACTTTCATGGTTAAAACTATCAAAGCTGGGAAACTTTTATTTTGAAAACGCATGATTTTTATTGATACAATTTTTGTTTTTTGTGTGTAGGTCCTATAAGAATACATAAAAAGTATGTGTGACCGCTTATAAATTTCATTTGACGCATGATCTTCATTAACTTTTTTGCAAGGCGTCTGCTTCACTCAAAAAATTTATCACATATCTAATGGATGAAAACCATGTGAATTTCACATAGCTTTCATGTGATCACATAGCTAAAAATCCCACTACAAAATCACATGAATATTATGAGGCCGATGAAATTCATATGAAAAATCATATAAAATTAACGTGATCGCATAAATGTTATGTGAAATTCAGATGAATTCCATTAATTTTGTTTATGGATGAAAATCATTTGTGTTTCCAATGGAAGCTACATGAAAACTATTTTCGGTGTTATTATGCATTGACTTATACATTTTATGAATAATCAGTAATAGAAATTTGCAGAACGGTTTAAGGAGATCTCTACATACAAAAAAACAAAAATTGTATCAATAAAAATCATTCGTTTTCAATATAAAAGTTTCCCAGCTTTGATAGTTTTAACCATGAAAGTTTTTAAAACAGAAGTATTTGGTTTGGTTTGAAAGTGTATTTTTCACTTTTGACTTGTATTTTTAAAAGCGCATATTTTTAAAATGAATATTGTTTAACTGTCAAAAAAAAACCTTGTCATAGCAACGTTTTTGGCAGCACTGCCCTAATAAAAAATAACCATAAACGAACGATAACACAAATCATTGAACTATTCCACAAATGGTTTGGATGATACCCAGAACACGTCGTTAAGCAAATTAACCATACAATTTTTATTAGGGTGGACATACATTTGCCGCTAAATTTAACCTTAACGTCAAAAGTCGTTATCAATATCATGTTCCTTGTGTGGAATGAAACTGACAATTAACATTAAATCCGCTGGATATTTCAGGCAATATTTTCACTATTGTCAGTTACGGAATCCACTGTGACATCAACAGTTAAAATTGTAAGAATTTAATTATCAATGTTATTGTGTGAAGTTATTTAGATTTTTTTTTCAGACGATGAAATCTACCAATGAATAGATCCGAATCAACCCTGGAATCAACAGTCAGCCGAAAAAATCCACCTGCAACTTTGTGATATCGCAATACGATTTGACAACGATTTTCTACTCACTGAAATCCTGCGGATGATGTCTTCCTAAACCCAGCATAATTAATATATTTATATTCATGTGGATAGCAGTAATAAATATAGTTTTAGCACAGACAAACAGACATAACACATTAAATATTTCTCACTGTAAAACATCGTCGCTAAAACATTACCGCCATCTGTTGAGTTCACTGTAGTGGGCACTACACTGAATAGATGGCGGTAGTGCACGCAGAAAAAATTACCGTCGAAACAAAAATATTTGAGGTAAATTTAAACGTAAATTCAGTTTTTTCTGGCCACAAACATAAACTAGGTTGATTTCAAACGTATTCTACGTTTGAATCCATTGATAATAATGTTTAAAACAAAAATAATGTTACGTTTATTTTAAAAATATTCGTGTTGAAAATAAACGTGAATATTTTTGATTTATTTGAAAACTATATGCAATCAAAAATTAATATGTTTATTTTAAACATGCTTTTCATGTTTAAAATAAACAAACATATTTTGAAATTATTTTAGCATTTGAATGCTGAATAAATCAAAATAAAATGGATAGCAAATTAATGGAAATTCCTGCGATTATGGAAAGTCTGTGGATGTTTGGATCCGGGGGGCCGTCGGGGTGGGTGTCCGATCCGATCCAGTTCAGTAAAACTGGTGAAACTTTGTGATATTAGCGTCATTTTGTCGTTTATGACGCTGGTCCTCATACCGGCCTCTTTCTACGTTTAGTGTTCGGGGATGATCTGTTTTTCTTTCGACGTCGGGTGGGGGGTGAGGATGATATGGGGATCGGTATCAGAAACGACGGATTGCCGTTAATATTGTGATGTTCCACCGGTTTTGTCGAGCTTGGAACATTGCGTGGGTTTCCGGACCCTCTACTTCGGTTTCGCCGCTTGCAGGCCGTTTTCGGTTAAGTTTGCCGAATGTAAACAAGAAGGAAAAAAGGACACGCTAAAAATTGATTACCCAGGTTATGTATTGTTGAAATAAACATGCTTTTGAATTTATTCTAAACATACATATTTTTGTTGAGAACATGTTTGTAATTTACTTTGAACTATTCATATTTTTATTTAATAAACATATATATTTTTAACTTAAATGAACAAAATTTGGTTCCGTGTGTGTAAACGTCAAACGCAAGGGAATTGACTATGCGCGCCACAGGTAGCGGTACTACCAACTACGATTCTTTTAAATTGTCCGTTAAATGCTTGTTCGATGAACAAGTTGCGAGTGTTATGTCTGTTTGTCTGTGGTTTTAGTTCTAAAAGTCGGGTTCTAAAATCATAAAGTACATGTGTTAATTTGTTGTATTATTGCTGATTGCATCTGAAACTGGACTGTCCCAAAAATGCAAAAAGTGTGATAAAAGTACACGTTACGGTCAATGTCGTTTTGATGTCTTCGGAGCACTTATTGCATGCATCATAAGGAATAAGTGCACCGAAAACACCAAGACGATCAGACGTAAACTTGCAGTTTTATCACACTTTAATAAGTGAAAACGCGCTTATTAGTCCAATTTGGTGTGAAACGCACAATATTATTGTGTGAATGTATGTGTGTACAAATGATAGTTGTTAGTGAGAATTTTCGGTTTCGGATGCAGCCGAAGGAACTCGATCTTCAGAGCGTGTCCAGTTTGTGAACAGCTTAAAGCTGGAAATATATTTGCATTAGCTTTAAGGTTATAAAAGTAAAGAAACAAGCTTACAATTCGTGTTTCCTTTTTTTTCCTGCACCTCTGATTCCCTAACCTCAATTTCACTAGAGTTACAAACTCACTGCTAGAAATTTAGGTATAATTAGTTTGTTTGTTTGTAATTCAATTCTGTCCTGTACATTACCGTTTAGTTATCAAAGTTTGAAGTTTTAGAGCAATAGAAACTGAAATAATAATGATAATGCTGTAAATTAAGCTTTTGTCTTCCTAGCGTGTTTACACTGTGTCAAATTACGATCTTTTTTATTTTTTCTTGTTTTATTAATACTCTAGTCCGTCCGTTTTCTTGTACCGCTAACTGCCAAGGTTAATTTAAATAACGAGGTGCGTTCGAGGTACCCAGTGGGCTTAACAATAGTGATTGAAGAATATTTCAAAAATAATAAGAATGCAAATTTAAATGTTGAACCTTAACAAGCTCCGCGAAGCTGGCAAGAGCTGACTTAATCTGGCCTAGAATCAGCAGCTACATAATATACCACAATCAGCAGTCAAGGACCAATTATATTGACCACGAAGCAAGTTTAATGCTCAGGTTGTACCTCAGGTAACCGAAAAGGAGCATTCCCCTTTTGGAACGGGTCACTCCCGTCACTCCTGTATCGTCCTAGGCCGTGTCAATCCTCACCAACGAGGGAAAGTGCCTGAAAGGCATCCAAGCCACACACGAACGACAAGCCCCGTAAAACCGTCGCGCAGTCAAACCCTCGGTCAAACCATCACAGGCGCATTTCGTTTGTCCACAATTCGATTTGTTAAACGAGCGATTCGATCTGTCAAATAAGCGAACAGATGCTTCAAACGAAATATGCTGTCAGACGACATTTTCTTTTATAAGAAAATCGAGACTACATACTTTGATCATTTTTGAGTAAACATGAGTAACTCAAATTTACTCGCTGCAAATATATTTACTCTTAGTACGGTACAGCTGTCTTGCCCCCAGCTCATACAGCATTATTACAACCGAACGAGAAAATCTCTATAGGCAAATCAAAGTTGGCACTCGTGGAGAATAGAAAAACTATGAGAGTGATGATGGTTTCAAAATTTTCCACGGTGCGGTAGAAAAGCTGAAATCTATGTATATATGCGCCACAAAATCTGAAAAGGAATTATTTTATATGCTGGATAGGCGTATACGCTTTTCGATAAAAATGGTTTTCAAAGTTCTGTTTACGACGTGATCGACAACCTATAGGTATAGTACACAGAAATTCAAAACAACCCAAAATTAAGTTCTTTTCACTCATCTCCCATGTTCCGTACAATAAGCCAAATTTGGGTAAACCGGCTCAAAGTAGTTTGCATTTAAGCACGGCAAAAAAAATTACCCATCGCTAAGTAATTTTCAATTTTTTCTACCCAAAATTAAGTTCAATTAACTCAAATTTGGGTATATCGCATATTACTCAATTTTGGCTTCTTGTACGGAACTAGACGGTTGAGTCGAATCTTTCGTTCTATTTTTGACAACAATAGCGAGAGGAAATGAAACGGACAGAGGTCAAATAACTCAAATTTGAGTTTAAAAAACCCAAGCGGTGGGTAGTTTTGTTTTTCTGTGTATACTCAAAAAGGTCTCCAGATTTGTTTAATGGTATATTCAAAATTACGATCGAGATTACGATCTACGTCATTGGAATCGCCCAATTCAACGCAATTGGTTGTCAAATGTAATCGTTTGACATTTCATATTTTTTCCAGTATAGTCAGATTTTTGTGATGCAGCGTTTATTTTTCTCATTTTCACTGCAAAACTACAATAAAAATCATTTTTCTTTCATGGGTCTTGTCCTAAAAGGTTGAAAAGAATCATTTTCTACATTATTGGTCAGTGTAATTGTTGGTATATAGTGATTCAAGTGCGGAAAAGCATATTGCAAAATGCCTCGCGTCAATTACACCAGAACGGATCGGATAGCCCAAATGTCGAAACAGGAGCAACTCATTGCTCAGAAACGGCAGCAAATATTGGAAAAACAGCGGACATTGCAGATGGCTAAGCAGATTGCAGCTGAAGCTTCCAAAAATAGCACTGGGTGAGTATATCGTGTAGTTGGCCACTTGGGAGCGGAATCTCTTGCACAAGTGCCATTAGCGACAGCTTCTTACATAATGTTTATTGCTTTTTCAATTACCAGGGTGAATGACGAAGAACCTGACAAGTCGGGTGGACTTAAAATACCGTTTAGCAATGACGGATCGTTTTTAGAAAATTTCAAAAAACTTAGCGAAAAACTAGCCAAAACGACCGAGGAGCAAAATAAACGACCAGCGGAAGACGAAGCGTTTAATAGGTATGTCAAATATTTCTTTGCCTACATCTTTACATGGTTTTATTTTGCAGTGAGAAGAAAGTCAAAACGGAAGAGGCTGTTCTTATTCCGATTCCTCCTCCTCCTCCGCCACCTCCTGCTCCTCCAACTCCTCCGGTTTCTGTTGCCGTCTCGACTGTGCTACCGATGGAGATGTCATATGCCACATACTACAATATGTCTCAGCTACCAACCGTCATGCCTCTTCTGCAAGCGGCTGTTCCGTTGCCCCCGTCAATACCGGATGTCAGCCAAATAGAATCAGTTCAATCGCTACCAGTAGCGAGCACGAGCGTAGAGCCAGTTCACGCGATGCCAGAAACTCCCGAGCAAGTACCGGAAGTTGGAGCCAATTGTAAAGGTTAGTAAATGTTAGAAATTTGTGTGATAGAATCGTGGTGGAATGGACTTCACTTGTAATGGCTGGGAGGGGGCTTTCAAGGGCACAAAATAATCCTGTGTTTGAGAGGCACTGAAAAAACATGTTTTTTGTATTGTACGAGAAACAAAGTCAATATTTTTTAAACAAATTTGCTCAGAATTTTACGCGCATTATAATCTGTGTTGAGTGTGTATCCAAAAGCATGAATATGTAAACTCAGGAACACCTGCATAATCTTGCTTTAACAGCAACAAATGTGAAGACTCAAAATTTTACCAAAACGTTTCTTTTTTGTTTAGGTGGGCGGGTGGATTGTTCGTTTTCGATACACATGATGGAAAAGTCCATTCTACTAGTTCAATTCTATCACAAATTACATGACAGCAGTCTTTGTTCTTTTAGTTATAATTTTTGTATAGTATTTTCAGAGAATGATAAATTACCAACAACAGTTGAAGAGTTAGTTGAATTGGTTGCCGATATCGGTGATGTTTATGAAGAAAAATTAAGTTCACGTAAAAATGAATTACATCCATCGCTTTGGTAAATTTTTTACTTATCTATATCTATTCCCCTGTTCTTTCATAACAAAACCTGTAAAAGCTCGCATGGGAGAAGCCACGAAGAGAATGAGACAACGGTGCACTGGACCGTAGGTTCATCGTGACACACTCTGTGCTGTGAGACGGAAGTTGGTTCGATTGTTTTACGCTTCAACGCTCTTCGATTAATCTTTGTATTGTTTGTTTTTTTGCGAAAGGGATAATTAATAATATGTTCATATTTTGGTATAGGTATATTTTTCGATCGATCGAAGAGCTGTTAGAATTTACCAAAACAAACGAATCATTGAACCAGAGGATTGGTGCAAAATGCTTTGTGAACAACTTCAGCTTATCATCTTTATTGTGATCTATATATAGTGTTCAATAACATTTTTTCTGCTTTCATGATGTATCCTGCCTTCTTTTCATTGTGAATAGGTTCTTATTTGACAAACAATCAGAGGCTTACAGGAACTATCGACACATGATTGTAGCTAGGCTATTTAAAACGGCTGGTATTGAGCATGCCTTACCAACGGCGCAGTCTTTTGAAGCAAGTAATGCTCCAGCCACAGACGATTCCAAGTATGATCCGGCTGACGTTCTCGATGACACGAATATCGATGAAGATTTCCATCCATTCGCGCAACAGCAAAAGCGGGATCAACTGGACGGAAACGACATACCAATTCAAATGCAGCCAAATTATTACGGTGATGAGCGACATTTCTATGACGACAAATCCACGACGGAAACCGATTCCGATACGGAATATGTTCGTGAAGCTCGCAAAAGAAATTTGAAAAACCTTAAGCACAAGACAATGACTGCTGGAAATATGCGCGAAGAAAGCTCCTCGGATTCGGACGATCAATTCAACGAATCTTCAGACGGAAAGATGGAAGCGTTAAGTGATAAGTCATCTGGAAATAGTGGTGGTAGAACAGCTCGTCAAAAGCACAAGAAAAAAACCAGATGGGGTGACCAAACGGATGGTGCTGAAATGCCCAGTGCAGCAAGCGAATGCAAGGATAGTAGCGCAATCACCATTTCTGAACTATCCTCTAATGCATATGGCGGGCAAATGCAGCAGCAAAATTCCAGATCGAATCCGGGGTTTTTGCAGTTTGTTTTCCAGAGCTTCGATACGGTGGAAGTTAGCCCAGAAAGCTGGAAAAAGGCGGAAGAACATTTTAGAATCCGTCTACTGTATGAAGACATGTCAAATAAAATACAGAAACATGAGAGGTCTACTAGTAATCGACTAATGAGTGGAAATAATCGAATGCAGAATGATGCTGAGGAAGATTTACGATTAAATTCTGAAAAGATGAAAGCTGTACTGCTATGGATTAACGAAATCACCAGCTTTTATGAGCGATCTGGTTCCCCAAGACTGGAAGATTTTCTGTTACGTGATGAGTTTGAAAATTTAATGAATAAATTTCAGAGGACAAATGATTGCATGCCAAATTTTGATGATTATAAAAAGTTCAAACTCGAGCAAGCAAAAATTGTTTCCACCAATTCGAGAGGAGAGTACACTTCATCGGATTCGGATTTTAAGAACAAGAGCACAGTACTGAATGAAGTCAATCGCCACAGCACTATTCAGGACGACACCGATAAGAACATCAAGCGTCGAAAAAGTCGCTGGGGCGATCAGGTTCCTCCTGTTCAAACAACACAACTTCCAGTTGTTGTTGCCAGTACTAGCACTACAGTTGCAGCTGTACCTTCCAATCCATCCCAAATCCCGGGTACATCTAGCACCAACTTCAACACCCCAACGCTGACTGGTGCAAGCCGTACCGATCCGGCTTTATTAGCGTACGTGCGACAAAATTTTGGCAGTACGAACCTGTCAGAAGAAGACTGGAAAAAGGCAGAAGATCATTACAAGATCAATCTGCTTTACCAGGATATGCTCAAAAAGCGACAGGAAATCGATAGGTTAGCTGCTGGTGGAAAGTTTAAGTACGAATATGATTCTGATGAAGATACAACCGGAGGTACGTGGGAACATAAACTTCGCTCACAAGAAATGGAAGCCACTCAACTTTGGGCAAATGAGCTAACAAAGAAATCGGAAGGAAAGCACCACATAGGAGACTTTCTTCCTCCGGAGGAGTTGCGTAAATTTATGGAAAAATACGACGCACAGAAGAACAACCGCCAACCCAATCTTAGTGATTATAAAGAATATAAGTTGAAAGAGGATAACGTTGGTTTTCAGATGTTGCAAAAACTTGGATGGAAAGAGGGACAAGGATTAGGAGCAGATGGCAGCGGAATTGTTGATCCAATTAACAAGTAATTTAAAACAAGGCAACATAGCTGATGGTCCAGTGCAATTGATTTGAGTTTTCGTTTCACATTTACAGAGCATCGCAACGTGATAGCAATCAAGGTTTGGGAACTATTTCAGCGGATAATCCTGAAGTTGACGATAACGAATACGACGCTTATCGTAAACGTATGATGTTGGCATACCGATTTCGACCGAATCCATTGGTAAGTTTAATATAAACAGTTTCCACCGATCAATTCGTAAGTACTGATGATTGCTGATTAAATTTTTCCCTCCTTTGTGCCAGAATAATCCCCGCAGGGCATATTATTAAATTAAATCCTCACATACAGCGGAATTGTGTGCGGGGTACAGCACCGCAAACTGATCACAGAGAAAGGTGCGAAAAATATTAAAAACAATAATCCTTGCTTAATGGCACAGTGGAATGCTCAATTAAATTGCTTTCAATTGATTTCGGGCATCGCGTGATGGCATTTTCACTTTCTCCTCCTGAATTACCGGTGGTGTAACCAACGGGCGTGAATGTTTAAATACCTACCAACTATTTAATGTTGTGAAAATTTGTTCTTTATTCAAGATCAGCAGCGTTGTAGTGTAGAATAATATCCATTTAGAAATTTAGAAAAATGCATAAAATTTAAAAAAATAAATGTTTCAAGTAAAAGGCAATAGTATTTATTCAAGAAAACAATGAGAAAACATATAACTTAATGCAAGCGCAAATTTCAAGTTGAGACAACAACATACACACTTAGATTTTATTTAGAAATTTAGTACCTAATGTTCGGTGTGTAGCAATGGAATCTACCTGTCTTTCTGTAGTTTCGAATGGCTTTACCGAAATCCGTCGAATATTTTACAAATAAATCGTAATTTTGCGAAAATTTATCGGGCTCGTTAAAACAAATATTCGAGCAATCGTTAAGTATTAAAATTACCATAAACTATATTCTTTCGCCTACGAGTTTTGCCAAGCAAAATTCAAATGCGCAATAATATCCGATGAGATTTTGAATTCAAAGATTCATGGCTTTATATTTTGACATTTCCCGAGAAATTTGAGGTTCCCTCCCCATGGACATGGAGGTTGACGGTACTGAAGCAAAGGGTTATGTTTAATTTCTTTATATTTGCAACGATGATGATTTCCCATAGTGACACATATCACCTTCTTAATGCTTCAGTATACCTCAAACGATTAATTCTTGGTTGTTAATAGAACTTCCCTGATGCAATCGGCTGCTTCATGCAGACTGAGCAATTCTGATTATACACTCAAAAAAATCCACACGTTTGATCGAAGTGTTTAAACACTTGATTTTTTAAATGCACAATCACATTTACTTTAAGTGTATTTCACCTTGGTTGAATGTGTTACACACGTTAATTTATAATGTTTCAAATTTTGAAATGTTGAAAATCTTTCACTATCTATTCAAGTGTATTGCACATTGAATCACACTACTGTTCAAAACAGATGGATTTAATGTGTTTTGCATTTCAATGCGATGTGAATTGCTTGCTCAGAAAGGTAAACATCGAAAACAAGAGTTGGGACTTTATCCTATCAACCCGCCTCATATATGAGAACAACCGTGGCACAGTGAGATCGAACGAAGACTCCAGCAGCAGCACACCCCAACAGTCCATGATCGAATCCCAAATCAGACCCATTAAGAAGATATGTGAAAGCTCTGCCCTCTGGCAGTTTTGTTTATATATTTGTCGATTCATTTTTAGAGTCGATAAAGTAGAAGTCGATAAAGCAGAATATTTTAGAATATTGAACTATTATGTGTTAAGCTATTGATATCACCAAATGAGGCACATAGAATCCAAGTGTGTCACAATTCAAATCCATAGTGTTCAGGCATGATTCATAGCATAAGATTCACACATGAAATGGATGTGTTTCACAATAAGCGCAAAATTAAGTGTGAGACACATCCCAACAAACAATTTGAGTTGTTCAACAGCCGAATAAGCTATTTTTTAGCTGAAGAAGCTTGTTTTTGCCTGAATAAGCTCTTATTCAACATTCAATGTTTGTTGGGATGATGATGACGTGTGGAATTTTTTGAGTGTAGTATCAGATTTGTTCTGTACACAGAGGAACTGGGAGGGCTTATTAGAAACTTCTCACCAATAAAGTAATGACCATAGTAGTAAATTTTGCATATCATTTTATTAATATTTTATTTTATTTAAGCATATTATTTTTGTTACAGTCAATTAGCATTAGCATACAATACAAGAGATTTAATATTACTTGCTCGGTTTTGAGTAAAATAATCAATATGTATTTTGCTTGTAATTACCTTTGATTTTTTTTTTTTTTGTGATTTCAACATTTTCCTAGTTTGGTTAGAAGTTTCGAAGCTAACACATGTCCACATGCCTAATAGAAAGATAGACAGACAAAGCGTATCATAAAGAATAGTTGCATGCAGGGTTGCTTCCACTCACTTTCTATAGATGAGTGATTTTCGGAGTTTTGAATTCGTTAGATGTTGTAATGGAGGTTTGTGTTGTTGGATGCGGGAGGAGATTGGAGGGCGGGTGTTTGACGCATAAAGCCTGTCAATTTCGCTTTCAGAGTGTCGCAGTCAGCGGTTTTATGATTCGTGAGCGCTCGCATGTCTAACATGTGCAGAGTATCATTATAGCGTCTGATGGTTTTGAGATTCCTGGTTGCGTGAAATATACTTGTGAGAATATCTTTTTGAGATTTTAGTAGTCACGTTTTGTTTGTAGTTTATATGTTATTTCTTTCATGTAATTATCGTAAATAATAGTTATTCAATAATAGATAATTCATCCATATATTCAATAATAAATTTACGAATGACTATAATTTGGATACCTAACAATTGGACAGAATCACTAGCAAGAATAGGTTGTGTTCGCCTTCGAAAATATCGATTCGTTTTTTCAGGGTTGTAGTTTTGGTTTTCATCAGTGGGCCGGCTCTGATTGTGAACGATTTAGGTAGTATTTTGAGGTAACTATTTAGCTTTTAGCACAACTTTGCTACTACGAATCCACAAAAGACATTAAATTGGAGGCGGATTCTGGTACGGAATTACAGGCTGCTATTCTGAGCAACTTATCTTCATAAAATTAAAAATTACATTTAGGTATTAATTAGCAAATATGAATAGTAGTTAACTTTAACATAATTTTGATAAAACAATCATTTCATCCAGTTCACTTTAAAACAAACAAGTATAAGCGCAAGTAAGCGCAATATTAAACGACATTAAATTTGAATCTGATACGGTAGGCCATATAACAGAGTCGATAGCCATTGCAAATCAACCATCTCTACCTGCTTATTTTCCTAACTTTCACTATTATTGCTGTTACTATGACTATCCCCTATGTTCCACAGCTTTCCTTACTATCCGGTATCGTAAACAGGATTCATTTGACCCCTGTGGTTATTATTCTGTGATGCCAAATCTATACCTCTACCCTGGTGCAGTATGGACAGCGATTTTTCGCTGGTGACTTGGCCCTATGACCCCCTTCTGTGCTTGAAAATGAAAATGAAAATGAAAATGACATTTCCCGAGAAATTTGAGGTTTGTGTGTGTGGTGTGTGTGTGTGTGTGTGTGTGTGTGTGTGTGTGTGTGTGTGTGTGTGTGTGTGTGTGTGTGTGTGTGTGTGTGTGTGTGTGTGTGTGTGTGTGTGTGTGTGTGTGTGTGTGTGTGTGTGTGTGTGTGTGTGTGTGTGTGTGTGTGTGTGTGTTTTTTTTTTTTTTTTTTTTTTTTTTTTTTAGTAAGGTTTAGGAAAGTTTCAAGAAGCCTGGCTTGTAGTGAAGTTGGCACGGTGTGGTATCCACTAGTTGCCTAGTGCAGCTCCACTAAAACCCATTCCTTACTCTCTCCTCTGCCTGGATCCCCCCGGGACCACTGTGAAGCGACTACTTCGGGGGGTGGCTGTGCCCATGCACTTGTCGTACTTTCAGCGCTAGCTGGCGTTGCTAGATCGCTGCTCTTCTCTCCATTTACGCTGCAGCTCCGACATAATCTGCGTGACTGCCCTCTTGACGGCATTCCAAGTGCCCTCCTCTCGACAAATTTCAACGACAACATTCTCCACGTTAAGGACGGGCATGTCCGTTCGCACTGCCTCGAACCTTGGACAGTCGAAGACCACATGCTCCGGCGTTTCATCGACGTTGCCAAACTCCGGACAGAGGGGTGACGCTGCGTGTCCGAACCGATGCAGGTATTTCCTGAAGCAGACGTGACCAAACAGGAACTGCGTTAGGTGGAAATTGACTTCTCCGTGTTTTCTGTTCACCCAGGTCGAAAGAATCGGTATTAGTCTATGTGTCCATCTACCGTTCTCCGTCGTGTTCCACTCCTGTTGCCACTTAGCCAATGACTCCACGCTCACAACTTTCCGTACTCTTCCGGCTTTTCTCCACCTGTAGCACTCGCTGTCCTCCGCCAGGGTGATGCCGATAGGGATCATACCGGCGATAACGCATACTGCTTCCGACGATATGGTTCTGTACGCACTCACGACTCGCATGGCCATGAGCCGGAACGTACTGCTCAGTTTCCTTTGGTTCTGCTTCGTTTCCAGCGCTGGAACCCAGGCTGGACCTCCATATCTCAGTATCGATGATGACACGCTGGCCAGAAGACGTCTCTTGCTACTGCTGGGACCAGCGTTGTTCGGCATGATTCTAGCTATCGCGTTGATGGCCTTCGAAGCCTTCTCACAGGCATATTCGACGTGGCTGTTGAAGTTTAGCCGGTCATCGATCATCACTCCCAGGTATTTTAACACACGTTTCGAGGCTATGGTGTGCTCCCCGACGGTGATTTCTGCCCGCTGTACCGCTTTACAGTTACTGACCAATAACACTTCCGTTTTGTGGTGGGCTACCTGCAGCTTCGCTCCTTGCCTCCAGTTACCAACCATATCGATCGCCTCGGTTGACAACACTACCACCTCTTCCAGCGTCTCGCCTGTTACCGTCAAGACGACGTCGTCCGCAAAGCCAACGATCTCAACTCCTTTGGGCAGTTTCAGCGTTAGCACGCCGTTGTACATCCCGTTCCAGAGCGTTGGACCAAGGATGGAGTCTTGTGGAACTCCCGCTGTGATCCTAATCGATCTCTGCCCCATGTCTGTCTCGTAGACCAGAACCCGGTTCTGGAAATAACTCCTCAGGATCCTGTCAGGGACCCTCATTCTATGCAGTGCTTCGGCGATGGCCTCCCAGCTGGCGCTGTTGAACACATTCTTGACGTCGATCGTTATCACGGCGCAATATCGATCTCCTCTCCGCTTCTGTTTGGACGCCTTCTCAGCTCTCTCGACCACTGTCCGAATTGCATCCACCGTCGATCTCCCTTTCCGGAATCCGAACTGCCTCTCCGACAATCCGTGCTCACTCTCCGTGTATTTCGTCAGCCTGTTTAGGATGATCCTCTCCAACAGTTTTCCAAGTGTATCCAGCAGGCATATAGGCCTGTACGATGCTGGATCCCCCGGCGGTTTTCCTGGTTTCGGCAGCAACACTAGCCTCTGTATCTTCCACCTGTCAGGGAAGTGACCCTCGTTCAGGCATTTCTACAG